GCACTTTTATTATCTTTGAACACATTATCCTAAGACAGAGACATTAAAGTCACCATTAACAACTGGACAACTGTTAGTATCACAGGAACTGCCACTTCATTTCAATTCAGGTTTTATTTCCAACCTACTACACTCAGGTAAGAGATGAAGCTGTAGGACAGCTGATGTCCTAGCATGCATACAATGATGTTCAACAAAACTGATAAAGAAGTTACTGATTTTGGCGTATGGGAACAGGTTTTTTTCCTTCTTAGAATTGTGTTGTTCAATGTAAAACCCAAATGCATCTTTCAAAGAGCTTTTCACACCTTTACTAGACAATCATTATTTGAACAAACTAAAATGCTTTTCCCAATCAGTGTCAAGCTGTCACTGCATCAGAACTCTTGCTAAAGATTTTACATGACAATACAACCAAAATTAAATGGAAGAGAAATTTTACTGTTTGTGTCAGCAGTTACCTGAAGCGTTATCCTAATAATACTTTCACCTAAACTAATCTGAACAGACTGAACACACCTCTCCACTTGTTGGGTAAGGTTTTTAATTTTTCTAGAGCAAAATACCCTCAACTACTGTTTACTGCTTATTGCATTCACTAGCAAAACTTTCCTGTTTCCAGTTAAGACCCAACTTACCTGTATTTTGCAAGGTATCTTTCATAAGGACCCCATCACAAATGGCTTTCCCAGACTAAGCATTACGCTACCTAGTAACACTGCAAAAGATGGAAACTCAAATCCTAGGGATGATTCTATTTTCAACTGAAGTTTATAAAGAAATGAAGATCCACCTAAACAAAGCTCTTGTCATATTCTACATGACAAGAAACAAAAAGCAGCTCTACTGAACACCAGCTGTGTAGAGGTGATAAACAAAGGTTTCAACAAAACAGAAAGGGACTAGGGTAGAAAAGGTCCTCAAAACCAGATATGAGACGTATAAACATGGAGCCAGAAGGACTGGTTGAAATTAATCTGGTTAGATCTCCACATATAAATGTAATCAGAGCAGCAAGCCACCCAAGTTTAGAAGTGATGAAACACCATAAAAGGAGATTAACTGGATTGAAAAGTATCATAGCACTCAAGAAAAAGTCAGGAAAAGAATATTTTAAGAGATTAATCTGATCATCACTGCCTGTATTCCATACAAAACAGACAAGAATGAGTCCATGAAGCTTCATACACTGATGGTGTTCCTGTATTTACAGACCACACACACCCCATACCCCGCCCCCCCTCCCCCGAGTCCCACTTATGCTAGCTCTCCCAATGTTAATTCACTTCTGCCCACGACAATGCTCTAAATTAGGAAGATTATTACTGGGCTATCACCTAATATTGCTGAGAAGGAAGGTGCAATATACCATGGTCCATTTACACAGAAAAGCTAGAGGACTGCAAGACAGATAGGACAACTGTGACTCACAGTACTAGTGGTAATGCTGGCCGTGTACTGGGACACCACGTCCTCCAGCCCAGACATAACTTGACACAACTCCCTGATTCAGCTCACACAAAGACTTGTTTTGATACCCATGCCTGAAGGGAGGGGAATGGAACTGTGTGTATACGCAGTGGATACTATGAGGATTTCCTTACTTTTACCAGTTTAATACTTAATCTCCACTGGTTTTTGCTTTTTTAATCTGAATTTATATAAAGGCAGATTACACAGCCCTACGGCAGTGCCAAAGTGAAAAGCTCAGCATTTCTATAAATCCTTTTAACACAAGTCAAGTACTTTAGAAGACATGGTTTACTCAAAACTTTATCTCTGTTTATGTCACAAGTTAGATCCTTAAGCAACACTGTAGAAATTCCTTCAACACATCACTAGGTTTTCTACCCATCTCACACAAGTCACTGATGTTATGGACATATTAACTCTACGTATGGAGTCAAATAACAGCAAAATTCCAAAATTAAGTAAATCAGTTAAGGTTTAACAAGTGGGAGTGCATTTGTTCCTATCACAAGTCTTGGTGTACACCTTGATAGTGTTATTTTATGTCATACTAGTCCCAAGGTTAGAAGCTCGTGTCTAAGATGTAGCAATAGCACCTTTTTACTATGAACTTCACATGAGACTTGCATACTTAAGGGTTTACACCTTCAGCTCTGCTTACAGGCAGGCTAATACCAGTCAGTTAGGCACCCCTTTGTTTGCATTTACATTCTGACACTGATAACATCACCTGTGCAAAGAAGAATGTTGTAAAGAACGGGAAGAAATCAATTTATGATCGACTGCACAACGTGGAAAATCATACATTCTGTGACAGGTCTTCTCCACCTATAACCAAGTCATACCTCTCGTTCGCACTCTAATAGAGCACTGGCAGACTTTATAGAACTGTAGCGTCATGGTAGTGGGAAGATAGGTGTCTTAGCATACTTGGCACTGAAGATGTCAGCATGCTTGCTATCAATGGCTGTTCTCAAATGTTTCCAGAACATGCAACAGGGTTACAAAATTTCAACCATGGCATTACTGTCTGCATGACCACTGCATACTGAAAAACACCATTCATGAGGATGGGAAGGCTCTGTTTTCATACCTGATTCTCCTACAGAATTTCTCCAGTATCCCTGGAATCAAATAAGGACTTCAGTCCTTTAAGAATCTGAATGAGTCATAGAATCACAGAATAGTTAGGGTTGGAAAGGACCTTAAGATCATCCAGTTCCAAACATAAGGGACACCTTATGCTAAACCATGTCACCCAAGGCTCTGTCCAACCTGGCCTTGAACACCGCCAGGGATGGAGCATTCACAACCTCCCTGGGCAATCCATTCCAGTACTTCAACACCCTCACAATAAAGAACTTCTTCCTTATATCCAATCTAAACTTCCCCTGTTTAAGTTTTAACCCATTACCCCTTGTCCTATCACTACAGTCCCTAACGAAGAGTCCATCTCCAGCATCCCTACAGGCCCCCTTCAGATACTGGAAGGCTGCTATGAGGTCTCCACGCAGCCTTCCCTTCTCCAGGCTGAACAGCCCCAACCTCCTCAGCCCGTCTTCATATGGGAGGTGCTCCAGTCCCCTGATCATCCTCGTGGCCCTCCTCTGGACTTGTTCCAACAGTTCCATGTCCTTTTTATGTTGAGGACACCAGAACTGCGCACAATACTCCAGGTGAGGTCTCACAAGAGCAGAGTAGAGCTTAGAGTCAACTCTAAGCTCTACAGAAGACTGACTTCTGCTAGTGTAAGAGATAGTGTTATATGCAGTATTAGTACATTTAAAGAAAATCAGTATTCTGGGTACTTCTTTAAATTAGAGTCCTGATTTTCTCTTCTGACATCAGTTTCTTTCTTTTCCCTCTCAGTTTGAGGCAGCAGGCTCTTGGTCTACGCCTTGAAGATAAGAATTATCCATAAGGCTTTCCAGTATTGTTTTTGGCAACAGGATAAGAAGTTCAGAGCAAGCCAACCCAGAACAGGTACAGGATTGCCTACTGGAACCCATGTGTTACGAAAAGTTGCAGACTACTGACTTAATCTACTTTCACTGCCTAGTAACAGTACTAAATCCAGAAAAGCACTTGTTTTTTTCCATAGCTCCTTAAAAAGCCAGCTTCAGGAAATTCAGTATTAGCCTTATGTAGTGATAACCAATACAGCTGCTAATTAGGACCAAAGAAACCACTCTCCATATGTGGTTCTTCAGTCCTTTTTCTCAACACTTTTAAATGGTAAACCTCACAACACCAACAAACACCTCTCAACAACCCAAAACAAGTCTTACCAAACAGCAGAAAATACTGCTTTAAAGCCAAGTCAAGAACGGATAATTGAAGAATTTCAGTCAAAGGAGGGCTCAAAGGTACTAGAGAACAAGTTAAGGTTTTTTTTTGCTCCATAAAATGGATGGCATTTTGCATTGGCAGTCTCTTAAAACACCTTCAGACTTTCAGTTTCTCTTACTCCTAGAGCGTAACCATCTCCTCCTAAAATCAATGGCAATATAAAGCATTCATAGCTGTCAGCAATTACATTTCCTTGTCAATACAGAAAGACAGCTGTAGCTCATGCTGTTTCAATGATTTCCTGATCACAAAACACACTGGGACACTGGTCACATATGGGGTTTTACAGTATTCTGCTCAAAATATTTTAACTTCTGAAAAGCAGTTTTAGAAGATAAAGCAAAGAAACACTAAGGCCCAACTAAGAGATTTTTAATCTTACACAGAGGTTTCAATTCTGCAAGAGACCCTCTCCTGGTCTGCAGTCTCACTGACCATATACATGTCTCGGACTCACCCATATTTCCACGACAAGACCCAAAATCTGCAAGCCCACATCATCAACCTACTGAAGTTACACTAAAGCTTCCTGCTTCCAAGCCTAGAAGGACAAGCAGCTTTTGCAACTACCATCTGCCAAAACAAGGAGACGTACCCTACCGAACCACTGCAGCCGCCTCCAAAAAACAACCTACACACCAGTGTAACAGTTGCTGCCTTTTGTTGCCGAATATACTTAACCACACAGTGAAACCAACACACAACCAACGAAACAGGACAAGATGATTAACAACGCGGAGAAGCAAGCTGACAAGAAACAAAGCGACTCTGAGCCCTCACGGGAGCCAGAGCTGCCCACCCGGAGGGCCTGACTCTGAAGCGCTACTAAGGCACCTCATGACTCCCACCCGGCCCTCACGTCCCCTTGCCCCCCGCCTCCTGAGGGACCTGAGCCTCACCCGCAGAGCTGACGGGACCGCTGCCAGCCGGTGCCCCGTCCTCACACACAGCGGCCGCCACGGCCACCTTCCCCCTGGAGCCCACCGCCCGCTGCCTCCGGCGGGCCGCGGCAGGCGGCCGCAGCGGGTCACCGGCACCGCCGCCCGCTCTCTCGCCGGGCCCTCCCGGGAGCGCCTCGCCGGCCCGCCTCGCCTCCCCCCGGACCGAGCGGGTAACCCCGCGGTGCACACCGCCTCAGGGAGCCCGGCAGCGCCTGCGGGGGCCCGGCAGCAAGCACTTACCCGAGCTCTACGAGGTCGGCGACAAACGCGACAGCTGCCCCATGGCGGCGGCGGGACCGGCCCCCGAGCTGACACATCAACAAAGATGGCGGCGGCGGGCGGGGTTTCGGCCAGGGGGCGGGACGCGGGACCGGGGGAGGCCGGGGGCCGGGCCGGACCGGACCGCGCCGACCGTGCAGGGGTCCACGGTGCTGCCAGGGGCTCGGAGGGGCTGGGACAGTTCAGTCCCGGCGCATCCCAGAGCCGGCTGACGCGGCCCCGGCACCCCGCGGTGACGACGTGATTCATCGTGGCTGGTTCAGCCTGGAGAAGAGAAGACTCCTTAAGGGGGGACCTTAGAGCAGCTCCGGTGCCTAAAGGGGCTGCAGGAAACCCGGAGAGGGGCTTTGGACAAGGGCCTGTAGGGACAGGACAAGGGGAGTGGCTTTAACCTGCCAGAGGGGAGATTTAGCTTGGACATTAGGAAGAAGTTCTTCCCTGGGAGGGTGGAGGAGCTGCCACACAGGAGAAACTCCTCACCCCAACGGTTTTTAAGAGAGATGGACACAAAGATACCCTGCTTCTTGCAAGATCAGTGTACAGACTAACAGAGTGGCTTCTTCCCTAAGTAAACAGCATCTCGTTTTCCAGAACCAACCCCTACACACGTCGTCAAAAGCCTCTTGGATCCACATGCCATGTAAGAGGAAATCCGGAGTCTCTTTATTGCTTATTCTGACACGATTGGGCATCAAAAACCTGGAGGATGCCTCAGTGTGGGGAGTAGCAATTTTTCAGTGGAACACTAAGTGCTTTGGAATCCAGAGCACTACACAAATGCCATTTTATTTTATTTAATTAAAAATAAATGGAAAAAAAATACCCTGGCAGGCAAGCTGTTAAGTGAAAACGGTTGCATTTACTAGAGCAGATCAGCTAAAGTGAGCACTGGCTGTTTCCTGCAGGAATCTGTTAAACAGAACAATAGGAAGGCAAGTTAAAATCACTGAACAATTTCGTTTGGCAGGGACCTCAGATGCATACGTAGTTTAATCTCCTATGCATGGCAGAGTAAACTTTGATGTTAGATCAGATTGCTCCTTTATTTTGGCCAATTTACTTTTATATACGTATAAAACCATACACATACCTATATGCTTCATATCTATAACCCCAGCGATGATTTCTTCAGTGCATACCTTTGATGACTTTGAAAATAGAACGTGCTGCATAACATTACTTAGAAATGTTAATTGGGAGAACTATTTTCCTCCTCATTCTTTCCAGGTATTTGGAATTTCAGAGACACAAATGCAAGTTTTGGGGTCCTAGAAAATGTTCCCTTGAAAGTTGTTGTGATTTAACCCCATCCAGCAACTAAGTATCACGCTGCTGCTTGCTCACTCCCCCAGCAGTGGGATGGAGGAGAGAGCTGGAAGATTCAAACTCATGGGTTGATAAAGACAGTTTAATGGGACAGAAAAGGAAGAAAATAATAATAATGGTAATAATAAAGATGAAAAAATATAGAAAACAAGTGACGCACAATGCAATTGCTCACCCCCAACCAACCAATTCCCAGCGTATTCCTGAGCAGCAGTTCCCCAGCCAGCTTCTCCACAGTGTACCATGCTGAGCGTGATGCCATATGGTGTGAGATATCCCCTGGGTCAGTTGGGATTGGTGTCCCGGCTGTGTCCCCTCCCAACTCCTTGTGCACCCCTAGCCTGCTCACTGGTGAGACAGCATGAGAACCTGAGAAGTCCTTGACTCAGTCTAAGCACTAGTCAGCAACAACTACAACATTGCTGTGTTATCAACATTATTCTCATCCTAAATACAAAACACAGCACTGTGCCAGCTACCAGGAAGAAAATTATCTCAGCTGAAACCAGCACAAAACTCTGTTACAGACTGTTAAAAACAACAATGGGATCTTAGAGACAATCAATATGCAAGCTATTCAACACTGCCATAACTAGAAAAGTTTGTATGTTCATTATTTTGGGAAAGTTAATACTGCTTCAAATAATTAATCTCCTAACCGCCACCTCTAAAGCAGTGGAGTCAGATGAATGTCTTTATAACGTCATTTAGGTAAAAGCATAAACAAGAGTGGGTTGTAGAGAAAACATGTGGCCTCAGCTTTAACCTCCAAATAGTATTTTGGAGGCAAAATATATTTTGCTTTGCTCGTAATATGCTGTGCATTCAGTATTGATAAAAAAAAAACATAAAAATCAGGTATGGAATAGAGACAAGCAAAATTTGTCCATTTTCAGAAAGCAGTGCCATGCAACACACACTTGTTAATTGCCATGCAGCCCAAGTCTAAGCTTTGCTTTCAGAAATGCTTCTTTGCCACTCCTGCTCTTGTTCTGCAGCTGAGTGGCAAAGTTCACACAGTCCTGCTGCTCTGTAACACAGTCACTTCAGTGCCCAAACGCTTCTTATTTGGTCTTCTGCTTATTCACAGGCAACTGCAGAGACACCAGTGTACTCTGGCCTTCTAAGATTTATGCTTCTGCTTTGCTGTACGCTTTGTCTGCAGCCCCCCTGGCATTAATCGTGCATGGCTTATTGTGTCCCATCAGACTTGGCAGAATTTCAGCTGATTTTCACCTTTTATTCTGGACATTTTTTTTCAGCAGGACTGAAATCAGGTTCAGAAAATTGAACCTGGTTATTACAGTTCTCCCTTAAAGGCAAGTGAAAAGGCACTTTTTTAGTACTCGGCTGGACTCCCCATGGCTCTAGTCTTGGCACTGATGCTCAGACAGTTCTGATTTACAATATCTGTGCTTAGGCCAGATTTTTATTTAATGAGCATCTTATCCCCAGGAGGCATCCACAGATACTTAGGGAATGATAATGACAGGACACAGAGAAAGCCCCTTTCCCAAACTGCCTGCATTCATATTAAGTAAGAATGACCAAATTTCTGTAATTTGGCATGTACAAATGCTGAGGAAGACAATTTCTGAGTAAGAGAACCTACCGTCTGAAATACAGTCGGTCACACACAACAGACTTCTGCTGGAGACAGCAGCTCTGCATTGCAGAGGCAGAAGCAGAATTTAGACCATATTTTCCCAAATTGTAGTTCTAGCTTTTGGTTCGTGCTGTGTTATCTAGAAGTGTTTATGTAATTGCTCAATTTCCAGGTGACTTTTATTAATTATACAGAGCATTTCTACAGCTTTGCCCACTGAAGGGCCTTACTTTCCTGGGTTTTATTACTGTTCCTATGCTTTCTCCTTCAACTAAAGTGTTAGCAATGCCACTTCAACAGAGAACAATGAGGTGGCTTGAAATAGCAGATGTGCTGAACACCCCACACTCCTCTGGGACTACTGGCACTGCAAGGCTATAGCTGGCATTGCCAAGGAGCTGGGAGCAGAGTCCAGGTTGCCTGATTCCCATCCTCTGTGTTTGTCACAAGTCAGGTCTGCTATAATGCAATTACCCTGATCTGATTCCTGCATTTCACATCATGGCAAGATTACATAAAAAGATACTATTTTGTTCATTAGGAATTGGTTTCATTGTTTATTTTATTCTAAGCAAGCATGATTTTACCATGGGTCTTCAGGGAGCACCATCCACGAAAACACAGGAGCCCCATCTTCCCCCCACATGTCCAGTAGGGACAGAATCTCTGCTGAAGCTGCACTCCCACTGGCTAAGACCCTGTCACACTGTCACCAACCCATGCACAGCAAATCCTAATCGTGACTGTCATCATACAAGTGCTCTGAGTAAGTTATACCTGGAAAAACCTACTTTCATTATAAGTTGCTTGGACTGTCCTTTGTTCAGCATGTAGCTCAGTGGTGTCCCAGCTAGTCTAGGCACTTAGTGGTGTCCCACCTAGTTCCTAGGCACTTAGATTCTACATTATTAGAGCTAATGACACACTGGTACAGTTATTACAGAACTTGCACATAGGGAAGCCCAAAGCTCTTGCTAAAAATTGCAGGCAAGCCACATCAACCTCCTGCAGCTCCTGTGATGCTGCTCCTGATCAGCCTCCATGCTAACAGCACTCTCTCTAGTTACCTCTCACACTCCTTCACATTTATCTTTTTTCACTGCTGCAGCCAGACCTGCTAGTTTTTAATTTTAGCATTCATTTTCCTGTGGTCATTTCCTGCCCTTTCTTGTTGCAGTATCCTGAGGCATGAAAAGCCCTCAATGACTGACATTTAAGAACAAAACCAGTGAAAACAACATTTGCCCTGTCTCAATCATGCTTTGGCACTTTTAACTGCAACAAAACTTTGTGCCAATTCACATGCTGATAAAGTTCTGTCTTCAGTGGGATACGTGGTTTTCCTTTTCATTGCACCCTGTCAATATAATTCCAGCACAATCTATAGTGCTAATTAGTGTCATTTCAAAAGACTGTTCAGACTGGCAACATTGTTTTGGTTCAGCAGGCCTTGGGGAATGGAAATGTGTAGCCAGCTAAATGTACTAGAATATTGTAAGTCACAAAGTCTATTTCTTTTCCCCAGAGAGAAGTTTGAATGACAGAGAAGTATTTTGTAATGCCTGAGTGGTATTATTGCTACTCAGGCACAAGGATTATTGGGTTTATCTTATGGACCTAGGCACAAGGTGCAGGGAGGTAATGGATCATAACTGCTCCATCTCCCCACAGCCTCCCATATACAACTCTGCCTACTCTGACATGCAAAGCTGGGCAATTTGGCAGATGGATTTCCTGAAATCCCACCTAATCTTACCTAATTTCCCCTCCTTCTTTCAGGGCAGCCTCCAGCACAGTCAGCTTCTACTCAGATTGCAGCTGAGGGCCACAGATTTATTGGAGCCAGGGAGAGTCTTTCCTTTGACTTTAGTAGGGGGTATCTGAACCAGGTACAAAAATCTCAGCAAACCTTTGATGTGTTGTTCCTTTTTCTCTTGAGAATGATTAGCAGGGAACAATAGTTTGGCAGACAGGATCCTAGTCTTAAAACACAGGAGATTTGGACTGAAATGCCATCACAGCCAGACTCCAAATGACTTTAAGACAGAATAGCTGTGCTTCAGTTTCTTCTCTGTGAACAGAGATATTAATTCCCTGCCCCACAGAACCTTGTAAGAATAAAATCCATCACTGACTTTATGCACTTTAATAATAAGTGCAACAGTGTAGGCACTAAAATAGAATAGATTCATTTAGTTTTGGTGGAAATTTAATTGCACAGCACTGGAAAAACCTGAGGGCATGTCTAAGTACAAGGGTAACTGCATCAGCGTTGAGGACAAAGTATGTTTTCCAGTGAAGATAGAGACATAAGGATGGGAAACAAAAGTTAAAGGAGGAAAAGAGGAAAACAAAAGTTAAAGGAGGCAATTCCTTTATAGAAAAGGAAGAGGAGAAAGAACAAATGAAAGCAGAGAATATATTGGAAGTGGGAGATGAAGTGATGTATTTTTCAGGCTGCAGGGCAAAAATCATCATAGAATCACAGAATGGTTTGGTTTGGAAGCGACCTTAAAGCTCATCCAGTTCCAACCCCCTGCCATGGGCAGGGACACCTTCCACTAGAGCAGGTTGCTCCAAGCCCCTGTGTCCAACCTGGCCTTGAGCACTGCCAGGGATGGGGCAGCCACAGCTTCTCTGCGTAAACTGTGCCAGGGTCTCACCACTCTCAGGAAAGAACTTCTTCCTAATATCTAATCTAAATCTTTCAGTTTAAAGCCATTTCCCCTTGCTCTAGCTCTACAGGCCCTTGTAGATGTCCCTCTCCAGCTTTCCTGTAGCCCCTTTAGGCATGGGAAGGACACAGGACTGCAGGGGGGGTCTTACAAGAGAGGAATGTAGGGGAACAATCCCCTGCATTGACCTGCTGGCCATGCTGCTGGTGATGCAGCCCAAATAAAATATTATAAAATACAAATGCATCAGTTTAATGCATTGAATGTCATCATTCTTCATAAAATTGACAGCCACCTTCTGAACTTGTAATAAACAAGGCTGTCTAACTGATGTCCTGATTTTCCTTTATTGAAGAAATTACAATAAGCAGCTACACAGCTTACCTGCTGCTCACCTATGAATGTTGGCCCAACATGCTGGTGTGCCTGCCGCTGTGAACCACTGACAGGCCAAGTCATAGAATCATAGAATAGTTAGGGTTGGAAAGGACCTTAAGATCATCTAGTTCCAATCCCCCTGCCATGGGCAGGGACACCTCACACTAAACCATATCACCTGAGGCCTCGTCCAACCTGGTCTTGAACACTGCCGGGGATGGAGCATTCACAACCTCCCTGGGCAACCTATTCTAGTGCCTCACCACCCTAAGCTGCTCAGGCACACAGCTGTGAGTACTACCTGTAGGTTGTTCTGAAATGAAGAGCTAAGGACAGTGCTACTCATTGCTCTCTCTAACCAGTATTTTGTAACTTTTAGTTATTCTTTCTGCATCACTAAGAGCAGTACAGTACAAGAATCCCCAAGGAACACACGGGGTTACGAGTGAAACTACGGATGTTTTGTTGTCCCTCAATGAGTTTTGATGCAGAGAAAATTAGTAGTGCTTTTGAGTAATAAAATAAAAGCAGTCTTCTGCAACGCACTGGGAGTAATACCATTTGTGATTGACATGGTTTTGGCCATAGTTAAGTGAACACCACACAGCTTAGCTCTCAAGCTCTCATAGCTCCATAAGCCTGGGTTGGAAGGGACCTCAAAGCTCATCCAGTTCCAACCCCCTGCCATAGGCAGGGACACCTTCCACTAGAGCAGCTTGCTCCGAGCCCCTGTGTCCAACCTGGCCTTGAACACTGCCAGGGATGGGGCAGCCACAGCTTCTCTGGGCACCCTCTGCTCACCACCCTCCTTCCCTCAGGTGACCTGACCCCGGGCGCTGATGGCCGGTGCCCGCCCATCTCATGAGGGGGCCTGGTCCGTGGCGGGGCCTCATCGCCCCCCCGAGCTCTTTAAAAGCCAGCCGCCGCTACCCGCCCTCCGCCACGGCTGGCGTCGTCTGGGCCGCCCGTTCCCCGGTAAGATGGCAGTTGCGGCTCCCGCTGGCCGCGTGGTTTGGGGCGGGGCGGGAGCAGCGCGACGGCGGGGCCCGGCTGGGGGAGCCCTTGAGGAGCCCTTGGAGGGGCGGTGGTTCCGCTGCAGCCGCCGGCGGCCCTCGAGTGAGGGCCCGGCCCGGCCTCGCGTGTGGCGCAGCTCGGGGAGAGCGGGTCGGCAACGGGCTCCGCGCTGAGCGGGAAAAGGAGCTCGGGGCGGGCCTGGGCTGGAGGCTGTGCTGTGGGGTGTGTGTGGAGCTAATGAAGGTTGGGAGCTAATGAAGGTAGCGTGTAGCGGTGCTGCTCGGTTGTGGACGAGAAAGCTCATTTCTGGTTGGTTGCAGCGTCAGTTGAAGTGTGTTTGTTTTAACTTGTTTTCTCTCCGGTAGTGTAGCAAGAGGGTATTTTTATATTTAAAGTAATTATATTGCGTGTTAACCTTCAGATAGAAGGTGCTAAACGTTCATTTTGGCAGAGCCCGTGCAGTAGTTTTCTCAGGAATGGGCTCTTCGTGCTCTTCCTCCTGGTGGTCGAAGGTTTCAGCCTTTCACTATGGCTGTGCTCCCAGTCACAGCAAAGCCGTGGGTGCAGTTTATGCTTTGGTGGAGGGGTGGGTTATCTAGAGCGGGGTCTCTTACAGAGAGAGAGGTCTCTTGTAGATCCGACAAGCTTGGTGTGCAGGTAGTGACACCCCCTCCTGGTTTTAGGGTGTTCCTCTCCTAAAGGACTTTGCCGTGTTAGTCTAGAGTGTGCCTTGTTTATGTCTTTAATACAAAAAGTATTTTACTTTTTACTGTGCAGGTTAAGCAAATGGGAAGTAGAGAATTGACCTTTAAAAATGGATGTTTAAGCATAGATTCAGACCATGACTTAAAAATGCTGTTATATTTATTTTGTGTGCCTGCCTGACTTAATCTTTAAATCTGTGCTTTTGTAGTTAACTCGTCTACAGCTGCCTTTCATCATATACCAGTGCGAACATTTATGTGATGTCAGAACCTCTTCACATGAAGAACAAACATGATCAAGTTGTAGGTGGAAGTTAAAGTGGCAGAATCGCAGGTGCCAACTTCCTGTTGAAAAGCTCTCGAGTTCAAGGCTGAGCTTCTGAAATACCTAACAAAAATCACTTTTCTGTAAACAGAAAACACAGGGTATACTTTTTTTCCAAGTGTAGAAATAGTACAGGAAGTTTTAGCTGCAACACAAGTGCAATAAAAGAGAGACTTTGTCCAAAGCTTGACAAAGGTATCTTGACCTTGTTCTTCTCTAATTGTATATGTGCTTGATTATTGATGAACATCATCAGTATGGCTTATAAATAGAATTAATTTATAATTATCTAAACTTGTGTGGGCTGCAGTGTCTTAGATAAGTGAAAAAAACCCTGGGAAATTGGAATACTAGGGAATTTGGCACAGCTATGTGCTGTGGGATTTGGGAGTTCCTTCAGCAATGTTTCTTGCCTTCATGAGTGCTTCAGTACTGTGTGATCCATATTCTCTTCTACTCCAAACAGGGGGAAGGTGAATTAATTCTGCGAGGTTTGAGACAGCTTTGCAGCCCTCTTGGGTTTGGAGGGTTCATGGAGATCTGATTGCATGTTAGGCAAGAGTTTTAGGTTAGGCAAAGCTTACAAGATTAACTTGCTTCCAGGTGGGGAGAAAAAAGGTCATACAAGCTTTATGTTGTCTCAGTGGAGAACTTGGCTTAATAAGCCTGCCAGACTGGAGCAAACTCCTAATAGCATGTGTAGTCTACAGCTGAAACAAATGTTTTGTAGGTAAATGAGTTGCCCACTTATAAAAACCCATTATACTTATAAAAACATGGTATATTGGTATGCAGGCTTAGCTGAATATTTGTCTTGTAATAGTGGCTTGATAGAGAACAAACTCGCTTGCAAATGCCACAAGGCTTATAAGGCGTTCACTGGAAAGTCAAAATCTCTTTTGAAGCATTTTGTTTCTGAATACTTGCTCATGGTCAACTCTCTTTAAGTATAAGCTTAACATGGGCCAGTATTGGAAGAGATACTGTTTCAGCTACTGTATAATTGCCTAGTCTAAATTTTTGCTGTATGGATTTTGGGAATTACATACTGGCTTTCTTTTATTTTTAATCCTGCTGAACAACTTTAATTGAAAATAAATATATTGAGGAAAGACGTTAAGTCTTAGGTCAAGTGATAGGCGCAGAGCAGTGAAGCCGGTAGGTTTGGATAAACATCGTATCAGAGTGGTAACAAGAAGTGACTTCCAAAGTGTGTCATGGTCATAGCATCTTCATTTACTCAAATGCGTCAGCAGAACAGGAGGAGTAGATAAGAGCCTTGTGTCTTCCTGCAAATACTTCATAACACAGGCATGCATTATTGTAATCAGATCCTTTTGCAAATACTTCTGCTTCTAGGAAGATCCATGGAAGGCACAACTGAAGGAGGGGACTTGCTTTTGACAGCTGCATTTGATAATGTGAGTTACTGTACTTCATCATTGCCCCAAATATTCTGAGCCTTTCTAGGTAGCAGAAATGATCATCATATATTGCTGGTTTTAGAACACTGAAATTTTGACTATCTTGTCACATTTTGGTATATTAGACTATTTTTACTGTAATTGGCAACTTTTGGGGCAGCTTTTTTTTTCTAGTAAGAATCAGTCAAGATGTTTTTCTTCCACAGGTATCATATTCTGATTCTGTTCATGAAAAGCTAAAGAAATCTCAATATTCCTTTGAGAATGGTTTCTCTATCAGCTGTGATGAGAGTGTCTTCTGTTCATTAGTACCACCCCCTCAAACAAAGACTTGTCATCACTGTGGTCTGTTTGGTAAGTGCCTTTTTTCCTGTAGTCTGGTGTATTTCAGTGAAACCCCATCAGAAGGTTTGCTCAGAAATGTGTTAAAATGGAGAGATATTTTTATATCTCAGATGCAAGTGTAGAGACTGTTCAGAATGTGTTTTGAGTTGCAGAACTGATTAACAGAAGTGAGCATCTCATTAAAAAAGTTTTGGTTTTCTTTTGGGGAATTCTTCTGTTGTTGGGTTTTTCTTTTCCTTAATTATAGAAGGAATTTGGGGCATCTGGGTTAGTAATCTTAGCTGTATGTAAATATAAACACCTATTTCTATTTTGGAACTGTCTTGTAAAGCAGTTATTTAATAATACATTGAGTGTGTATCTTAGCAGCTGTTGTCTCTTATGATATAGCTGTTTCTCTTGGACTCTTCTCTCTCTTTTTAAGGATCCCGTAGATGTTCACAATGCAAGCAAATATACTATTGCTCTGCAGATTGTCAGAAAGAAGATTGGCCAGCACATCGTATTGTGTGTGAGCCAGTTAAACCAAAGTAAGTTTGTTAAAAAGTTCTGCCAGATAATCTTTACATAAAGACAATATCCATCCCATTACAACCCAAGTGACCATTTAAAGGTGCTGTTACAGTGAAATAAATTGCTAGTGCTGCATTATCTCATATTTGTCATAAAAATCTGTTGCTTTAGAAATGTAATTTGGAAGATGTTGGAGTTCTTAAGGTGTTCTGTAGAGTTGCTTAAAGCAAAAGCATTGTTTTTACTTGCTTATCACATGTCTTTAGTGTTGATGATGTAAGGAAGGGAGGAGAAGTAAGACTGCTTTTCAGCAGTGGCATGCTTAATGGATTGCATTTAACAGACTCCGAAGAGGCATGCTTTGAATCTCACTGTTACCTCAGTTAATTTCATGGATATTTTATCTTTGATAAGCACAGCTGCAATTAGAAATTGTCTCAGCCAGGCCATTCTCTAAGCTGCTCATTATTGCTTCTTGGCATGCCAGTTTAGATGCTCAAGAGATCCCTTCCTAATCTGATTCAATTAAAATAAGCATCATTAGGTTATGACAAGTACGAATTGACTGGGTGGCTCTAGAGCAGTTGAGGGGAGTGATACGGCTATTCAAGCTGACACTGTAGCAAGGAGTGGTGACTGCAGTTCAGTCTGCATCCAGAAGTCTGTAATAAAAGTTTACTAGAGATTTATTCTCCCCCCCCCCCCCCCAAGTTTTGTACAGTGACTGAATAGGGAGAAGTGGGGACAATCTGGCCTGTGTGTTACCTGGATCTTATGTGTTCAGCTGAAATACCAACTTTTTTTATTTCAATTTTACAGTTCTTGAGGTTAGTTTGGGATTACAGTTAGTTTGGGATTACAGGGAACCTAGGACAACAGTATAACAGAACTCCACAGTAGTGTAAAATTTCTTCTACAGTTTAATCAGAAGAACTTTATTTTGTTGCTGTTGATGACACTGGGAAAAAACACACCAGATGTTGGGTAACAGGGAACTAACAAATTTGCCATTCTGCACTTTTCTGGAGGAGGAATAAGGGTTGATAACCACATGCTATAAACACAGCCTTTTGTATTTGCAAGTAGGTGTTAAAAATGCTGCTTGTCTGTCTTTGGTTGTTCGAAGTTAACATCCTTTTTTTCTTTGGTTATAGTGTAAGTAATAAAAATGGAGGCAAGTCACCTGGTAAAAACAAGAAGGGAGTTTATCTTAAGGTACAGAACATGCTTTTTACTATGTCTTAAATGGGTCTGCTGTGAGCTAGTTGCAATATGCTTAGTTTAAACTGTACAGCAAAGGAGCAAGTTCCAAAGGTTATAATCTGTTCCTTTTAGAAAGATCAGTGCTTCAAATAAAAAGTTACTGGGAGAAGCATTCAAAACCATGTTACGTTTTGAAGCCTTTTGATGTTAGCTTCAACCAGACATTTCCTGTAGTCTTCCCATGAGCTCTTCTGCAGGAAATCATTTTGTTGTCTTCCTGGTTTCTTGGGCTGATAATTCTGAAAGTGAGTAAATGTGCATACCTGCAACAAGCCTTATGTTTGCACTGTACAAGAAAACTCCATGTGGTTCTTTGAAGTAGCTCATTCGTCTGTTTTAACTTCCTGATAAATGTCTGGTGTGTATTTGTGACTGTGTTCTGATAAAAGTGATCAATGATCACACAGGACCTTTATGTTCAAGAGGGTATACAATATGCATAAATAACAGAAGGTGTTATTTATCCCTCATTCATCTTCTGAAACTCAAGGAACTTCTGTGGAAGTAGGAGAGCTTATATTCCATATTGAACAATACTTAATGTGGTTTTGGTATTGTACTGTGAGATGCGTTTTAATGGAAAATCTAGAAGGATCTTTTGTAATTAGACAATTTGGCAGCTGCAACGGTAAACTCGGCTGTTACGCATTGTCTGTAGTATGTTGGTGCAAATATAAGAGGTTTTTCCTAAGGATGTGTATAAGGCTATTTTTCTGATGTTTTTAGGATGTCACAGACACAGATGCATTAGGTGTATTGGGTTTGTGTGGCAAGGTTTTGTTAGCGGAGGGGCTACAAGGGTGGCTTCTTTGAGGAGGTGCTGGAAGCTTCCCTATATCCAATGGAGCCAATGCCAGTGGGATTCGAGATGGACCTGCCACTGACCAAGGCTGAGCCCATCAGTGATGGTGGCAGCGCCTCTGGGATCACCTTCGAGAAGGGGAAAAGTTGCTGCACAGGAGCAATTGCAGCTAAAGAGAGGAGTGAGAATGTGTGAGGAAAACCAGCTCTGCAGACCCCAAAGTCAGTGCAGAAGGAGAGGAGGAGGTGATCCAGGTGCTGCAGCAGTGGTTCCCCTGCAGCTTGTGGTGCAGACCATGGTGAGACAGGCTGTCCCCTGCAGCCTATGGAGGTCCATGGTGGAACAGATACCCATGTGCAGCCCATGGAGGACCCCACACTCAGCAGGGGCATGCCTGAAGGAGCCTGTGACCCCATGAGAAACCTGCACTGGAGCAGGTTCCTGGCAGGACCTGTAGCTCCATGGGGGAAGTGAGTCCACACTGGAGCACATTTGCTGCAGGACTTGTGACCCTACAGGGGGCCCACGATGGAGCAGCTGGTTCCTGAGGACTGCACCCCATGGAAGGGACCCATGAAAAACTGCAGCCTGTGGGAATCAGGTTAGGGAGGTTTGTGGAGGACTGTCTTATGGGAGAGCAAGGGAAGAGTGTGAGGAGTCCTCCCCTGAAGGAGGAAGGAGCAGCAGCAGAGACAGTGTGTGATGAACCCACCACAGGAGGTTGTTTAGATTTTCTTTGTTTCTTTTAATATGGATGCCAGCAGTTAAAGCAGTAGCTGTAATCTACTCTGGGGTGTTAAGGCCACAAGGAAGCAGGTGGAATTCAATTTGTCTTATTTGTGAGAGCATCATAAGCAGGAAATGTAGCTGAGCTGTCCTGTAAAACGGGTGTTAGAGGAAAAGGTGAATGTGTGAGACTTCAGCACTTGTTTTTCATTGTCTTTTCAGTTTATCTCTGTGATAATGTTTGTTATTTTCAAGAGTACCAAGTCTGTAAGATTCCTTATTGAAAGTCAACAGAAGCACTTTTTCACATTTCTTGAAATGATCAGAAGTTCTGTTTTGTTACTGCAAGGTGCTAAAGGTAAATAATTACAGTTTAAGCCTAACTTGTAGCTGTTTTAAATAGGGTGGCTCAGCTTCTGTGGATTCTCGCAAGACAGAAGAGCACATTAAGAAAATAACACTCTCGGATCTTCAGGCTCTACAGATCAAAAAAGCTATGGAAGTACAGGTACTCTTGTTTCTGAAGAATCCCACAATGCTTTATTAGGTTGCATTGGAAGCTTTGTTAAGCATATATAGCTGCATGTCACCTCAGCAATTTTGTATCATTTTGCTCACATGTAAAATTCCTTTATTTGTATGAAGATGAGTAAATGCAAGTAGGGCTCTGGGGGGAGTGAGGAAGACTATTTCTGTGAAAGTGAACATCACGGGGTTTATTCCCTGCAATTAATTACTGCTGCATTCAAAACAAAAGAATAAAACCAGGTTTAGGTTGAAATCCATTGATTGAAATGAACACTGGTCCTGAATTACATACTGAAGGTTGTTCTTGCATGATTATAATCTATTATGGCTTTTCTGTTTAGGGTATAGTAACAGAGTTCAAGAGCCCAAGTGAATTTTATATACAGTTGAGTTCTCCAGACTTCTTAGACCAGATCAGTAAACTTTCTCTGAAACTGCAGGACTGTTACGCTAGCACAGTTATTCAAGACCAATATATTGCTACCAAAGGGGAAGTCTGCGTTGCAAAGTGTTCTTTGGATCAGGTAACATCTGGTTGTCCATAAAATAACCATTCCTGTAAGCTCATCATGTTTTGCATGTTTGGCTTTTATATCTCTACCAGTGAAGGCTGCTAATTAGAGATTAATTTATTGTGGTAGTAACTAGTTTCCTGTCGTCAGGAACTCATATTTAGGGTATTGACTTTCTGCAAAAAAGTTTACTTTCGTGTGTTTATGTACTTGAACCCCATAAGTGCTGTTTGTCCTAGTGTTGCTTGAAGGATGTGTGTGTTTTTAACAAATCTAGATTACTGTAGTTAGAACAGTTTGGAATACGACTCTGCTTAATTAGGAAGTTATTCTTCATTTCTCACCTAGCTTTTCTGGTTGTGTTTCCATAGCCACATGTAGTTCCCGTTTCCCTTCCCACCCCTTTTTTGTATTTCTGCCCCTTTTTCTGCATTACTAGCAGAATCTTGACTTATTCAGTATCCAGTGTCTGTAGGAGCAGAATTTTACCTTCACTGCAGTGAACACTACAATGGGTTGTTTTCATTTAAGTCACTTCAGAATTTGTTAGTGCCTTTGCTAATAAACAAACCCGATGAAGCAGAGCAAACTTATGTGGTGTCCTTACAAAGATTATGGTTTATTCCTATACAGACCTGGAATAGAGCACTGGTAAAGGATGTGGATATATTGCAAAAGAAATCACAAGTATTCTATATAGATTATGGAAATGAAGAAGATATTCCACTCACCTGGATTAAAGCTTTGCACAAAGACATTGAACTGTTGGTTCCTCCATGTGTAAGTTCTCTTTACCTGATGCTGGTTGAGGTATTTTAAATGAATAGCTCTAAAGTGAGTGTAACTCATGTCTCAGTTTAACTGTCACTAATATTTTGTGTTCAGTGAAAGTGATACATGAAAACTGCTATGCTACATGAAGTTCACCCTCTGAAATGTTTCCTCTCTAATCCATAGGGGTGAGGAAGGCTGTTTATCTTTTTTCCTTGCTAGTCACAGAATTCTTGGGTTCTGAGCTGGTAAGAAGAACCCTCCAGGGCATTTAGGTCCACATGTCCCTTGTACGCTTTAGACCAGTCAGTCTCACCTGTGTGCCTGGCAAAATCTTGGAGCAGATTCTCCTGGAAGGCATGCAAAGGCACATGAAAAACAGCAAGGTGCTTGGTGACTGAAGCACCGCCTGTATGAAGATAGGCTGAGAAAGTTGGGGCTGTTCAACCTGGAGAAGAGAAGGCTGCGTGGAGACCTCATAGCAGCCTTCCAGTATCTGAAGGGGGCATATAAGGATGCTGGGGTTGGACACTTCATTAGGGACTGTAGTGATAGGACAAGGGATAACGGGTTAAAACTTAAACAAGAGAAGCTTAGACTAGATATAAAGAGGAAGCTCTTTCCTGTGAGGGTGGTGAGGCACTGGAATGGGTTGCCTAGGGAGGTTGTGAATGCTCCATCCCTGTCGGTGTTCAAGGCCAGGTTGGACAGAGCCTTGGGTGACATGTTCTAGAGTGAGGTGTCCCTGCCCATGGCAGGGGGTTGGAACTAGATGACCTTAAGGTCCTTTCCAAACCTATTATATGATTCTGTACTAGAGGAAGGCAGAGGAAACATTCTGCTTGTGTATTTTAATCTGGGCTTGTGCAGTAGGAAAAATGGTTTCTAGCTTGGGAAGGCTTAATTTGGAGTAAGGACAGCTGTTGATCTGAGTTCATTGCCATACTATGTGAATGTCTTCCATTATAACATAGATGTTGTAGCTTTAATTTGTGAGTTAAACTGGTATCTTTAGCTATGCACAAAGAAGGATAGAAAAGTATTCTAATTGGTGACAACTATGACTATCTGCTATTGGAGGTAGTTGTTAATAACTTGTTCAGATGACTTTCTGCTGGGTCCATGAAAGATTTTGAGAGCTGTTTAAATCTTTGCTTGGAGCCCTCAGTGTCTGTTGAGGGCAAGTTAGGACATGCAGTTGTGGTCATATGTGATGTGTGATATAAAAATGCCTTACATAAAATAAATAGTGGGAGAATAGGAGGAAATGTAGCTTACAGTTTGAATGTACCTTCCTCATTCTTAACTCTTCTGTAAAGAATTTAGCTGAATTGGTAGTGCTTCAAATTCCAACAGCAGCTTTAACTTTTATGTGCAAGGTGGTATTTCTAAGAGCCCTAATTATTCACTTGATTTTTCTAAAGGGCAAACAACCCCCATCCCCTCTTGTTCTAATTGCAATTCTTTGCAGGCCATTAGGTGTTCCTTTGCTAATTACAATCCAAAAGAAAAAGGGTGGAATGAAGGCGCTGCCAGATTCTCTTCTCAGCTTATAGGAAAACACTGTTTGCTAACTGTTGTTGACATATTACAGAAGGAAATGATGTTGAGTTTTGCTGTAGAAGTTGTTACTCCAGATTCTGGTGAGTACTTGGTAGTATAGTGGGGCGGGGGGGAAAGCCTAAATACAGGGAAGTATTCTGTGTTCACTTTCCTTCCACCTGCCCGGTACCTTTAAAAGAGGAATTTTTGTTGTTTTTCTCATTTATTTTTTTGCTTTAATAGATGCAAAATTGGGACCATGTTGTTCCTTTTTTCACATGTATTTTTAACTCTTTAAAAATGACAGTGTTAGCTTCAAATTCCACTAAGGATTTCACGAGCTTTTGGTCTATTTCGTACATGCTCACTAATGACAAAGCAATGTAACTTGCCAGCCTCTTGGAGAGAAGACCACGAAAAACACCACTGCATTCCTGAATGTGGTTTTTCATGGAACGCTGCATGTGCCTATTCCATGACTTTACAAGCAACTTAAGCACCTGTATTCCGGCTTTCAGTTGAAAATCACTGTATAGAAAGCTTGGAATACTGTTTGATGCATTAGAAATGGAATATGGGATAGTTAAGAAACTCAGGATTTCTTTGTAAACCTTGGTAACTCATTGCATGCTGAGTGTTGTAAATATAGAGGTATGTTATGAATCCTTGTGTCTGAAAAGCTGTACCAGTCTGCCGTGACTTTTGAGTACATACTTGTTATTACTGCCTAGCTCGTTTAATGTAGTCAGTCTCGGAGCTGTGAATGCTTTCAGAAAACTCAAGTAGTTGGATTACTCTGAAATTACTTTTATTTTGCATCCTAAGCATATTAAATGTTCAACAAATAACTAGAGCATGCTGACTTTGTGATAGGGATATAGGTCAGGCTCAGAAGATGATTCTGAAATGAAACTAAGCCATGACTGTCTTGCATGGTAAATAACTTTTGTTTCTTACATCTGTATTCTAGGAGACTACCTAGCTACAGTACCTTTAGAAACAAAGCCTGATATAACTACAGGAACTGATGCTGAAGGAGGGGACTCCCCAAGAGGTAAGCAAGCAAATCAAGCTTCTTAGTAAGAGAAGGAACAAAAAAATTGGGGAATTTTAGGTCCTTCCATGTCGCACGATACTCTGAAAGTAGTGAATATTCTAGCTGTTCACCACTGTCTTACTTAAAAGCACTGGTTAGCGAAGCTTCCTTCAGTTCACTAGTGATAGTAGCACATATGCTTTTTAATAGTATAAAGCACTTGTTTAGGGATAATCATAGAATGGTTTGGGTTGGAAAGAATTTTGAGATCATCTAGTTCCAGCACCCTGCAGTGGGCAGGGATGCCTTACACTAAACCATGTTGCCCAAGGCTCTGTCCAGCCTGGCCTTTGAACACTGCCAGGGATGGAGCATTTACCACTTCCTTGGGCAACCTGTTCCAGTGCCTCACCACCCTCACAGTAAAGAACTTCTTCGTATCTAACTGAACTTCCCCTGTTTCAGTTTAAAACCATCACCCCTTGTCCTATCCCTGTAGTCCCTGATGAAGAGTCCCTCTCCAGCATCCTTCAGATATTGGAAGGCTGCTCTGAAGTCTCTACAGAGCCTTCTCTACTCCAGGCTGAACATGTGAGCATTATTAGCTCACGCTTCAATGGCTAATTCAATTTCATGGCTATTGTGACAAGAGCCTTCAAAGTCTGAAGAGTCAGGAAAAACAATAACCTGCTTCAGCGTATTTAAATTTTCAGTCATCCAGCTTTTGATCAGCAACTTCCTTTTTTTGTTGTTTGGGTTTTTCTTTACAGTGTCAGAAAACCATTTGAAGAGAAGTAAAGCAAAAATGCCTCAAGATGAAGAATATCTTCACTGTGCTCATTCAGCTCCAGAGGATGTCTCTGTATGTGTTGGAGATGTGTTTTCTGCTATGGTTTCTGGCATGCAAAGTCCAGAAGACTTCTTCTGTCAGCCAGTACGCAACTGCCGTAAGTGCCAGTGGGATTCAGGATGCCTACTGTGGTATTCTGGTTTCTCAGTAGAGTGGCTGGAGGGAGGTGTTGCTGCTCTTGTGGTTTGACCTGAGATGATGATTCCCTGTAGCTTTAGGCCATGCCTCAGTCCATTAAGAGCCATGGTGGTGTGTAGGATAGATTTGAATGGCATTAGCCTGTGAGGTGATAATGTGTGGGCAGTCCAAGCATTGCAAAATAAAGAGATGGTGTGGTGTGGATTTCAGCAATCCAAAGTCAATTTGTATCACAAATACTTAATGTTAAATATATTGCCTCACATGTGCCAGAAATATGTTTGATTACTTTTATTCCTACAATACCTTGTTGCTTTATCACTGGAGGGAAATGTTTCCTTATAGGCTGGCTGCATGGCCTGAACTTTGTTACATAGTATGGGGAGAATATCTGAGTATGAGAAAGTCTGATTAGAGTGCCCAAACCCACTTTGGTGTCATCTGATATAGTAAGACAGTAAGACTGTGAGTAACACAATAGTGGGCCAGAGTGCTAGGCTGCAGGGACTGCTGGTGCCCCACAGTGCCCATAAGCAGATGTCTGGGGGAGAATAATAGCAGAATAAGTTTGTGGGGTGTGACCTCCTAGTGCTGTCCAAGCCAGTGTTTGTGTGTTTTCAGCTAAAAGGGCTTCTGCAGCTGGATGTGATATGGTGTGTCTCCTACATTGGATTTGTCTTCTGTGTACTTGTGCAGCCTTTGAATTCTGGGTAGACTCGATGCATAACATGTCGTTTGGCAAGAAGTGACCTTATCTGTGTGTTGTCTGAAGAGCTGTCTCTTTGGTTTCTTTCTAGTATGCTTACAGTTTCCATTTTCAATTCCTACTGGCTTCAGTCTCTTTCCTGTATTGACTGTTTTTCCCTGTTCATTTTCTTTAACACTGATTCCCCAGGCTCACATGAGGGCTGACTGTTTTTTTTTCTGGTTTGAAGAGTCCTGGTTTCATCACTATTTTGGTATTACATTAAACATTATGTGAAAAATCTCCATTACACTGCAAGATCTTCTTTGATCTTAAGATTTGTATACTTTAGTAATAATTAAAACATAGTGTATGTTCCAAATCTCTCTATATTTTAATGTTAGGTCAACTTGCTGAGCTTCAAGTGTCTCTTAATGAACACTGTGGCAAACTTCCCAGTAGTCCAGCTTTCCGTCCTCCTCTTGGGAATGTGTGCTGTGCCCAGTTCACAGGTAAAAATGGAGTGAAAATACGGCTCTTACATCACTTTATTTGAAAAACAGTGTTATGATTATGTTTAGAAATATTTCATAGTTAATTTTATTGTTTGGTTTTAGCTGTGGATAGCATTTGGTAATAATGTAAAGAAATTATAATAGCAAATGGTGACATCTAGAAAACACTAGTCTAAAAAATTTTAGACCATAAATTGGTGCCTTCATTGTGCAGACTCTTTACACTGGATTATTTTTTGTATATAGGAGCTTTTTAAGAGACCATGAAAGAAATTTGGGGGTTTCTGTGTTGGTGAGCACCATTTCCTGTGGCTGGAAGTAAACAGGCCCCCAAAAGAGAGACAGAAGAAATGAGCTCATAATATCTAGTGATGGTTCTTTGATAGATGACGACTTAATGTTATTTAGCAAACACCTGATAGTCCTGAGTTGTATGTTGAGAAATTAGGTTCTATCTGACAGTGATCACTAATGTCAAGCTTTTACAAGTCTCATGATAAAATTGAGCCTTGCCTAAACATAGGCAAATTCTCTGCATAAAGCAGTGTTTTGTGCTAGGAACTGGAAGTCTGTATGAAAGACATACCTTTTATTGATTGGAGTCTGAAGTCCTGTTTGCCTGAAGGCAGTAGAATGAAGATGAATCTCTCTTCCTCACAGATCATTGTCCCGTTCATCAGCTTTTAAGGAAGAAAAAAAGCTGCTCTTATGCCTTTTTTGTTGCTCAGAAATGTTGCTGTTGTTACTTTGTGATTGACAGGCATTCCTGGTCATTTCTTTCTTTCTATTTCTTGTCGCTTTGCTGCTTTGAACAAATTAGTTGTGGAACTGATCAGAAAAACTGAAATAAATGTTGGTTTTTTTTTTATGTTCTGATAAACAGTAAGCTGTCTTGGCATTTGAATGGGTATGGGTTTCAGGTGCCTAGCTGGGAAAAGCTATGAGATCAGTACCTGAGATATCATGAGAAACTTCACTAAGCTTGTGTTTCTGTTCCTCACATCTTTCAGTTGAATTCAAATACTGAAATCATTAATCTGTGGTTTTGCTTTTGAATTGCATGTCATTGTGATCATCTGAGAGACTGTTGTTTGTTTAAATGTATTTAACTTCAGCACTACATCCACATAATGTAACCAGTTCTTTGTTGCTATATGTATTTGTGAAGGGGGGGATGTCTTTATGGAAAGATAAGTTTGCAACAGTGACATTGTGCAAAGGGTGATGGTGGTGGATGTTGCATCATCCATTCACCTTTTGTGAAGGTCTGTATGAACTTAATGCTGTTGGTTTATGTAGAGATTCGTGGTGTATTTTTAGATTGGTCTACCCAAAAGATCATTCTGTGCTCAGAAGTTAAACTACAATGAACACTTGTATCTTTCTTTCAGAAGACAGTTGTTGGTATCGTGCTACTGTTGTAGCGTATGCCTCTGAAGAGGCTGTTGTGGCAGAGTACATAGATTATGGTAATTCTGAAGTTCTTCCACTAACTAAACTTCGTCCTATGATTCCAAGATTAATGGACCTGCCAGCTCAAGCCATAAGGTGTACCTTGGCAGGTATGAAATAAATCGGCAGTTTCAAACTGGATAAAGGCAATATAAGTGGGGTGGGGTTTCATAATGATCACATCTGTAGTATCTTCTGTTGAAATATGGGGAAGGATAGAGAACAGAAGGTGTTATTTCCTGACTTCTTAATTGTGGCACATCTACAAAATGGGCTAAGTCTTTCCTAATGTACCTGATGATCTGCAGTTGTATGGTTGGAAAACTGTGTTATATTAACATATCTGTTAGGTTTTCAGTGTGCTTTTTTTCTAAGCAAAATTCAGTCACCTACTGGATTGTGGAATTTTTTAATCCATGTGCTTCTGACGCTGCAGGGGAAGCTACAATTCCATTTTTTGTCTTGCGGTTTGAATTGTATCTCTGTGTGTTGTCTTTCCTGTCCTCCCCTGGCTCTAGGGCAAATCGAGTGAAACTACCAGTAGACTCCTCTCTGTAGTCTTGTAAAATCTGTCAAATTATAGAAAGGATGTTAACACTTTCTAGTTCATCCTTCTGTCTTAAACCAGGATCATGACTTCCTTTTTGACATACTTGTTTAACCTGCTGTTGGAAATGGTTTGTTTTTCTGTCTGTTCCTGTCACTCTGCAAAATAATCCTCCCCTTTGCTTCTATGCCCTTCCTTTAGAATACTCAATGTCTTATCCTTTCTTTATGTTATGTGACATTTAATCTGCTTTCCATTCGTTTTATAAAGTCAGGAAGCTAGAATATGCTCCTCAGACTTCAGAAGGTAAACATGAAACAATGGTTCCCTTGTATGTAGAGATATAACCAGTGCATATGGAATGTGACCTAAACAAATCTCTTTTCTGGGACAAACCATGATGCCTATAGAGGATGAGTGTTCCAAGATGAAAAAAGGTCCTAAACACAACATGGAAGCAAAGAACTGATCAGAGAAGATCTTTTCTGATAAGACTCAAATATTACTGCTGCATAAAATATCCTTATGGAAGGCAACTTCTGCCAATCTGTTACTATAAAGTTCTGGTTATAACTTGGATTTTAGCCATAAATTTAGTAGTATGGAGAGTAAACATTTAAGGAGGAAGAAGCTTAGAGGAGCAGATACAGTGGCTGAGATGGTTAAGGTTCTTCAAAACTGTATGTTGCAAGTCTTTGAGTCTCATGACTATACTTCTTAAATGTTCATCCTAAGGAAGTATTAAACCTGAATTTATGCTTTTATTTGAGTAGTAGGCTAATTGTACATGATCTTTGTCTTTTTATTAAATCCAAGTACTCTAAAGTTCAGAATCTAAGTAACTAGGTTTGAAATCTTACAAACACAAGGAGTGAGGATGAGTCACTTGATACATTAGCTGCTTAATCTTTTGTTTTAAACAGTGTTTAATAATTCTATGAAATACGCTCTTGAGAATAAATCTGTAAAAGATGTTGACATGCTGAAACTTGGACTGTCCTCAGACCCTTTCCATACTATGTCACCTTTTAGGTGTAAAGCGACCATTAGGAGGGTGGACATCAGAAGATACTTGTTTTATGAAACAGCTGGTAAAAGACAAAGTGTTTACAGTAAAAGTAGTAGGTAAACACAGTTACAGATCTGTGGTGGAGCTTGTAGATGCATCAGTTACTCCAGCAATAAATGTATCAAGCCATCTCATAGAGAGAGGCTGTAGAGCTGAAGAACCAAGAATGGCCTTGCCAGCAATTGGAATGAATGACGTTAAGCAAGCAAATGGTGAGTACAGGCATGTTCTGCTGAACTGGAGTTATTTAACCTCCCTGCTACAGTGGGTACAAAGAATGCAAGTCCTTAACTGGTCAGAACTTCTCAGCCGAGCTCATGAAGTCTGGCTTTCACAGTGGATGCCAGCCACGCTAGGCTTAAGTCTTAAAAAGCCTGTCAGTTGTTTCTGCATGCTGCTGCTTACCACAAAGTGTCACAAACTTGGCAGCTGTGAAAAATACAAGAAGATTTAATAATATGCTTAATGGATGAAATAACGGCTTCTCCAATCTGCCATCATTTAGTTTTCATGTGATCTGTTCTACAACTTGTGTTAAATAATAAGCTTTTTTTCAGGTACTGGAGTATAATATAGAGTGTAAGTTTCTACAACCAGTCTTTCTGTCCTTGTTCTTTTTGTTGTTCTTTGTAATCTTTTGTTCTTCTTCTTGTCCTTAGATTATTTCCAGTACTCTGTGACAGCTTTTCCCCTCTTTTATGCCCCCTCCCCTGTTTCCCAGAGTCCCTCTTGCTCAAATTATTACCGCTAGCCCATACCTCTTCATGTGCCATTGATCAAGTACGTTAACCAAGTAGCACATTTCTCTTACTTTACTTTTTTCTGCAAAAAGGGTCTCCCTGGTAATGAATCTGATGGATTATTTAAAACAAGAAATCCCAGGACATGAATGAGCATTCAGGATGTATCATTTTTTCCTGTAAAAATTATTTTCTCTTCCTTTCTTTTCATCTCTGTCCTTTCTAGAGGACACAACAAACAAAAGCATTTGCAAGTGGAATAAATTAACTCTGAAACAAACAGTTGATGTCATAGTGTGTACGCTGTACAGTCCTGGAGAATTCTACTGTCATATTTCAAATAACAGTGGTAAGTTTGTTCAGCTTTTTTCTTTCTGCTGGTTTATTTGCTTCCTGACTGTCATTTACTGTAGTTCTAATGCATCATGGTTTCAAGTGGGCTTGTTGCATGAATACTTGCCTCTGAAGTTTTGGTCTGAGAATACAAGTGGAATATTGGAGAAGTTGGGTGATGGTATGTAGTGACTCTGAGACTGAAAGCTGAAGATGTTGAAGATAAGCAGTTAAATGAAATTTAAAGAATGTAGAGAAAAGTGAGAAGAGCAACTATATGATTCTATGATTCTATAACCAAGGCAATGGAGAGATAAACGGAAGATGGCAAGAGGTTACCTATGCCCGTACAATATTTACTAGTGCTCTCCTCTAGTACCCTGTCCTATTCTAAGTTAGAAAAAACCTACAAAGATTCAAAAGAAATAACATGAAAATGAGAAAATGCAGCTTTTGAGACTTGACTTCCCCTTGGATAAGCTAAAAAAAAACCCAGATAATGTTGTTGTGCTATCCTGTATAAAGACTTCTAATAGCCACTGGCATTTTAACCTACTAAAAGACCTGCATGATGAAATTCAGTGGCTGGAAGTGGAAGATAAATGCATTCAAACCAAAAATAAGGCAGATATTAAAGGGGGGAAGGTTTGTTCTTTGTCTCTAGGGATAGTATAGATACATGGCTTCTCACCTTTCAAACACAACAGAGTTCCTCTCTAGAAGTGATGCTATAGAAAGAAATATAGAAGCAAGTAGGATGAGATCCCATAACCTGTCATATGCATTGGCTGAACTAGATAATTCCAGTGGTTGTAAAACATACTTCAGTTTCTGGAGTGGAGGGGGCTTGCTGGATTAGCAGATAGAATTGCTGATCATTTAGTTATTATACTGAAGTAATTTGTCAGAGAAAAATCAGCTATCTCACTTCTTCCTGCTACTAAGTCTGTCTGGTAGGTGAAATGACCCAGTGTCAACAGTTACTTATTCATGAAGCTCTAAAATTCACTGAAATCTCCCATCAAACCTTTAAAAAAGCTGCACAGCAAACACCATTGATCAAGTTCAAGTCAAGTTACTTTGTTGATCTCATCTCTTTTTCTTTCTTTCAGAGTTAAATGCTCTAAACTTACTTAACAAATCATTGTCTGAATACTGTCAGAAAACACCACCAAATGTTTTTAAGCCTGAGAATGGAGAACCTTGCTGTGCCTTCTTCTCTGGTAAAATGTCTTTGTTTCTACAGGGTGAATGTAAAGCAAAAAAAATAGTTTTAATTTCTTACAACGATGCTGGCAAGGGACTCTTCATCAGGGATTGTAGTGATAGGACAAGGAGCAATGTGTTTGAACTGACAAAGGGAAAGTTTGGATTAGATATAAGGAAGTTCTTTACTGTGAGGGTGGTGAGGCACTGGAATGGGTTGCCTAGGGAAGCTGTGAATGCTCCATCACTGTTGGTGTTCAAGGCCAGGTTGGACAGAGCATGGGTGACATGGTCTAGAGTGAGGCATCCCTGCCCATGGCAGGGGGGTTGGAACTGGATGAGCTTAAGGTCCTTTCCAACCCAAACCATTCAATGATTCTGTGAATTGGCAGAGTATAGCAAAGAATTGGATTTATTTATTAGAAGCTAAATGCTGGTAAACCTACGAAATGTACTAAGTAATTTATTTTTTCTCTTAATTAGATGATGGTTACTGGTACCGTGCATTGGTGCAAAATGTTTGTTCAGGTGGGACTGTTAAAGTGTGCTTTGTGGACTATGGAAACGTGGAGGAGGTACCACTGGATAAAATACGTCAGATCTCATCCTCGTTCCTAAAACTTCCATTTCAAGGAATTAAATGCTGGCTCTCAGGTGGATTTTCATATGGATTCTTTCTCTAAGAGCTATTGCATTTAGAGACTTGCTGCTCTGTGGGGTGGAGGTGGTGACGTGGTCTGTACTTCACAATACTCTGTTTTTCTGGGGGTGTGTGGGTTTTATTTGTTTGATTTTTAATATGTGTGTCTGTTGCTTCCAGCTTCTGGAAATTGTGGGAACTCTTGTTTTAGCCTTACTACACAGCAGACTGGCATTTAAAGATGGTGGCTCTTCCCTGAGCTCCTGACAGTGCTATGGAGCGATCTGCATGGAGGTTACTTACTGATTCACCAGTCAAAGGGAACTTGTCATTTAGTTCTGCTTCATCTGTAATGCTTACTAACTTTTGGTTGTTGCCTTGCTAAGAATAAATGTGCTTTTCTGTACAGAACTTAATTATTACACAAAACTCTTGCAGGCAAAGGAGCTCGTCTGTTTTTGTGAAGCAAATTGGCTTTTCAGTTCTCACAGATATTTTAATTGATTCTTGCAGAGTTTAGCACCATGCTGCTATTTCTCAGTCTTCTACCAGTTCTCTGCCTTTTCTGTACCAAATCACTCAGAATTCTAGAGCTATTCTGTTTTCCTAATGTAGTCTATTTGACTTAAAAAATGTGGAAACAGGAAAAAGCTCGAGACCACACTTTGTCAAAGTGGGTTTTGCTGGTTTGGGTGGGGGGGTTGTCTCTTAAACACTTTTTTTTTCTGCTGTTTTGACAAAGTGGTTATATTAAAGTGATTCATAAACAGTCTTAACAGTTGTTGCTTGTGCTAAGGCACAAGGATTTACTTGGTAAAATGCCATAAAATGTAGGAAACCAAGCTTGAGAGTCTTGAGGAAATGCCTCCTTTTAGAAGAAAGGAGGAAGAGGGAGACCAGTTAACAGGGTGAAGTACAATGTGTATCCCGAATGTAGTAAAAGTAGCCTTGGAATTTTAAATTATCATTAAAAATAAAGGTGGTGGGGAGGGTAAAGGAAAATAAAATGTTCAAGAAAATCACTTAATGAAGGCATTTTGAAAAGTTCTTCTATTTCCTAGGTATAAAGCCTGTTAGCAGCAAATGGATTCCAGAAGCTACAGCAAGATTTCATACGTATGCTGTAGGGATGAAGCTTCAAGCCAGAGTAACTTCCCTTTCCAGGGATGGGGCGGGTGTAGAGCTTATTGATAATTCCACAGGTTGTCCTAAAGTGATCAATGAGTTACTAACTTCTGAAAAACTGGCTGTAAAGGAAGTTCTACAAGAAAAAACTAAGCTTCCAAACAAGCCTGTTGACAAGAAAGGTAACTAAATGAATGGTAACTTTTAGATTGCACAAGCAACTTCAGCGTTCCAGTCTTTAACCACGATCTTGCCATTCAGCTGTAGTTAATATCAATAATAACCATGCATAGTTTTGATTGTATTATCAGTTTTTACAGTTAAACACAAGCTGCCCTGCAGGTGGCATTATAGACAGAAAGAGAAAGATAAAAATGAAAAGGTACTCTGTAACAGTTACTTATGGTATGTCTGTGCTTGGAGAAAAGTGATACACTGCCTTTTCTTACTGTTCTGTTAGAAACGTCACTTGGGCACTGGAAGTCGATCAGATTGGCTATAGATGAAACCATGTCTGTCTGTGTAACAGAAGTTGTAAGCCCAGACTTGTTCTATGCTGTACCAGTTAAAACTAAAGGTAAGAAAGCGTTCACTGTTCCTAATACCAGTAAAAAGTCCCTGTTGCAAGCTCGTTCATAAAATGAATGCCTGTAGTGAACTGAACCTTGTGGAAGTGTAGCTTGGACAGTAGAAACAAAATATCAAAGGTGGAAGCAGAGGAGCTTAAAAGTAGGTATTCTTTTCATTATACTCAAACGTGGTTAGTTATTAAATTGCTTTTTTTTTCCTGTAGATCAACTACATAGGCAGTTGATTGAACTACAAGACTATTGTAAGTCTTGTATTAAGGAGCCCTTCAAACCAAAACCGGGTGAAGCCTGTTGTGCCAGGTTTTCAGGTGAGGCAATCCTTTGTTCTTATTTCCTTGACTAGTGTTACAGTTTTCGCCTTTCCTTTAGGAAAAGGACAGCTGCCAGCTTGAAAGTGCCAGCTCTTAATTCTGCTCCAGAAGGTAGTCTGGCTGCATCTTTAGGGCAAGGAAACCATCTGACAGCCTAAAAAATATAAGGAATAGGTTGTGCCCTGCAGGATGCATGGAGCTTTAAGAGAAAAGAAAGCTAGTTACTGTTTAAACTGAAATTAGTGTCCGAGTTACAGGGACATGAGATTTATGGCAGAGCAGTAGTGTACTTGCATCTATATAGACCCACTTCTGGTTTGTGGGTCCCTGGGCATGTGTTTTGTTGATGCTGGCTGTGACAGCTGATCATTCAGCCTTGTTAGTGTAACAAGCTGTCCAATGTTAGCACACTTAGTCCAAGTCAGAAGTATTCTTAAGTGAGGGAATTTACTGCCTTAATCTTTCAGAAGAGGGGATGCTCTGCTGGATTATTAGCACAGTATTTTAAGAGAGGAGTGTTGGCTCATAACTATTATAAGTTGACTGCATGCAGGCTGTTGCAGGAGATCTGAGTGCTGAAAATGAGCTTGGGTGTTAGATGGGATAGCAGCTCCTAGGAAACAGGTGAATTAAAGTACTCGGCAGACAACAAGAGCATACCTAAGCGTTTGACAGTTGGGTTTAACTTCCACTGATTTCTGCCTTATATTTTGTTTATGACTTTTCAGGATAACTGAGGGAAAATGTTTAGGGTTTTCTCTTTCTTTTTTTTTTTAATTTTGGTTATGTTTTGAGAGGGAGTATGTGTTGGAAAATTAAGAAGCTGGTAATACAGTGTGCAGATAGCCTTAAAGTCTTGTAGTGAAAATCTTACCTATTTACAATACAGCAATCAGAAGCTTGTTCTGTGGGCTTGCTACTTGTCAAGTGGCCTTTTGTACGTACCAGAGTATTTAAAAATGCCTGGAAGGCTGTATAGAGTCTTGTTCTCTGGATGAGCTGTGTTTTGCAAGATTGTACTTCATGTGATTCTTGTCTTAATCTTTTTCAGGTGATGGCCGTTGGTACAGAGCTCTTGTTCTGAAAGATTTTCGGTCTGTAGTGGAAGTCCTGTATGCAGACTATGGGAACAAAGAAACTTTACCACTTTCAGAAGTGCTGCCAATCACCGATTCCTACTTAAAGCTGCCATTTCAGGCAATTACATGTTCACTTGCAGGTAACAAAATATACAGAAAAACACCCAAAAAAAACCCTGTAAATAAATAAATCTGTACCTGTTCTGATGATCATGTTAATTCCTTAACTCTGATAAACAATAAGGTGATCTGCTGAAATAGAGGTAATCTGTGGAAGCTGTTTCAGAAATTATGGTTTTAGTTAATTATCTGTAGAATCTAAGCTATTTACGTTAAAAAAATTTAGCAGCATCGTACTTTCAAAAGCAGTGATAGCATTATGTGTAAGATTCAAGTTGCATCATAAAGGAATTCTGTATAGAGCAAACTTTGGTTTGGGGTTTGTTTTTTTTTTTGCAGGCATAGAGAAATCTGATCAGCCTCCATTATTACAAGTTGACAAGTTGAAAGAAATGTTATTGAATAAATGCATCATGATTAAAGTGAAAGGGATTAATGGAAATACTAATCTAGTAACAGTGGAGAAACTTTGGGAAAACGGCAGTCTGAAAGTAGCTGTAACAGAAGGTTTGGTCAAATCCAGCAGTGCTGAAAGCTTACGCCCTGAGCGTCAAGGTACGCACTTAATACTTCAGATTACTTAATTTGAAGAACTGTGAGCACATGAGATGCCTGGCTTTTCCTTCTAAAAACTTTAGCCAAATTCCATGTGTCACCCCCTTAAATGAGGGAAGCAATGTCCATGTGTGTTTTGCTCATTCACTTCCTTTGTGTGTTTTTTTTTGTAGGCAATGCATGTGGGACCAAATGCTGCTGCACAGAATTAAAAATACAAGTAAGATTCAGTCCAGGCAACACTCTTCTACATTTCCAGGATTTAAAAGAAACCCCATGTGGGACACAGATGGCAGCAGGGAGATAATTGCTAACATTGAAGATGAGCAAAGTGAACATACCAACACTTGTTCTCGATTTGTTTTACAAGTGGTAATAATTAGAGCACCCTGAAACTGAGGGAGGATAGTGCACAGATCACACACACTCCATTAGTCTGTTTTGCCCCATGCACAGCTCTCTTCTTTCTTTTCCTAGAGTATATAGGCTCAGGAGGGTTCATTTTTGTCTGCTGTGTAAAGGTAGTTGTGGTGTTTTGCATAAACTATGTCACTTGGAGGGCAGCTGGATTTTTCCAGTAATATGGCAATGTTTTGCTGTGGTTGCAGCTTGGCAGAGAGCTGCCCATGTAAGTCTTACAGTGTGTATTTCTGGTAGCAGAGATTAATACTAATGTGTGCCACAGTCATTCATGGAGCTAGGGCTGAGAACCTGAGTTCAGAATACTGGAATCTGTAAGAGTGTTGCTAGATTGTCTCTTTACACTTAGGACATTCCTGTGATTTTGGAAAGCTTTCTGGCTTTAAGCTTTCTCATAATTTTGAATTGGGCTATTTATGAAAAATTAGAACTTTAAGCTTACTAAAAGTAACTTAAAGTATACCAGAAAAAATACATCGGCCTTTTGCAAAGTGAGGATCTTTGTCAGAGGGATGAGAAAAACCTTGAATTTTCAAGATGGAAACCTCTTTCAGGTGTGGTTCAAACTTCCCCCTCTCACCCCAGCCAGTGGCAGCAAGGTCAAAAGCAAAAACATGCACTGTGATATTTTGGAGGTAGGAAAAGCATTTCTCTCAAGGTCATTTAGACCTTTACTGCTTTGGAGTAAGTTTTGCTACCAGGAGTTTAGTGGCAGAAAGGCAGAACCATGCTGTTCCTGAATGTAGTTCATTTGTCTGTCCCAGTGTAGGTAGCTGGACCTCCATTTCCCTTTCCCCTCTACATCTATTTGATCTTCCAGTTAGATCTAGCTAATGTCTTCTGACTTCAATGTGAGTTTTCTGTTTTCTGTTATCCTACTGTATAAGTTTGGCTCACTGTCATGACAGATAAAGGTAGGACAGGAGATTCCAAAATAACTCAAAACATCAGGAAATAGATGTGTGAATAACCAATTTGAGTATTTCATCAGTATGGTTCAAGGAAGCTGCTGCTTCAGGGGAAAAAAGGGGAGCAATGACAGGGGGGAGTCAGCTACAATTCTACTGGCTTTTTACACATCCAGAAGGTTTTACAGCAGAAAGGACTTGTATATTCATTGAACTAATACAGGATTTAGCAAGAGTTCTGTAGTTTTAGGAAGTATCGTAATAGGAAATCAGCAATTTAAAAGACAAATCTTATGTTTCTGTTTATTCCACAGCTTAAAAAGCATGAGCAGATCCTACTCTTCCTTTTAAACAAGTATGGGAATCCAGAGGGATTCAATGAAATGAAAAAACTGTTGGAACACTAAGTCTCCAATGGGCCATTCACTTCTACATATACCAAGTTGCTGCAGTTCCTATATTGGAAGAGCCAGGTGTACTCATCAGCTTGAAAATGAGTAGCTCTATAGGAATTCTTCTGTTTAAGTACCTGTATTTATCTGTATACTGGGATTGTTCTGAAATATGTAGCTTGAAGGATTTCAAAGCAGCAAGCTCAAATTAATGTTATGTTTTTTGCTTTGTACAACCATGTGCTGCTGGTTTTGCCTTTCATTTTGCTGTTGAATGCACATAACTGAGAATGGTCATTGCATTGTGAGTCTAGTCTTCAAACTGACATTTGAAATGACTGTAATCATAAAGCTTACTTCAATTTTGATACCATTAGTCTTAAGTGAAAAAACTGTATCTTGATATAGTCGTCTTTCAGTTTGATTTCCAGTCTGAAGTTAGACTGAAAATTGTTTTACATCAGCTTGGTTTCAGTATCATTAATGGCTGAATCTTGTCTTGGACTACCTGCAGGTAGTTCTGTCTAAAAATCACTAAACACGTAAAAGCACACAGTTCTTTATTTACACTTATACTGTGTAATCTGCATCTGTGAATATTGTTTTGAAGTAAATAGTATTGGAGCTGTTTTGGCTGTAGCTACATTGTTGGGATTTTTATACCATCATGCTCTTTCACATCATAATAGTCTCATTCTGGGCTGTGACAAAAATACTGAATCAGATTATTGTGGGGATTTTGGTACCTCTCTAAAGTGGAGCAGATACTTAGTTATCATTTCTGACTAATCCGGAAGCAATGTTGCTAAGGATGCCAAGTTGCTGTGCATACAGCACAGCAGATGCTTGTTGAAACTGTGGAGTCAGCTTTTTTTTTCCACTTGAAGTATGTATTTGAGGCTCTGTGCAACTCGGAAGTATCTTGAGATTAAACTTGGTGTGAAAGTGAAATATTTTATGTTTGAATGTTTTATTACACTTGGCTCAGATTGCTTGTTTTCCTGCCTCTTGGTTTCTGTTGTGTCATAATCTAATGATTATTCTAATGAAAAATGCTGGGGTGTTGAGCTCTTTGTGCCCCTGGTTCTGAACCAAGATTGTGGCTGTCAAGTGTCCTTTGACTTCCTGGGGCAAGTGTGACTTTAACAAGCATTTACCCACTTGGAAAGCAACTCCCTGATGCTTCAGTCCTCTTCACTTTTCCACATACTCTCCTAGCACCTAGGCACTCCATTTCAGAAGGTGACTCAGACTATAGCAGTCAAAAGCAATGACTTTGTCCAGACTTTATAAGCAGGGGAAAGGAAAAGGGAATCTCTGCTGGTTATACTTGGGCAAAAACCTCTGGAACGTAGTGGTTTTTGTCTCGGTTGAAGGTGTATGTATGGTGCAGCACAATAGTATCTGACAGTAATTCCTCTATCCCTCTCGGGAGAGGAGAAGAGACTTGGTATGGTTCAGAGACCTATTTCACTCCTTATTTTCAGAGGAAACCTTTGGGAACACTGATGTAGGGACATACCAAGCAACAATCTGGAAACCTATTGTGACTTCTTCCTCTTGCTTTAGTCTGCTACTTTTAATTTGTAATTGAAATCTGGTCTTGAAGTGACAAATCATCAGCTATAATTATCTAAATGCTAGTACACAATCTAAATTGTAGTGTGTGATTATGTCTGAAGATTTAAGTTAAATATTAGGAAGAAATTATTTACTGTGACCACAATTCATTGTGTGTCCTTATTCTTGCTGTGGAGTCTGCATTGCTCTGCTTTCAAGGGTAAATAAGGACTGTTGATGGTGAGTATGGCAGGCACCCCATGGCTTGCAGGAGAGAAGATTTGAAAAGCAGAATCAGGAAAGTGATGCAGGAATGAGATCTGGTACTTTGGTATGGCTTCTGCTAATGGAATAATATTATCACTTAAATTCTGCTTTATTCTTAGAAAATCTAGGTTAATAGTTAATAATTTTCAAATAATAGTGGAATGTGGAGTTCTTTTGCATGTGTTCAGTTGTAAAAGGAGAAAGAAAAAAGCGATAATTATTTAAATCGGGTCCCTTAAATGATTCCTCTATGTGTAGCAGGTATGATTAGGGTATTTTCACTCACAGGTAGAGAATAGTTTGCTGTGGAAAAACATTAGGGAAGACATTCTCTAAAAACCATTAAAAAGCTGATTCATAAATGAAATCACGTCATGGCTGTGGGTGTTGCAAAGCAACCTCTGGTCTGTGGTTTTACCTCTCCTCCAGTTACCTGTGCTCTGGGGCACCACCATTTCCAGCTGTGTTTAGTCTGTGGGATGAGTGGGTACAGCAGTGTGCATCCCGAAGGCAACCTAGAGCAAGGTGGGTGTTGTCCGGTTTGGTTTGGTCCTAACTGTAGGTGGCAGGATGTGCTGGGTGAGGCGAGAGGCTGGCACAGCTGAGCGCGATATAAATCCCAAGTGTGAAGGGAGCTGCTCACAAACCCTCAGGTGCACAAGGGTTCGCACAGCAGACCTGGCAGACAAAAGGTAACGTGCAATTTAAACTGGGTGGTTTTCCCTCGTTTCAGTTCGTAACATCTTAAAGCTCCTCCTCGGCGAATCGGGATCAGGACCATGTGGGACCGCAGCGGTACCGTGGCTGTGATACGCTCGGTGGCCGGAGTGGGGCTGGCGGCGGATCCCTGCGGCACCGGGAGAGGAGCAAGGGCCGGGCGGGCAGCTTCTCCTCTTCCTCCTCCTTCTCTCCTCGCTGTCCCGGCGCTCGGGGACCGGGGCTGTGGTCGCCTTCTCCTGACCGTCCGGGCGGGACGAGGAGGCGATGGCATCGGGGTGAGTGTTCGGGCAGCGCCGGGACGGTCCGGGCAGCCGGGCGGGCCCCCGGCGGGGTGTAGGGGGTGCTGGGGAGCAACGAGGGCCCTGCTGGCCACGTTGAAGCCCGTGAGCCGATTGGGATGAAGGGAGGCGATGGAGCAAGGCACCTGAAAACCCCGTTGCTGAGCCGATGTCCAGTCCCAGGCCAGGGGAGGACCTGGCACCCGGGGGGGGGTTTGAGCCCAGCCTCTGTGTGTTCCGCCTTTGGTGCGGTAGCGCGGTGCCCCCCGGGAGCAAGAGGTTTGCTCCTGTGCTTGGTAAGGCGGACTGGGTCAGTCTCGTCTTGAGCAAGGGGTGAATTTGTTCACTGTAATAAAGGAATAGCGCCATGCTGGGTTATTGAAATAACAAAACCCCACCACCCAGAAAAGCAGCCCTGGCCCCTGCTCTAATGCTTTAATTGACTCGTTTCCAGCAGTTTTGAGGTGCGGCGAGGGGGAAATGTGCTGAACTTGCCAGGGCAGGCTTCAGACAGGTTGTGTCTCACGTCCTTAATGTAAAACCCATCTGCAGAAGACACAAAGGCAGCTTGATGAAGCAAAGAATGAAGGACCTGGAATGGTAGTGGCGCTTCATGGAAGAATGTAGAGAAGCCCCTGTCTTTGAGTACACACGATAGCTGGTATTCCTGATGTGTTGCAGTGGCTAGAGGGCTCAGGCTGGATCCCACTTGTACTATAAATTCATGCACCTGTGAGCAAGTCGCTTTGTCTCTCTGTATCTTGGTTTCTGTGTGTGTTAAAGAGGGATGAAAATGTCTTCCCACGTGGTCTGGAGTGGAAAGGAAACAGGGAGGTGCCAGGACCCTGCTTTGCCAGTGATCTGAGGAAATGTGAACAGACACCAAAACGTGACTTGGAAGTTGCGAAAGTGATTTTACAAGTGGCTTCTGCAAAGTTGGCTTCCGTTGTGTTTGTTTATTACTGTGAGGGTGCTGAGGCGCTGGGACAGGGTGCCCAGGGAAGCTGTGGCTGCCCCATCCCTGGCAGTGTTCAAGGCCAGGTTGGACAAAGGGGCTTGGAGCAAGCTGCTCTAGTGGAAGGTGTCCCTGCCCATGGCAGGGGTTGGAACTGGATGAGCTTTGAGGTCCCTTCCAACCCAAACCAGTCTGGGGTTCTGTGATTTTGCACAGTGAAGGTGAGGCATCACCAGGAGGCCAATGCCCACGTACAAACACATTTTCCCACTTCCTTCAGCAAGGGCTCTGCTTAGAGGGGCTGTGTGTGTGTGCTGACCCAGCGCTCGTGTACTCTGTGCTGGGGTAGTTAGCCGCATCATCTTCTGTGGGTGTCCCTAAAGATGTCTGGGTCTTCTGAGGAGACTCTAAGTGGAATAAGTGGATGGAGTAACAAAACCTTCTCTTTTGACCTTACCCCGGTTCTGTAAAACAACCCAAACCTGTGGGAGAGTCCCGCTTTCTAAACCTCCTTTAGGAAGGGCACGCAGACTGCTGCCCTGGAAATACATGCAGGTAACAGCTTGTATGTGTCTGCAGGAGTGATGCTGTGGAGAAAATTCGCAGGTCGTGGCTTGTCCTTGGGACTTGCAGAGATGCAGCAGGAGGATAAGGTGTGAACGTGGGTTAGTGTTGTAAGAGGGGTTGGGTATGAGGTGATCAGGAACATCTTGGCGTCATGCATGTTGAGGTGAGGACAGGCTGTCTCACTAAACTGAATACCAGAGATGTTACCTCTGCTGCAGGCAACCATTGCAACTGACTGTCTTGGAAAGGCAGAGTTCCTCCTCTTCTGCAGCGTTGGATGCCTGGGGAAGGACAGACCACAATTTAGTTTCCTCAAGAGGCAGGCTCATCACAGCAGCCTTGAAGTCCTTATTCCTGCTTGTGAGGTTTGTCCTTCAGCCAGCAGGTGCCTGTGGTCTGAATGATGGCTTCATTAGCAACCAGCAGCAAACACCCCTTCCAGTCCTGCAGGAGCATGGGCAGTGACACCACCAAGTGACGTAGCAGAGGGATTTTTGTCTTGTAAGACAAGGTGACCAACCTGAGGTCTTCCTGTCCTTCTGGGAAGCTTTTGGACCAAGGCACCTGTGTGGCATGGCGATGCATCTAAGGAATGAAGCAGGGAGATGTCTTGTTGATGTGCATGAGAAGGGAGCACCCTCGTTGTTTGTGAACCATTCACACCTGCACACGGTGTGGGCACATCAGTAGTTGATCTGTCTCAGGTGGGCATGTTTCTGGCTGGTACAAGGTAGTGTCTGGCCCCAGCTGTAGCCTCCACAGATTTTTCACAGAGAGGGGCAACAGGGACAATCACAATCATTGCACCAGAATCCATTCCCTTGAATTAGCAGTTCTCAGTGGGTATGTGACCAAGTTACCTGCGTTCTTTCATAGTCTCAATATAATTACACTATTTGCATATTCAGTTCCTTATGCTATTGGTTTCTCCTAAGACATCAAGTTACCCCAGATCCCTAGCACCCCTTTTTTCTGCCACTCTATACGTTTCTTCCTGGTACCAGCACTGTCTGCCTGCTGCTGTACTCAAGTACTGCTTGCAATGCTGAGGCAGGCTCCAGCTCCCCTGGGTGGTCTTGCATATGTGACATCCAGCAAAACGTAAGAAAGATGAGGCATTCACAGAGACACTCCTGCTGCTTTGCCACAGGCAAAGTCGGTAGCACGAGTGCTTCTGGCAGAGCAAACCACACAGTGAGTTTAGCACAAGCTCTGGGGGAAGAAAAGTGCCTTTTATTCCATAACTTGTGGGTTGTACCTGATCACTGTGTGCTGATTTTGATAGTACCCCATATGAGCGCTGCAAGATTAAGTCTCTTAAGATACAGGAGCCCTTATTGCACAAGGGGAAAAGGCCCTGTCAAAACTGTTCCTCCACGCAGAAACAGGGGGGAGAATAAACAAGTTGGTTTTGCAGAGCATCTTATGGAAATTAAATCTTACCACTTGAGGAGAAAAAAAAGTGTCAGAAGTTTGGGACTGGAGTTTGTGTTGTTTTAAGGAGACGTTAAATATTTCCCTGTCATCTTCCTCCTTCCCCTTTCAGTTTTGACTCCCCCGTTAGTTGTTCCTGTGGCTGGGCAGAGTGGACACCCAGAGCTCCCAATAGGGATGTCCAACTGCCTCCAAGCCTGGGCAAGAAGTGAAACTGACTTATGGGAAACAGGCTGAGAGAGGGGGAAGCAAAACTGGCCTCCTCTCTTCTCTCCTCACACCTAAACATCAGGGGAACAGTGGGTCCCCTCAGCAGGTGGGTCCACATCCTCAGGCAGACTGAATGGAGCTATGGAGTTACACCTACAGTGACAGAGGGTTGTTTGGCTTGTTGAGAACATCAATGAATATGCAGCATAATAATTTCTGCTTTCCCCCCTATTACGAAATGAAAGGTGGACAGCTTGAAAAATGAGCTGGAAATGCCTTTTGTTGCAAGCCAGGTCTCTGAGATGAGAAGAGGGGGTAATCAATTACAGCAGCTAACTGGTGATTTTAAGTATCTCCTACTTGTCCCACTAGAAGAGTAGCATTTGCCCCAAATTAATGTACGTGATGATAACTGTTGAAGTAACACCCTAAAAAAGGGATGTGCTCTTATAGATATACACAGGATAGCATCTCATGGTGGTGTTTTGTTGCAGGCAAGTTTGGCAAGGTGCATGACATCCGCTGCTAGCCCTTGCCCTTTCCCTTCCCTTCCTTCTTTAGAGACACCAGCCCATGCTATGTTTTAGATCCCTTCTTAGGCAGGTACTTGCTCTGCTGTAGGCACAGCTCTGCTGTTGGACATGGGTCAACATCCAGGTGAGCAGCCCCATGGTTTTGGTTCACTGTGTTTTCAGATCAGGGTTTGGGTCTGTCCCATTAGTAAGGATAGGGAAGGTGAGATGTTTTGCAGATGGTGAAAGCCATGTTGAGAAGCACTTGTCAAGAGGAGCTTTCTCCACCTCTACCCCTCTTGTCTTACTCCTCCCAATAAGGTACATGTGGCTATGCTCTTAGTCAGCTTTACATAAGCTGTGATTACATATACATGAGAATCTGGTTACAAAAAATACAGCTTTTGACTAATCATGGTTTAAAAAAGAGATTATTTTGACTCAGTATTAATGCAGATACTTCTGAATTTTCCTTTCTTAATGGCCAGAAAGATGAAATGAAAAACTCCTTCACTCACCACAGCATCCCCAGCAAAGCTGCTGTCTAAAGATCCTGGGGTAATGCTGACGAACAGTGGATGATGATGCAGTTTTCTTTCAGTTCCTGATGCTGAGAGTCTAACTGGACTGAAAGACAAAGAATTCATCCTTCAAATTAGTTGATGTAAACCCAAGATAAGGCTAAGTTGTAGAAATATCTCAACCTGTCAACATTTTGCAATGAAAACAATCTGAAATCCCCTCACATCTGGTTGCAGGCAGAAGCTTGTCCTCCTTTGGATGTTGTGTGCACTGGAATTAGCTGCTAGACAGAATGTCCTTGGGGCATGGCAAAAGGATGACCTTACCTCTGTGGCATGTGCCAGGGCTTGAAGCTACTGAGGGACACAAGGGCTTCTTTGATGAAGGCATGTGTTATGTTTACCCCCCTTTACTTAAGCAAGCTTGGGATCTGTTAATTTGGGGGTGTTGGGAGCATGTGTTGAAGAGTGATGCTTATAAAGCACCTGGTACTGGGTAAAGAGCTGCAAGACACAGAGTGCTATTGTGTCTGTAATCCCTAATGATGCTTTCCAGTTCCCCTCTTCATTATGGCCCCATGCAGGTAACTGAGCAGGGCCTTGCCTTGTCTGTGAGAGGTGTTGAGGTGCAGGCATGGGTTTAATGGGCCCTTGCTCCGACCATTTGGTGTCTGGGGTGGGTGCTAGAGGTACCCCTGGCAGAGCAAAGGGTCCCAGACTGATGCTCTAGGGCAAGGCAAGTCCGTCACTTCAGGTGTCTTACGTGCTCCTCTGAATAGAAAAGCTTGTCCAGAGGAGAAGTTTCCATTGCTGAAAGCTTGGCTTGTGTCCTGGGGTTTAAAGTTTTATGTGTCCCCAGGGACTCATCTGTGTTAGTGAGGTCTTCCCACCTACGGAAGCACAAGGGATGGTGGCACCCAATCTTAAAGACAGGGGAAACTGAGGAAATGAGATGCCAGCACAGAACACCAAATCCAATGTCAAACAGTGAGAGTGAGGAACCTTTCTCAGACTGTGTTCCTTCCGACAGGAGCTAACACAGATGTGTCCAGGGCAATAGCAGTCGAGGGTTGGACTGGGATAGGCAGTGTGAGGACACTCCATGAAGCCGTTTCTTGACCACTGCTGCTCTGACTCATGAGGTTTGCCACATTACAAAGAATTGACACCTGAAGCAATGGGAATGTGCCTATTTTGGTGTTTTCACTAACAAGCATCAGTTCTTCCCACCTGCTTATTAAACATATCCTTTGCTGCAGAGGCTAAGTGTTCCCTGAGCAAAAGCCCTCTCTATTTTCATAGGAAAACACTTGGTTAGTAGAGGTGGTTATCAAGAAATGCATGTGTCTGTAACTGCATGAGAAAATCTGCTTTTGTAATGAGAGAGGCAGAGACCCAGCATGAATCTGGTCAGATTTGCTCTAGTGAGTGCACCCAGTGCTCTTAATCTGGAGGAAAAATAAATACACATGCTTTAACTTGAAAGCCATAGCTCAGCCAGACGTGCTTGGTCTAAATGTGTGCTTGCTTGAAAGTGTCACTGAAGTCCATCTGCGATGTGATGGCAGCCTTGCTGATTTCAAAGGGGAAATGAGCAGGAAATGGACTTTGCTGGACAGTTGTGCATGAAAACATCTCCCCAGAAAGCCAGTCCTTGGGAGATATAAGGCATGAAAGAGCCTGTGGTTGAGTGTTCTTGAAGACCCGCAATGATGGGCTGCAGCGCTGGCTGAGGCAGGGATGTCTCAGTTGGATGGTAGGGTCAGGGGGACATTGCTCTGCCCCATGCTCAGTGAGCCCCCTGAGGAGTTGTGTTTGGCTCCCTGAGGGCAGCAGGGAACGTGGTGGGATTCGGCTTTGAGAGTGAGGTGCAGTGATGAGGAGGAGAACAGAGGTCTGGGTGGCTATAGAGAGAAGGAGAGGAGGGCGGCTGGGTGCTCCCTCCCCTTGAAACCTGCTTTCTCCAGTCTGAATAGGAAAGGAGGTGAGTGCACAGGGAGACTCTTTTCCATAGTTTCCTCATTTTCCTGTTTTTTCCTTCTATTTGTTTCCCACCCTCCTCCCCAGGAGCTGCCTTTGCTCTTCAGAACTCATCTGAACTCATCCCATGAGACAACCAGCAACGAGGTGATCAACTGCAGGTAAAGAATCCAGCCTTAGGCATTGGATCAATGCTCCTCTCCTTTATTTTTCTTTCAGATTTGTCACCATGAGCCTCTTGTCATGCGAGTCCATCTGTGTTTTCCTGCTTTCCCAAGGTATGTTTGAAGTTGCCATGTTTCATCGGTGGTTTCTGTCGCGGGTGCTTCCCTGTCTCTGGAGTTCTTCGCTCTGAGGAATGAGGGCCAAATGAGTGCCTCTCCAGGAGGTTTACAAATAGATCTCTGAAACAGTTTCACACAGAAGGGGAGAAAATAATACCTGGAGAAACAGCTTTGCTGAGAATTTGCACATCTGTATATGTGAAGTGTCTGTTGATATGGGAAAAGCTGATGATGTTATGATATTAAAAGCTCATTAATGCCTCCAATGCGATTATTGGGTGTCTCCATTGCTTGTGCCTGTAATCTTTGAAGCCTAAGCCTAGCCTTGCTGTCATTCTTGCGCTGTGTCCTTGCATGCAGTGAGCAGAGGACTGTCTCCTGTGCTGTGGGTCCTTGGCATTTTTCATGCTCTCTGTGTCCCTGCCAGAAGGAATTTCCTCCCATAGACACACATCAATGCAAACGTGAAATCTCTCCAGCAAGCCAGCATTTCTGCTGCTCTAGATTAAAGCCTGCATGTTTGTTTGTTTGTTTTTATTAAGGCAGGTCTTAGTGTTGATGGGTGATTGTCTGTTTGATCCCACAGTTTTGCTGGTGTGGGGTATACAAGAGATTCATGCTGACCAGGAGATGATCAGCAAGATCTCAGCTGCTGGCCAGTGTAAGTTCATTTTTAAAGCAAATTTTTCTGGTTTTTGAATTTTTTCTTTCTTTATCTTTTTTTTCCCCTAAATTTATCTGTTTGTTTATTGGACCTCATTCAGTCTGTAATGCTCTGGCAAGCACAGCATTGTGGCTGCTTCTGCCCTAGCCTGGTTTCCCCCCTCACTGGTAATAGCTCTTTTGGGATGTGACCTGCTCTGGTTTTCCTGTACTGGATATTTGCCACCTGGCTGGTGTTTGTCAGTTCCTTCAGAGCCTGTTTCAAGCAATCCTGGTTTAAGGAGCTGTGTCTAATCACAGGCTCGATTAGACCTCTCATGTGGCTAATTTGTTCAGCCTGTGAAGCCAGCAACAGCCACAGTGCAGTGAACAAGGATGACTGCTCTCTGGCTGCCACCAAACCGTGTTCACCTACAGCTCCCTTGACGTACACTCAATTGGTTACTCACAACCTGTATCATGCATTCTCCTGCTAGCTATTATTTCCTGTTGTCTGCCTGTCAAGTGATAAATTACATGTACCTCATAGCAGCCTCCCAGTATCTGAAGGGGGCCTACAAGGATGCTGGGGAGGGACTCTTCACTAGGAACTGTAGTGATAGGACAAGGGGTAATGGGTTAAAACTTAAACAGGGGAAGTTTAGATTGGATATAAGGAGATACTGTGAGGGCGGTGAGGCACTGGAATGGGTTGCCCAGGGAAGTTGTGAATGCTCCATCCCTGGCAGTGTTCAAGGCCAGGTTGGACAGAGCCTTGGGTGACACGGTTTAGTGTGAGGTGTCCCTGCCCATAGCAGGGGGGATGGAACTAGATGATCTTAAGGTCCTTTCCAACCCTAACTATTCTATGATTCTATGTTTCTATGTCAGGCATGCCCCCATCCTTAGCACTGTGTGTTCAGCTCAGACTTTCCATCCTGATGTGCCCTATTTGGATGTTTCTCACTGATGCACATCACCAAGAGCCCTTTGGTGGGCTGCAGGCATAGAATCATAGAATGGTTTGGGTTGGAAAGCACCTTAAACTCATCCAGTTCCAACCCCTGCCATGAGGAGGGACACCTTCCACTACAGCAGGTTTCTCAAAGCCCCATCCAGCCTGGTCTCCAAGTCCCCATGCCAAGCCCACACTGGGATGGAGGCACAGCAGCTTTCTCTGTGCATGCTTAAGCAGACAGCTGTGGTTAGTGCCTGCACTCAGCACCCAGGTTGTTGCATCTCCACATCCAGACCAGCAGTGAGGGCAAGGCTGACAAGCTGGGACAGTGCTGGTGGGCAGGCTGTGCTCCAGCTCATCCCCAGTGCAGTGCTCCAGGGCGAGGGTGGTTGCCCCATTAGAAGAACCAGTGACCCAGAAGGGAATGCTTTACAGCTTTCAATCCCTTGTAATCTGCTGTTAGAAAACCCTAACTCTAAATTCAGGGTTTTGCTAGCAAAAATCACAGCTGTGCTTAAACCATGACAAGTCTGAACCAGTGCAGGCCAGAGCAGGAGTGCATCCAGGCTTTGGGTTGTGTCTGTCCTCTGCAAATCTATTTGTCTGGATTTTCTGCTCCTGGCTATCTGTTTCCAGACAGTCAGACTAATAAGGTGCAGTTTCAGAGTGTCTATCTTTTCTCCTAGTGATGCAGTGCTCTGCTTCGTTTGATGTCCTTTTCCTCTTGGACGGCTCCTACAGCATTGGTAAAGGAAGCTTTGAAAGGTCTAAGCGCTTCACAAGCAAGCTCTGTGATGCCTTGGACATCCACCCAGACAGGGTGAGTGTCAGGAATGTCTCATTTTAGGTTCAAACAGCTTGTCAATGTGTGGAAAGGCCAGTGATAACGTGCTGAGTGAAACTGCAGCATTCAACCTAGCAGCTACCATGGGTATTTATCCAGACAGATGAGGTGGAGGTTTGTGAAGCAGTGGGTTTGGAGGACACTTTGTGATTCTCCACAGATTTTAAGCAGTTCCATTTGGTCTTGAGAAAAAGACATAATATTTCAGGTTAAAGATTATGATTTGGGTGGGTTTTTTTACTGATTTTTAGTTTGGTTTGGATGCTCATGGATTAAAATGACTGGAAGGGAAAACGCTCATTGCAAGGCATCTTAGTCAGGGGCCTTGGAGCAGGCTGGAGTGGTTTTTGTACTTGATTCCCTGCCAGAGCCTTTCCAAATAATTGGCAGGTCTTTGGGAAGGTTGTGGCAGGGATGCAAGGTCTCTGTGTAGCAGGAAGAGAAACTTGAGGCAGGACAGGGGGTGGGTCTGAGCCTGCTGCAGCTTTGGGGACCCTTGGTCCATGTCTGATTCTCTAGAGAGTTCTGGGAGCAAAGGAGTGGAGGCAGCTCTTGTGTTTGCTTCTGGTTCCCACAGCAGGGATACTTAGATTTGTGCCCCAAAACTTCCTCCAGACCAACTGCCTCCACTGCTCCAGGTCCTAAAACCAAAAGCCGCTGCTCTGCCCCTGTGGAAGGATCCTTTGGATGCTGAAATCACCATTCCCCTTCATCATTTTCTTATGTAAGAAATCTTTCACCTTTCAGATCTCGGCTCAGCCACACAGCACAGGGAGCTTCCTGCAGCCTGGGCAATGATGGCAAGGAGTCACAGTGCACACTTGAGGCTTTGAGAGATGCTGGGCAGCTCAGGTTAAATGGACATTCCCTTTTTATGGCTCATATTAAATTGATTGAGAGTAGAGACTTGTATAGGATCATAGAATGGTTTGGGTTGGAAGGGACCTTCAAAGGTCATCCAGTCCACCCCCTCTGCAATGAGCAGGGACGCCTTCAACTAGACTGCAATATAGACCTATAGATTGAAAATCAGTAGTTTTTTCACCTTTGAAGTTGTCACATTCCATGAAACTTCTTGTCAGGCTTCAGTGGAACATCCTGGTTGTATTGCCCAATACAGACAATTCAGTCTATTTGCATTTTCAGTGATAGAAAACAGTTTTAGAGGAGGTAGTGGAAAAATAATTGGTTTGTGTTGCCTGCTGTGCTCGATGCCGGAGGGAGCTGCTTTTAGTAATGGAAAGATTGCTGTGCAGTGTATAACTGGCTTGGCATAAGAGGTGTTATTTATGAACTTACTGTGCTTGAGGCTCCTTGCTGCTCTGAATGGATAAATATAGATCCTGAGCTGCCTGTGACTGCAGCAGAGGCTCGCATTGTTTGCTAATGAACTATTTTGCCTTGTATACAGTCTGCATAGGAGATGCTGTGGTCTGTGCTCCTTGTTGAAGTTTATTTAGAATCTCACAGATACCTTTCATAATCTTCAACCTTTTCTGTTAGGTCCGCGTGGGTTTGATACAGTTCAGCTCAACTCCTCACCTTGAATTCCCGCTGGATTCATATGTAACCAAACAAGAAGTGAAAGAGAGAATCAAGAGGATTGTGTTCAGGTCAGCTTATTTTACAGCTCTTTTTGGGGGCTATGAATGATCTCTGGACTGGGAGTTTGTTGAGGTCAGGACACCTCCAGCCCTGCTGTGCATACACCAATGTGATGCCCTCAGGGAGGAGGGTGGATGAGCACTGTGGCCCATAACCCACAGCCTGCTAAAACCTGGTCCGGCTTTGTTGGTGGAAGTTGATGGGAGGGAGTTTTCAGTGTCCCACTGTAACATGGTAAATAAGGAGAATTTTCCATGACCCTCCTGGTGGGTTTTTCTTGCCATTCGTGCCGGGTGGTAGGTTACATGCTTCCAGGGAAAAGCTAGTGTGGTGTTCCACACACCTGAGCAAAGGTAGGACATGGCTTTGGTGGTTACAGTTTCCTTTGTCTTATGAAGTAGTGATGAATTCCTGCTCCCCGGATGTCTGTGCATGTGTACCTGCTGAACTCAACAGGATCAGGTTTTCAGAGGAAAACCTTTTATCTTCCTGATGATAAGACTTGGATGTGTTCCCACGACCTCAGGAAATGGAGCCAGAAGCCCAGAAAAGACCTGTACTTACAGCCTCTCCAAATCCAAACTCTTCATCTCTGCGAAGTACTTTTGGATCTATGAAGGATCTGGCAACCACCCCCAAATAACTCTTGTTTTGATGATAGCTAAGATACTGGTGTGGCCTGTGGGAGTCTACTCCTTCTTCAGCTCGTATGCATTAGGGGTAAAGTTAGCTCTGCATTTCTTATGGATGTCTGCTACTCTCAGCATGATGTACATAATGCAAGCAAATGGGATCACTTTTGACTTTCTCAAGCAAGACCAATTGGCTGGTTTTGCTGCATTGCTTTTGGGAAGTTTATCAAATCAGGAAAATCTCTCGTGTAACGTTAAAGGAAAAACTTCTCAGAAAACAAGCTACACTCCTCCTCTTTGGCTGTTGGCTGAAAGTCAGTGAGAACAGAGAAAGCGGAGCAGTGTTTGGTGTCTGGCACTGAAATTCCTTGATGAGAACGCATGGATGCTGACAGATCAAACAGAAAGAATGACCTTGTGCTTGGCTGTTCCATCTAGTTTAAATGAAAAGCTGACATTTCAAAGCAGATAAAACAGCTACGGATGGATTCCAGTTGGCTTCTGAAAAAGCTGTGTGTCTGATGTCTCGGTTGAGAGGCTTCTTGATGTGCTTCTGATGAGCCTTTGGCCAGCAAGGCGTTTCCTGACTTCAGCCCTGTGCTCCAGGCGTGGAGCTGAGAGCACTTGAAAGGAGGCAGCACCAGACTAAAGTGAAGCTTCTGTGATTTATTTGGAGCCTGCTGGTCTCTCTCTGTGAATCCTGTCCAGTCAGCCTTTGAATTCGTTGGCCAAACCCAACCAAATTTGGCAGTAATCTCAGAAGCTGAACTTCTCATGAATTTCTTTCATACAAGTCAATGACTGGTTAGAGGAGAAAAACTTTCTTAGCGCTGTCCTGGAGGAAAGGCAGCAGGTAAAATCCACATCTCCTTCAGCTTCAGAAAATCCTCATTGGAGTAATGCCTTAAACACACACCCACTGTGTCAAAACCAGTGAAAATTGGTAAGAAACTGAATTTAAGGAGCTTTTGTGCAGAGACTCTTCATTAGGTTTTTCTAACCCTCAGGGCTCATGTGGGCACAGCTGAGTTATCGAGATTCAGTCATCAGACTGACTACGCACAATATGTTTTCCCTCATGCACAGCACTTTTCACTGAAGCATCTGACAGCTGCTGACATCTGGTCAGGAAATGGCATATTTGGATATGCTATGAACACAGTATGAAATGAGCATGAAATGATGAACTTGGGCATGATCAAATGCTTTCCTTGAACAAGTGAATCAGGAATCAGGTGCTAAAGCAAAGGATGGATGTTCAGAAAGCAAATGGGGTGTGTTTGTGTCAACACAGCTGAAGGACAACATGATGCCCCCAATAAATGAATAACACTTGTGGTTTGGTTCTCCTTGCTTGCTCGGGATGGCTATAAAAGCAGATGTAAAAGGCAATTATAGGAAGTGATTTAAAGCACAGCTCCTTGGTAGAAGACAGCTGGAAATGTCTCCTCTGATCTCACGGTTTAGTTATCAACAGGTCTGGAGCAAGTTCCCAGTGAACTGGGCTCTCTTTGGTATCAAACATCCAGTCAGGCATGGCACATTACAGACTTCTCGCCTTGTGCAGATGGAGAACTACCAAGAATGGAAGAGGGAGACTCGTGTCAATGCAGGATTTACCCATTTGAGATAAGCAAATGTTTGTTCCTCCAACACCAAAAAGAGTTAATGAGTTGTAGGAAGGGGTCAAAGCTGTCAACAGCAGCTGAAGAACTTGCTGTGTGGGTTGCCCTTGATTTTTACAGGGGGTGAAAGGCTTTTACCCAGTGTGTTGTGTTGTAGCAAGGTCTTAGCCTGGTATTGACGGGGTGCAGAGAGTACGTGTTGATGTGAAGCTTAAGTTGGTTGCACCAGGGGCTGCCTGGGTAGCCTACATCTCCAAGTGTAGGAGATGGATGGGGAGTTGGGGCAGTGGGGGCCGATTTCACCTTTGGGTCCAGCTGCACAGTCCACCCTGCAAGGCAGAGGTGAGACCATCTCCTGCCTCCTCTCCAAGGTCTCTATTAGGTTACTCATGGCTTTTACTTAAATAAAACTGCAGTGTTTGGCTCACAGTGTCATCATTCCTGCCTCAGCCTGATACAGGTGATCGTTTTATATATAATTCTGGTGATGTTTTATGGTACCTAGAACACAGAGCCCAGTCTGGAGTATTGAAAGCAGAGGACAGTCCCTGCTCCACAGAGCTCACTAAGAGGAAAGAACAACTAGAGTAAATGTACAGCCCATAAAAAACACGCATTGTTGTTCCCCTCTTAGACCCATGTGTATGTATAGCACTCCCTTTTTTATTCCCTTCTGCTTTATCTTCAGCACACTTGCAATGAGGGTCTCCTTCCCAGTTCACATCCAGCATGCCATCACTGAGACCCTTGTGCTGTGCAGACACTGGCCATAACCCTGCCTGTGGTGAGCATCCCTGCTGCCAGAGGGAACTCTCTTTCCTTCCCTGTGGCTTTGTGCTGGTGTGCAGCGTACAGCTCCAGTGCCTACAGGCTTGGGAGGCCAGTCAGGCTCTTAGGCTAAGAAGGCATCCAGCAGTCAGCAAATCTTACTCTTTAATAACCTCACAAGAAATGAGTCTCAGGATCTCTAAAGCATCATTGACTAAAGCTGTTCTCTGGCAACCCGTAGCTCATTTTCTACCTATACTGCAATCATGGTTGCTTTTCCTTGGGCGCTATTGCATAGCTGCAAGGCTTGATGCCTGCCATTCCCTAATGCCTAGCAGCAGCACATTTTACCTGCTGATTTATATTGCCGTTGGCATGTGTCCCTGCTGGAATGTGTGCCCTTTAGCACCTGAATCCTGATGCGGGTTTAGTACTTTGCTACTGAGAGGATTGATGAGTATTGAACTGATCACTTTCTACCTCAGAAACATTCCCTTCTCCAGGGGAGAATCCAGGGGCTGCCAAAATATGGAAGTAGCTGGTTTCTTGCACCCTAGAACTGCTTCTGGGGAGCCAGGAAAGAGAAAGTAAATGGTTTTGTGGAGAAGGACCTGGAATCAGCACTGAAATCTGCTTCTGGTACCTTTGGTCCAAGGTAACAGTTTTCATTCCCTCAGAGCCCAGCATGTGCACCCCTCAATCCCACTCCCCACATTCACCTCTCTTCAGGACCAGTCAGCTCTTCAGAGCAGATTTTCAGATGGGATCATCTGATGCTTTTACACATCTGTCCCCTCAACTCTTGAGATCCCATTAATTTGTAAATGAAGGGTGGCAGGGCTACCCAAACCCACTGTTTGAGTTACATGCATTGGAAGAAATGTTTCACAGGAGAGACACGCAGGAAAGCTCCATGATAGCCCAGACCTGAGGGCAGCCAGGCCCTACAGGGACTTCAGGACACTACTTGGTGCAGGCAGTATGAGGAGTAAGGTGGCTTTGGCATCTGAGCCACAAGTGAGCTGAAGCAGGTAACTTGTGCCAGTTTTAAATGGCCTTGTGCTTCTTCCAGGTGATCCCATCTCCAAAATGAGAAGTGATGGGTACAGCTTGTGTGAATATCAATGGCTGGTGCACCTTCTCTATCTTGCCAGAGGCAAGCAACCTGACAGATGAGAGTATTGATTTTGATTGCGTTTTTCATGGTTTTAGATAACTGGAGCATGAGGTGGCTTTTCTTAACATTTACTTTCCTCATGTAAAAGGCACTGGTGAAGCCCTGAAGAAAGCATCCCTTGTGTCCAGTCCTTCTGAGTTTCTAGAGGTACACTAAGAAGCTTTCAGCATCTGTATTTCCAGGAGCTTTACTACAGGATGGACACATGCCTTTTAGTAGAAAATCAAATTAACCTGCAAATAAACCATGGAGAAAAAGGCCAAGACTCTGCATACTGCTGGACTGCAGACACTCAAGTTACAAGCTGGGACACGTATCTCCCTTCTTGCTCTTGGTGTAAGAATGGCAGAAGGTTCCGTGGAAGGAAAGGGATGAAATGTGGCAAGAATTTCTAGCATCTTTATCCATCAAGAGAAAGGAAACCACTTTGAGATGCTGGTGTTTGTTCATTTTGCCCACCTGTACTGTGTTTCTGACTGGAATACAAGAGGTTGTTGTGAAACAGCTTTTCCTCACAACTCTTGAAGAAGTGACTGCAGTTTTTAGATGGAAGACCAAAAGCAGTTGAGGCATTTGTCAAAGCTGTAAATAAATATCTGAGAGCTCTGGTTTTGCTCCAGTTGCAGAAACTGCTGTGTGCTAGAAGCCTTGTTGGAGATGAGAGAGGCAAGGGTGAGTAGATGTGACCTATCGATAGGAAGATGAGAGGAATGACAGGGTTAGACATCTCTGTGGATGTGTGGTCTTGCAACAGGCAGAAATATGCTAAGTTCCCTATTACCAGAGGGTGGAAGTTTGAAAATCAAATGGTAAATACAATCGCAAGAGAAGAGCTTTGCTTCCCACTGTTCTGATTTTATCTCCCTTCCTTCTAGAGGTGGGAGCACAGAGACGGGTCGGGCTCTGAAGTACGTTCTCCGCAAGGGATTCCCTGGTGGCAGAAACTCGAGCGTCCCTGAAGTCCTGATCATCATTTCAGATGGCAAGTCCCAGGGCAGCACCGTGATGCCCGCAATGCAGGTGAAGGACAGACACATCACGGTTTTTGCAGTGGGAATCAAGTTTCCAAGGTAGGAAACCCCCCATACAGTGGGAAATGGAGGTCCAGGTAGCCAAATGGCAAGTTCTCGTGAGGAAAGGGTGGCCCTGTGCCTCATGTGAGCTTTGGAAAGAGAAAAGGGGGATTTGTGGGTTAACAAAGGGAGGGAATGCTGATTTGGCTGCTGGTGTAGGAGAACTAGTGTTGAAGGAAGCTCTTCCACTGACTTAGAGCTATGCTACTGCCTGAGATTAAACATACAAAGCCTTTGAAAACTGTTTGAAGGGTGTCATGGTTCTGCATCAGCTCTCTGTTCACTGCACAGGGTCTGTTTTGATACTTGGTTCTTTGGGGATAGCTAAGTGGTTGAACACCCCCTTGTTCTGCAGGTGGGAGGAGCTGCACATGCTGGCTAGTGAGCCCACTGAGAAGCATGTGGTCTTTGCTGGGGATGCTGATGATGCTGCCAACGGCCTGTACAGCACCCTCACCGGCTCTGTCTGCAGCACCACCGCTCCAGGTAACCCCTTGTCCTGGCTCCTTCTTCAGGTCCATGCTCTGAGCTTGGGCCATGTCACTGAGTGAGGAAGATGAGGCAGTGTCAGAAAGTGTACAAGGGAATTAGTAGGTCTTGTGCTCTGGGTTATCCTGATTCTGGTGGCCAAACTGGATAGCATGCTGGTGATTCCAAGTGGTGGGATCACCATCCCTGGAAGCGTGTAGATGAGGCCCTTAGTGACATGGTTTAGTGGTGACCGTGGCAGTGCTGGGGTAGAGGTTGGACTTAATGACCTTAAAGGTCTTTTCCAACCCGGTTGATTCCATGATTCCATCATGAAGGCACCAAAGGGGCTGAAAATTTGTCACTGACCTCTGAACTCAACAGTGAGAGTTTTATAGAGAAGCAAAGCAGGCTGAATAGTGAGCATCCAGAGAGTGGGACAGGCTGATGAGCTTGTCAACAGGAAAATTCCCTTCTGGAGTCTCTGGAGGCTGTGTGAATCACTGCCTGGTCTGCTGATGCTAGGAAGGCTAACGTGTTTTGGAATGGTGCTTCACTCCCATACAGACTTTGCATTTCCCTGCATTGATCCAAGTTTGCATTTGTTCTTTGCTACAGGTTGCAGAGTTGAATCCCACCCTTGTGAACGCAGCACCCTGGAGACTGTGAAAGAGCTGGCTGGAAATTATGTGTGCTGGAAAGGCTCAAAGCAGCCAAATGCAGTCGGGGCTTCGTTATGCCCTTTCTACAGGTGAGTTGGACACCACAGCTCTAGAAATGAGTGGGGCTGAAAGAATATGAGAGATACAGTAATGAGGCTTTTATCTGACCTTAATTCTTTATGGGGATGAAGATTGCTCGGAAGACTGGTGCAAACATGGTCCCTAGACATGGGAAGAAGCTCTCCCTGCCCTGACCATTGACTTATATGTGATGCAAAGGGTAAGAGGAGGAGCTGAGACAAGAGGATGATTAGCCCAAGAGAACTATGAATATTAGAAAATGGATTTGGGATTGGTTACCTACCTGCTGAACTGAGATGCTTTGAAGTTTACATCTCTGTACTGTCTCTGTTGCAGAGGTTTCTAGGTCTGGCTCCCTGTGTTGGTGCTTGCTTTGGTTTCATCCACTCAGGGTTTCTTCCTTGCAGAAACCCCTTTTCCTTTGCTTGGCTGCCCTGGGGGACATGGGAAGGACTTTCCTATGGAGAGGCTCCAGTCACTGGCAAAATACCCCCTGTGCAGCAGTGCTAAAACCAGAATGCGCACAAAGAGCTGCATTATCAGGTCAATGGCAATGAGTTGCATGGAGGAAATGTCCTCTTGCTCAGGGAGAGGAGGCTGGAGCTGAAAACCCATAAACCATGTCAGGTCCTTCAAATAACATTGTCACTGTAGTTGACACAGTGGGAGAAATGCTTTAAAAATGAGCTGTGAAGGGAAAGGCTGCTTCGTGCTCATTGCTGATAAAAGCAGCTGAGTGCAAGTGGTGGTGTGCAGAAATTGGTGTGTGGGGGGTGTTCTTCCTTTGAAGAGATGCTTTGTGTGTTTGTTTTAATACCAGGCAGTCAGATTCATGTTTGAAAATCACCCTGGATCTGGGCTGTGCATAATGGCCTGTGCATGGATATACTCAGGGATGACTGTATGGATAATTTCAGGCTTGTCTTAATGTCTGAGGGTGTTTCCAGATCCTTGTACTTTACAGCCAGCGTGGGAAAGCTGAGCAACTTGTGGCTTGCCTACAGCATCCCAGCTGTGATGGTGTTGGCCACAGTTGCTGCAAGTTTGAGCAGCCCTAATGCAGAGCACTGGAAAATCAGCGGCATAGTGAAGCTGCAGGTATGGGATAAATAGAAACCTCATTAACAGGGATGAGAATAAGCAGAAATCATCTTGCTGTCAGGAACCAATGTTACCTGCCTTCTTACGCGGGGCAAATATTCATTTGTCCTCTAAGGTCTGGGTTTATTTCATGTCACCTTAGGGAAGGGAAATGATGGAGGAAGTTAAAAAAATCTCACCGGGAGACACAGCTGAAGACTGAGGATTTCCTCCCACTCTAAACCTTGCTTGTCCACTAGTTACAGGCGGATAAATCAGATGCCAGAATTTTCACTGAATGACAAATTCTCACTGCTGTAAATTTTTCGTTTCATTCAAATTTAGAATAAAAACTGTGACATGTTTTCTGCAGTAACAATAACAAAAAAAATAATCTGGAGCCTGAAAAATACATCCATAATCTTTAAATGCAAAACATTTGTATAGAATTTAAACTCAAAAGAGTAGATTTGATGAAATTCTCTTTCTTTCTTTTGCCACCCCATGCTGAATGGACATTTTCTTGAAATACTTGTTTTGAAAAATTGTGTATTCAAAGAAAATCTGTTCCATTGAAAAAACCTTGAGGTCAATCTGGAAGACACCTTGTTCATCTTTAAATTCATGGTAGGTTTTACTCTTCCTGTTTCAGGTGGAAGAGAGTCTTGATAAAACACCCATCCAGATGCTTCCGAACTGTATGTCCAGGTAGGATTTAGCCTTTGAAAGTTTTTATTTACAAAGCAGGAAAGATGAGAACTAAACAGCAAAAACACTAAAATAAAGAATGAAAAGAATGAAAGGAAAGGTGTTTTACTTTTATCTCTAAAAGTTTTGTACTGAGTGAGAAAATGTCATCCTTAGCAAGAAGTTGATGTTACATCCATTTTTTTTTTTTGTGTCATTGGTATCTATAGCCAGAGGTCTTTTGGATTAAAATATCACCCTGTCATTTCTCTTCCCACTTGAGGAGCCAGTTAATCCTCATCTGCTTGTGTCTCTGGGGTAGAGGCTTGTGCTGCTTCCCAATGCCTGCCAGGAGTCACTGCTCTCCAGCTAAAGGAGTATGCAGTGAGATGCCTCCACTCATTCACTTGGTACCATGGTCAGTTTAGCAGGGAACATGACCCTTGCTGATTGCCAGCCTGTTTCTGTGACCATGAAAATAGCTGTGGTGCTTCAGTTCTGCCCCTAACTCCATCTTTCTCCTGGTTCAGGTGACAGTGGCTTAATTTTCTTTGTCAGTACAACATTGCTCAAGCAGCAGGCCACACTCTCATCCTTTCGTTGCCAGTGTAAATCTGACCAAGCTTCTTGACCTTTAGCAATCCTATATGTACATGAATGTAACTTCCTTGGTGTTATTCTAAAGGAAATGAAGTGAGCTCATGATTTCCAACACTGCCTGTTGGAAAGCCATCCCAAAATGAACTTGCCTTGGAGGTGAGGGTGCACGTGGCCCTGTGTTAGTTCAAACTCTGCAGCAAGAGACCCCTTTTCCACTGATGGTGCAGATGGGAACGGACAGGCTCCCTGCTGAATCCCTGTCTTTCCTTTCTCTGATGCCGTTTAGATCCTTGTGACTCCCAGCCATGCCAGAATGGGGGCACGTGTGTCCCAGAGGGACTGGACAAATACCACTGCCTGTGCCCAGTGGGGTATGGAGGAGACATCCACTGCGGTAGGTGTAAACCTGCGTTCTTCCTCCTTCCCTGTTGGCCGAGTCCTGCCCTTTGTGGTGTCTATTGCATGGCCATAGGAACGACTGGGGTTGGGCTGCAGCCTTTGAGCTTCTCTCCAGAAGACAGGATGAGTTTATTCTATGATTCTATAAGGGTTGGACCAGATGATCACAGAGGTCCCTTCCAACCTGGTGTTCTATGTTTCTATGATTGTCTCATGCTGTTTATGTCTGTGTCAGTCCCAGTGACTGGGTCTCACTGCTCAGAAACCTTGTGGATATGGAGAGCACCAATACTGACAGTTTCATCCTGGGCCTTTGGGTCTAAATGCAGGTGCCATGTGAGCAGAACAGAGAAACTGGGACAGACACATAGGTATGGCTGTTGGTTCCCTCCCTGAGCACATAGGGTGAAGAGGGACTCCTGATTTTGGGGGTTCAATGTAAGAAATCCAAGAAGGTCCCAATTTCAGGACATGCTTTGTACTTGCTTCCCCCAGATTCAAAGCTCCCACTTTAAAGTGTCTCAGGATGTTACAAAAAAAAGGGCCTGGTGCTTGGACTCTCTCCTTTCTCTGGAAAACTTGGGGTGTTTTTCCCAGAGTACTCCGTGAGAGGAGCTGTCCCTTTTAATTTGGAGTTTGCCATCCGAAAGTTCAGGAATCCCCCCAGACTCCCATGGGTATTTCCTGTCTCTAAAGCCTCGTGTGGCATCCAACCAAAACAAAGCACCCTCCTGGCACAGGTGTCCTCCAGCTCATGGTGTGCCTGGCAAACCAGTTTAGGTTACTGGACACCATGTCCCTTCTCCACACCACAGGGCTGGTCTTGTTGCCCTGTCACTGACAAATTGATACCCCCCTTTTCAGCACCAAAGCTGAGCCTGGAGTGCAGCGTGGATCTCCTTTTCCTGGTGGACAGCTCGTCGGCAGTCACGCTAGAAGGGTTCTTGCGCTACAAGGCATTCCTCAAGAGGTTCCTCCAAGGAGTGATGGGCCAGGACTCGCCAATGAAAGTGGGAGTGGCCCAGTATGATAGCAGTGTTAGGATACCCATTGAAGTGGAGCAACACAAGGATGCAGTCAGTCTCATGAAGAGGATTGATGCTTTGAATTTCAGTGGAGGAGGAACCCTGACAGGCAGAGCCTTGCAGTACGTTGCACAGCACGGTTTTAGGAGCACCCCCGTCTTTGCAGACATGCAGGATGATATCCCACGTGTGGTTGTCTTGCTCACTGACTCCAGGTCCCAAGATCCAGTGGCAGAAGCTGCCAAGTACACAAGAGACCAAGACCTCTTCTTGATTGGTGTAGGCAGCAGCTTCATGAGAGCAGAGCTGACCAAGGTGACTGGCAGTCCAAAGCAGACAATTGTCTACTCTGATCCCCAGGACCTGTTCAACAGGATCCCGGAGCTGCAGAGAAAAATCTGCAGTGTGGACAATCCTGGAGGTAAGACTCATTGTGGGATGAGTTTGTCAAACCACGAGGAGGTCTTCTGAACTCCACTGGGGACAAGGGAAGGACAGAGGGATGAATGTCCTTGTTTTGTTTGTGTCAGTCATAGATCCAAGGACTAACCTTCCATCCCTGCTTTTTGTGGTGGGTCTGTGTTTATTGGTGTGAAAGGCTTGTAAATCACCCTTCAGTGATCAGCAGTGATGAATTTTGCCCACCATTTTCCCCTGCTGACCACTTCTTTTGGTCAGAAAAGGGTACATACATATTCTGAGAAATCCCACGTTTCCACTCTCTTATCTAGGCTGCCAGGCACAGTCTCTTGACTTGGCATTTGTGGTGGATGCTTCATCTGCAGTTGGCCTGGAGAATTTCCTGCAGCTGAGGGCCTTTGTCAGGAGCAGCTGTTCACATTTCAGCATCAACCGGGATGTCACCCAAATTGCCCTTGTGATCTATGGCAGCAGAGCTCACACTGTGTTCGCTTTGGACACCCACACAAGCAATTCTGCTCTCCTTCAAGCCATCGAACAGGTGCCTTTCCTCGGGGGCTCGGGCTCTGCTGGCAGCGCCTTGCTGCATGTTTATGGTGATGTGATGACAGTGCAGAAAGGAGCAAGACCTGGTGTCAACAAGGTGGTGGTGCTGCTCACAAGCAGAGGTGGCATGGAAGATGCAGCTGCCCCAGCTCAGCAGCTGAGGAACAATGGCATCTTGGTGTTTGTGGCTGCCATTGGGGATGCAGAGAGGGACGTGCTGCTGAGGGTTGCTGGGTCTCCCAACTACCTGGTCCACATCTCCTCCTATGAGGACCTGCAGTATTACCAAGACCTTATCATCAAAAGAATTTGTGAAGGTGAGAGAACATCCCATCCTTGCTCTTTATGCTGGTACCACCAGGCATTGTTATTGTAGGTTTTCTGATGCTTTACCAAGTAAGCTCAATACTGTCTTTTGCTTTTTACAGATGGGCAAACTATGGCATAGAGATCTGATGGCTGTTCAAAGCAATTCTGTAGGAGTAGGAACCAACTGACTCAGTCCACTGGGTGAGACTGGGCTTAGTGTGAGTGGCTCTTTCCAGTCCTGCCAGGCCTAAGTTCTGCCTTCCCTGGAAGAAAAAGAAGTTTGCTCTTTTTCTGAGGTTGCTTTAAACCTGTAGAACTTGCTGTGCATTACGTTGTGTTGATGTACCCCCTGCAGTGTCACTGGGGGGGGGTAATGGAACACGTTTCCACAGCCAATGGTGTTGAATGTGTTCACTGAAAATCAGCCCTTCAGAAAGCATAGCAGCCCTGGTCTGCAGACATTAGTGGTGGCCAAAGTGCTTCTAGTTAAAATGCCATGCCTTGTTTCTCATTCAAAATAGTCTAACACTTAGCTACTTGTTTTTGTTATGTTTTAACTCGTTTGTAAGATCAAATGAAGAAGCACGTTGAGCGTCAGCACTATCAAAGGTCCTTTTCATCTCTGGGCATGCCTGTGGCTCCTTCAGGGTTAGAAAGAACTAAAGCACTGTCTCTTTGGGGTGAGGAGCTGGTCTCTTGGCAGGCTCTGCAGATGGTTTCTACCTGGAGCTTTTCAATGTGCTCCTTTTGCAGTGGTATTTTCAGCTGTGTTATTACAAAAACAATGTACTGTACCATGAAATTAACTACAGCTCCACAGATGAAAGGGAAAAGATGGCAAGGTTCAATGAGTCAGGGTAATAACATATCATTTCCTGAGACTGAATTGCTGCCTTCATTTCATGTGCAGGTAATCACTGTTTGCACTAGATAGGCTAGGACCAAGGGCAATGTGGAGATAAACCCTTCATTCAGTCTTCTGCTCCCAAGTCCAAGGCTCAATAACAAAATCATTGTCTGTGAAAGGGCTTAAAAAATATTTATGACTCATGATTAAAGCATTTAGAAACAGGTCCTGCCTCTGGACACCTGCAATATCCCATTTATTCTGAGGCTCAGCTGGAGAGAGACCATAAAAAAAAGATCTGGGGCAAGGAGAAAATATCCTAAGCATTAAATGTCTATGAATCTGATTAATGGAAACACAAAGTCTTGAGATCATCAAAGGTTATAATCCCTCAAGTGGAAGAAACTTATTTCAGATCCCTGGGGATATAGTGTCAGGCAGGACCCCAACTTGGCTCCATAAAAAATCAACAAGAACTAAAGACTGAGATGTCTCAGATCTAGGATTTGACTGTCAAAAACCTGAATTTCAATGATAATTTTGCCAAGCTTAGGCAGAGGTTGAGAGTTGATGTGCACATCGTTATCTGTACAGGGAGAACAAGAACAAAGTGTGATGAGCTGTAGTAACCTTCCTGATGAATAGAGGATAGAATTAATATCGTTTCCTTTCCCCCTTTTCCTACACCTTCTATGAGTTTTCTACCACAGAGCAAAGAGCAAGGCTAGCAGCTCCACTCTCTACCCCACATTAGCTGTTCAGCAGAGGAATTTCACACCCTTACCAACACTGCAGTGGTGGTGTCAGCAGACTGGAAGCAAATCCCTCTGGGATGCTGCTACTTCACCTAAAGTATTTGCAGGAAGGCAGCATGAAATACTGCCAGCCCTGCTGACAGCTGGGCTCTGTGGTGTTAAGAGGGTTGGGAAAGCTGTCACATACTTCATATGAGCAGGGCTAATAACAACTTGGGCTGCGGTTGCAGGCTTTTCTCTTGAGCCTCCTAGAAAGCAGCATAGAAATGTTTCCTGTGTTGTTTCCCATTCATGCCACCCCACCCTTGCTTCCCGTTTGACTTCTTGTCCTTGCTCCTCACTGGTGGGAACTCAGGTCCTCTCCAGGGCAGAATGGGGTTTGAACTCCAGTAGCTTTTGAGGTTGTAAACTGCTTGGAGCAGGGCATATGTCTTGCTCTGTATTGGCAGTGTCTGGATGCAGGGACTTGGAGTGCTCACATGTTCAGTGCAGAGCTCTGAAGATGCTCCACTGTGCTCTTATTTGATAGGCAGCCTAACATATTGCCATACTTTTAAGCTTTAGAATCATAGAATCAACTGGGTTGGAAAAGACTTTTAAGATCATCAAGTCCAACTGTTACCCCAGCACTGCCAAGTCCACCGCTAACCCATGTCATTAGGAATTGTCATTTATTAGGAATGTTCTCCAGTTTAGAACATCTAGCAAAGCCATTCTTCTTCCTCTTCTCTATGTTAAACACAGAGGAGTTTGTCTTTTGTGGCAAGACAGGGTTGTGAGCTTGCATCCTCTGCCATGTTAATGTGGTTTTCCAATCTCTTTAGCCCTAGGTAACATTTTTTGATGTCTGGGATAGATAGTTCCTGATACTTTTGCAGCATTCCCAGTGAATGTGAACATGTGTCCTAGCTGTTAATGCTAGATGCACCTGAGCCTGCTTTCTGCTTATGTCTGTTGCAGAAGCAAAAAGCCCCGTGAACCTCTGCAAGCCCAACCCATGCATGAACCAGGGCGTATGTATCCTTGGGCCTGGGAGCTACCGGTGTGAGTGCCACGGCTGGGAAGGACCCCACTGTGAGAGCAGTAAGGATCAGCAGATAGAGCAAACACAGCAGACACCGTCTGGTCTGCCAGCCCCTCTGAAGGGATCCCACATCTCCCACCCTTGAGCAGAGATGTGGCTGTAACTCTTGGGCAGCTGTTTGGTGGTTGGGTCTTGGTGCTGATGTGACCTCTGTCACAATCCCTCCTTGACCCCCAAGGTGGAAATCTCTGGCTCCTTTTTAATGTGAGGGAGCTGTCTTTGTTGGAATGTGTGACACTACCCCTATTGCTTTCAGTGCTTTCCATGGTGTGAAAGCCTCCCCATTGCCTTTCTTCTCTATAGCTGGGAGGCAATGGCCAGGAATTGGTGAGTCTCTAGCCCTCCAGAGGTGGCCCTGTGCCCATAGTGGGAAGTTCTCAGTTAAGGTGGGTCCAATGCTGCGCTCTTTACCTGATCCCAGGAGTTCTGACCTCCACCCCATAGCCTCTAATGTCTGATGACTTAAGATGATGCTTCCTGGGTTCTAATGGACAGAGTGTGAGCTTATCCCTTGGTCCAAAAACCCCTATTCCACTTCTGCACTTCTCTTCTACAACAGGAGTTCTCCGGGGTGATTCTCCACGATCCCCAGTCCTTCCTCCACACTCCCATGTGCAGTGGACTCCAAGGGCTTTGCAGCACTTCTCCAGAGCCCCCCGGCACACCAGAAGACACATGGATCATGGACACTGACACAGATGCACTGAGTGCTCCAGTTCTCCATCCAGGAACACTGCCATTCTTAGGCACAACCTAGCAAGCCACCACTGTCCCTGGCAGTGACTGAGATGCTCCAGCACAGGGACTGTGCTGAGGCCATTCCCAGTTTCTGCATTGCACAAACTGGGCTTCCCAGTGCTCGCTTTCTTTTGTAATTGCAGTAAATATTTGTGTTTAAGTATTTACTGTTGACATTTAGCATTTCCTCATTCAGGTTCTAGTGCTGTGTGAGTATTATTATTTCTTTAATGGACTTCTTAAGAGATCTTTCAGTCTAAAAATACGGGGAAGTCTGAGCAACTCTGGAGCTCCTGCTAGGGGTATAATGTAGATAATGCACTGGCAGAGGAGGTGCTGGAGTGAACGGTTTGCTACACCCAGGAAGACAAATAAGAGGAAGGAGAAATGGTTATGAGCCTCTATTCTGCTTTTGCCCATGCTGCTTTTTTCTCTGACTTTATTTGGGCTGATTGAATATGGTTTAGCTTCACAGTCATTTGTAAGCATTAATAAGGAGAGGTTTGAAAAGCATGGGTTTGGCAAGAGCATCGAATGGTTTATGCAGCTCCAAAGAGCTGGGACAGGCAGTTTTTCCATAGATGCATTGACTGATTTTCTCCCACATTTAACCCAGGTCAAATCTAGTTAGCAGGGCTTCAAATACACCAAGTAAGGGCAATCCCCCACCGTTTCCAAGCAAAGATCTGTTCTGTTATAGGCTCTGGATGGAGCCATAGTTTGTTCCATCCTGCTGGTCTTTGGCCTTTGTCTGTCTGCTTTCAGGTTTAACTCCCTGCCCAGCCTCATTGTTATCTGCCAGCCACAGTCTGACCTGGAGGGGACAGGACCAGGACAACCTCCTGAGTGGCTTCACATGGGTGCTTGGACCAGAATATGTCAGAGGGGAAAGAAGGCTGAACCTTTCTTCCCTGATCCCATCTACCCTTTCCTTTCTCCTCCTGCAGGCCACATCTTTACTCTCTCCTTTACCCATACATATTTTTCTCTTATTCATTCCTTTTTTGCACATTCCAGGTCAAGCCCCACCTCATCTTTTTGGTGCTGTTTCCATGGCTTAGAGCTTTGCCATGTTACTTAGCTCTCTTTTCGGAGAACAGGAACAGCATGCTTGTCCTGGCCTGAACCCGGACAGGCAAGCTGAATGGCATTTCTGCCTCCCCCTGCTGTTTAAACTGATCTTGTCCCTGGCACAGCAGACTATAGCACAAGCTGGGTCTCTGGTGTGTTGTGGTGGTTCACGTGTCTCCAAAGACAGTTTGGCCACTTGCCTGCATCCTTTGGAGCATCCTCCTCAGTGGATCACTAGATCAATTCGCCCATGATGCTGTAAAATTGCTCCCTAGGGCCTGTGCTTCACACTGTGGGGCTTTTCTCTGCTGCCTTTCCCATGGTGTTCATTACCTTGGGAGAGCAGGAGCAGCTCTGGACAGGGCTGAGGCAGAGACATTAACTGTGGTTGCCAGCACTCCTGAAAATAGCATCTATTGTTCCTAGAAGAAGAAAAATGCCTTCACCCAGATGTCCTGGCCCTGTGTGTGAACAGTAACATTAGATGTACAAAGCGAGACACAAATTACTCCTCAGGTCTGTTGTCAAGAGAAGAATGGTCTAAAAGCACTCTCAGGGATGAAAACTGGCACTGAGACAGTCCTACCCTGTGGGAGAGACAAGGCTACGAGAAGAGAGAATTCCTTCTTTCTTTTCACTGTCACTCAGTAGATTGTCTGTGTCCTAAGGCACAGCAAAATAGAGGTTTAGTCAAAGGCTGATATTTGAGATAGAAAGAGAAACTAATCTGTTAATGTTCACTCCTCAGGGGCATTTGTACTCTGTAAGACTGGTCTTTCCTCTCAAATGGAAGCGTATTCACCTTGTCTGGCACACAGCTCTGGAGCTGGGGTGTGCTTTCCTGGCCTCATACACATGCTTAAAGCCTTTCCCCCATATCTCTGTTGCCTGCAGGATAGTTTTCACAGCTGCTGAGCACTTTGTCTTGTGGCAACTGTGGTTTGGTGTAACCTTTGTAGCTTCTTTTTGCTTTAATACATAGCTGGCAAGTACATTTTTAGAGTGCATGGACTTTACTGGGACAAGGGATGCTTGCCTGGGTCTGAGCTGGGGAAACCCTGCGTTTATACCATCCTGCTGGCTTTTAAGCACTGATTGATAGCCAAACCTCTCTGTGTGATTCATGAATCACAGACTGCAAAATCTCAGGCGGGAGACGTTTTAATGCTGGATGGGATCCATCTAGCCCTGTGCATCAGTTCCTCAGGTAGGGATGGTATGAGAGATTGGAAACTCATGGAGCAGTTTCAGGAAAGCTGGTTCCTAAACCCAGCCCTTAGCCTCCAAGTGCATCTGGCTGGGGTCTCGGTGCCCAAAGTGTCCCAGGGATCCCCATGTGTTAGTGATCTATGTGTTGATCTGTAGTGATCTATGATGCGATGTGCTGAGACTGCGTCCTTCCTGCTAAATACGAGTGATCACTAAAGCCTTGGATGCTTGCTTAGATGTGCTCTGGCCATGGCAGCACCCACCAGCTCTCCTCTGGGACAGGGCAAAACACTTTGCAAGGTAAGAAGGTGGTGGAGCATTTTGGGGCGGTGGGAAAAGCCAAGCTGCAAACAAAGTTCAGGGTATATGGGATGGTCTTGGAGAGTCCTGCTTGATCCCACAGGCAGGCAGGACACTGCTGAACAGTTGTTGAGGCTGTTGGCTTTTCCTTTTTGCAAATCTGAGTTGAAGATCAAGGCTAATTTCTAGGCTCTTTCTCCTGCAAATTTTAATTAAGAAAGAATAAGTGGCTTTGGTCTTTGACATGATCCTGTATTAAATTCACTCTTACAGACTGGGATCCAATCAGAAATACTTAATGAGAACTTACCTCATGGGAGCTCATCCCCTTGAGACTGGCACAGCCGCTGAGGAGTTGGGGTTCCGGTGAAGCCAGCACTAATCCTGTCTGGCACTGGGGGAGCACAGAGCATGCTGTCTGTGCCAGGTTGTCATTAGATGTCTGGGCTGCTGTTACTAATGGAGCTGTGAATTACTCTCGCTCTGTAGGATTGCTGGCTGAGCCTGTTTCTCCTTTAAGAAACTGGGTTTTAAGCAGGTAGCATGTATTTTAGCCCCTTTATTTTTACCTTCCCTCAGCAAGCAAAATCATGCCTGTTTGTGATGAGTAAATGTGTTTGGTGCCCATACTGTAGAGGTTGCAGCAGGGAAGCTGGACCTTAGATCCTGCTATACCACCCAAGAGCTGAGACAAGGCTGTGAGAGGTCTGTTGATACTCCCCTTAAAGCCAGCTGGCTTCTTCAGCTTGCAAAACACCTGCAGTCTTACTCTGCTCAATAGAAGTAAATGGATTTTATATCTGAGACAACTTATATAAACATATAGGCCAGCTTCTCCATCAATGAGAGGCAGGTTTTTTTTCCCCCTGGCACTTGCGTCTTAGCTGCAAATCAAAGTGCCACTAGCTCACTGGATGTGCTAGGCAGGATCCCCCAGTAGCTGTTGTAGGGTTGCTCCAAGTATGCAAAGCAATAACTGAAGGTACTTATGTGAGAAACTTGATAAGAAAAAGCATTTGTAGCAGCAAATTCCCTTCCAGCAGAATATGGGCTTCTGCTTGTGACACCCTGCAGGCCCCATGGTGGCGTGGCTGCATTGTGCAGGGGTGAGAATTACACAGGGAGTAACTATCAAAGCAGTAACAAAAAGTGCCTTAGGCAGTCAGCAGCAGTAGGAGCTTTGCCTCCCTTCACAACAGTATCTTTTGACCCAGTCCTTCAACATGGTATTTGGTAGGACGAGACTGGGGTGAGCAAGCCCTTTAGTCTGGGAGGCAGCTGTGTTTGCTACCAGGATGGTCCACAGCCATCTAAAGGCAGTGTTGTGCTGGGGACAGCTAGTGATAATAGAGATGTTACAAAGCGCCAGTGAGAGATGCTAGGAAAAGACAGAATTGACTGCTGTTTCTCCTTCAGCTCACAGAAACAGCAACCCCAAATCGAGCTGTTCTTTTGGGAATCCCAGGCTTGGAGGCTGGCAGGATGCTAATGGGCTTGTTGGCAGGTTTGTGTCAGTGGTTGGGCTAGGAAAGGCAGGGGAGCAGGATCTTCCCCAGGACTTTGTGCCATAGCTAGGGTGCCTTTCTGCAGGAGTGGTACAGCCACCAAAAGCTATGTTACAGACGTGTCTGGCTTGGTGTCTGTTCTGTAAAGACTGGCCTCAACCACTTCACTAATGCTTTTCCTTCCTTCCCACCTAAACCCCATCCTGGTTTTCCCTTCAGGGACAGCAGCAGGCACTAAGCCTTGCACACAGTTGCTATCTAGTGGCCAGAGGAAGGTAGTGGACGCAATTTTCTCCGCTGGTTTTATGCAAGAGAACTGTGCTATGGAGATGATACAGGCAGGAATCTTTTACATGTATTCATGCAAAGTGTCACGGTTATTGCTATTTTTCAGTGGGGTGGCTGTCTGAAAATGCTTTTTGTTGACGGTGTAGCCACTATAGATGACTACATTGTTTAAGATATAGTCCATTGTAGCTACAGACTGCATAGCTAAGGAACTTTGTAGTAACCAACAGTGTTGTGGGGGGTTGTACTTGAATTCTACTGGAAAATAGTGCAAGAACAAGCCACACGGTGAAGAAAAACCACTAACATAATATAGTCATCATTTTATTATAAAACCCTCTAAAGCGCCACTTTATAGGTCACAGTTACAACAAAGGAAATGCCTTGAGTTAGGAAAACAATGGGGACGCAGAGGAATTGTTTTATGTTTCTTGTCTGGGGAATGTGTGCTGCTCAGGACTTGCCTATGTTTACTTCCTCTAATGGAGACATCCCAGCAGGACCACTGATGCTGACTGGGCTGTGGAGGGGAAAGCAGAGCTGCTCTCATCCATCGCTGTCTCAGTACCACTGTGAAATGTCTGGACAACTTCTGGAGGATGACAGCGGGGTGGATGGTGAGGGCATGGTACTACACAGATACTTAGGGTGTAGAGAGGTCTCCTGCCAGCTCATCACGGGTCAAAACAAAAGCTTCATGGTGCCCATGGCCTCCATCTGTGCTTTTGGAGAAGGAAGACCCCTGGGTCCTGAACTAGAAGATTCAGTGGTTTGTTTGCATGAGTTTTTCCCATGTGCAAACCTTGCACAGGGACAAGGGTGATTGATGTACTGCTCCGAGGCCTGGGATTAGCCATTGCTCCATGTGCACCACAGCAGAGTTCAAAGTAAGAAGAAACAGGAGTGAGGTCACCCTTATTGCCTTCAGGATACCCTGACCAAGTGCTTTGTTGCACCCCAGCCCCATGGCAGTGGCAAGCAAGCCCAGAGACCCTGGTCAGCACATCCTCACTGAGCCCAGTGCCACCACCAACTTGGGGTCACTGCCCTGCAGACCCTTTGTGTGAAGAAGGAGCGTCCTTTTAGAAGTGATCTCAGGCCTGTCAAAGGTTTTCAAGGCTTAGGAAGGTACAGCATTTTGCCTGTCTTTACCCTAGCTCTGGGTGCTGCTTGCTGGTGTAGCTGCAGGACCCCAGAGCAACCCAGCCAGGGTACTGGTGGGTACTGATGCTGCTTTAGTTTTGCAGGGTTAGAAAACAGCTTCAACCCTAGCGCCATCAACTCAGTTACTGAGTCTGGGCCTCAGGTGTCCCCAGGCCATCAGACATGATAGCAGGTTAGAGAGAGGAGAGGGTGCATGAATTTCTGACAGCCTCTCTACTCTCCTTCAACTTCCACTGTCTCTAAGTTTAGCAGTCCCAAATGTCCAATGTCTTTCATTAGAAACCTTGGCCAGGGCAAAGATGGGTGGGATTTGTGGGCCAGGGCCCAAAGGCTATATATTAAGAAGTTTGATGGCTTGGCTTTGCGAGCAAAGATTTGGGAAGGGCTTTAACCACGCTTACTACAAACGCGATGACCAAGGGCATGTGGGATATGCAAATCTGGTTGGAATAAAAAGGCTGCTTAGGCAATCAGGAAGCGTCTGACCAAGACTGTCATCTCCTGAGTGATCTCGAGCTACCCATGTGCTGGTCCCCCTGCATGCAAGGTCGGATCTGCAGCTTCCCATGCACCTTGTCACCTGCCATTTCGACCCTCACTCATCCATACAGACAAGTGACAGTGAGCCCTTCCAGCCTGCACAGTGGATTTTTTAGGTGAGGTGCAGCATGCACAGAACTGGCCTTTAAACCTGAGGTTTGACTGCCATGGCCTAGCGAGCTAGGACGGTGACAGCAAAGTCCTCAGGGCGTAGGTTTTGTAAGATCACCTTCTCCTTGATGGAAGACCATACAAGGCTAGGCGAGCTCCATCAGCCTGGGTTTGAAGATAGGAGTTTTCCTTCTCCTATGACAAAGGCCTGTCTTCGCTAACGAAGATTCAGGAAGACCTTTACCCATGCATTCTGAACAAGACTGTCATCTCCTGGGTCAATCACAAGCGACCGATGATGCAATAGCACAACAAGCGTCTAGGCGGGATACCAAGGTGTTCAGTCATAAGCCCGCAGATGGTATATTAAGTTAAATAAGCTGGAAATCAGGGTGACAGCACCAATATGGCCAGCAGCCCACCCCTGGAGCCAAATAGGCCAGGCTGGTCAGCCCTGCCTGCGTGGAGGGGCTCCTGAAGGCATCCCTGTGTCTTCAAAAGCAGATTGTATGTCTGTGGCTCTGTGGAGACCAGAGAGCATCAGCAGAGTGGTGCTCATAGATGGGGCAGGAACATGGGGACTGCTTTACCTCCCCTCCCCTGGGAAAGGGCAAGCCCTGAGAGATAGACACACTGGGATCCAGCTTCCCATACAACAGCTGAGCAGGCCTGGGCCTTTGGTGAATTATTAACAAACCTTCAAATAGGATTTCTTTTCCAGAACAAACTCCTCAGGTGAAAGAGAATTAACTGAATCTGCTTGCAGATATCCATTGCCCAGAGCTCTTGGTGCCACCAGTCTGTACCATATCTTACAGAACAAGAAGGTGAACAGGGATCTTCCTTGACACTCTGGCAAAGCTGGAGCAGGCTGGTAGCAGTGAACACATGCTGGGGTGAATCAGGACACCACTTAGAAATCCCCTGGACAGGCTGCTGTGTGCCTCTCATTCATGTCTGGAGCATCACTCAGGTGTGGGTATTGCCAATGACCGAAGGCTAGATGAAAAGCAGCTGAGTGATGACTGGCAGCAAGACAGGAGACTTTAGCTGACTGCAGTTTGTCACAACAGGTTGAAAACCACCGGGGTATAAAGACTAGCAGAGGCCCCTTCTGAACCCACTACTGCCACTAATATAGAAACCTTAATGACTCATTGATAAACCTTCAGAGTAGAAATACACAGAACACCTCTATGTACAGTAACATTCTTGTATACATCAACTGGGTTAGGAACTTGATGCAAGGATTGCCACTGGTTGTTATTGATTTAGCTACGTGATTGGGACTTGTCTGGAAAGAGCAAGATCATTTGGGATAACTCATATTGGCAGCAGTTGGCTCCGTTGCTGCGTTGAGCAGTTGGTGTGACGTGGAGGAGGCGCTTGGTATGTGGTTGTGTTGCACAACTCAACCTCCACCTAAAGATGATTGAATCCCCTTGGCCAGGAATGGGCAATTCCAGTCTTTAGTCCATCTAAAAAGATGTGCTTCTAACTAGTTCCCTTCTTCTCCCATTCCTGCCAAGAAATAAAGGCAAATTAGTCAAAAGGCAGATCTGGAAAGCCACAATAGTTGTAATGTGCATGGTCAACCCAAGTGGTTTTGGCTGCAGAATAGGTCAGGGCTGTCTCTCTGTTATAAGCAATACACACATTTATTCATTTAAATCACATCTAAGGCAAACCCAGGTGAAAAGACCAGAGGAAAACCAGGCTCCAAGTGGTGCTTGGTCAGGGGTGAGACACCCCACCACCCCATCCCACCACTGCCAGGAGGGAAAAGCAGCGGCATGTACAAATTAACGCGTACCTTAGCTTTCTGTAGGACTGTTCCCTTCCCTGTCACCATGACGGATAAAGGCCTGTTTTTTAAGGCTGTTGCTGAATTGACTGGTGAGTTGTCTGCGCTGTTGGTTGGACTGGCACATTTTGCCTGAATCTACAGCAGAAAGAACAGAAGGGTGATGACTTCAGCCTACCAAGAGAGATTGCTGCCTTTCCCCAGCATCTCCTTCTCACAGCCACATCCCACTTGCACCGAGGAACATATATTTCAGTGACATCCCAATTTCAAAATACCAATATGTGTGTGGTGTGTTTGGGTGTTGAGGACTCAAGCAGAGATTCAGAGCAGGGCTCAGGCAGTGACCATCTCCGTTTCATGGGAACAACTTCCCAAGAATGAACTTAGCTGCCTGAATCTCCCCCCAAACCACCCTGCGGCTCAGCTGAGCACAGAAGGAGCTGGGTCCAAACCTGCATGGCCCTGGAGGGTGTTGTTCAAAGTCCCACGTGGAAATACTACTGCTCTCTTGAGCCCCAGCCCCCGTTCACTTCCCCATCACTGCAGTTACCTCATTATGTTATTATTATACTATTATTTTATGTCTATACATAGCTAATAATTTACATAATACTTTGCTTAGATAAGATATAATCTAGACTTTTATGTAGGATTACATATTATAATAATTTAATGCTGTTGTTAATGATTATATTATTAAGCAGGCTGAGACAATGGGACTGCCTGGCTGCTGGAAAGCCACTGCACACCCCAGGGGTGCCCCCACATACCCGTGGGGCTGCGTTCTCCAGGTGTGTGGTATCCACCGCAGTGCCCAACGTCACAGGGCCGGACTCAGCCTTCTTCAGGTTCTCCTTCACTTCCACCAGGCTCAGCTCCAGGTCCACCCTCCGGCTCTCCTTCCTTTTGCATTCTTCTTCTATCTCCTTCAGCCGCTGCTCCAGGCTCTTGTCTGTGAAGGGAGGGAGGGGTAACTTGATGCTGGCTGGGAACTTGGGGAGCTCATGAAGGGAGCAGGGACCAGGGCAAGTCCTGTATGTTTTCCTTGTATTTCCTTATATTCTCTGGGCAACCTGTGCCAGCACCTGATCACCCTCGCAGGGAAGAATCTATTCCTAATATCCAATCTAAATCTCCCCTCTGTCAGTTCAAACCCATTCCCCCTTGTCCTACCCCTGCATGCCCCTCTCCACACATCACCCCTTGCCCAGCTCTACCTGTGTTACCCCCAAGCATTTCCTTCAGCTCTCGCCTCTCCTTGCGCAGCTGGGTGAGTTGAAACCGGATTTCATCCTTCTCCTTCTCCAGCCGCTCCTTCTCCTCTGTAAACCGCTTCACCTCCGCTTCTGTCCTGTTCTTGCCCAGCTTGGTTTCCACTGCTGATGCTGCAAACACAACCCACCAAAACAAGGGGGAAAATCAGGAAGGAAAGCTTTCTTAGGTGTTCAGAAACAAAATGAATGAGGGTCTGGGAAGTCACCAACCAGGAGACTCATCCCCTTGTAAAGCTACTGTATAGCAGCATCAAGGGAACCACAGGGCAAAACTCACTCAGAGCACCACCTCCCTCCAAGCCCCTGCTGCCCCAGTGTCACCCACTCACCTGGCAGCGGCATCTTGGGCCGGTGTGTGGGTACCAGCTGAGGGCTGCCCGCTGTCCCTGTGCCCAGCGGCACCTCGAGGGCTGGCTGGGGGAAGGCGATGTTCTGCTGCTGCGTCTGGATCTTAACAGTGGGCATCCGTGGCAGCGCCTCATCGGGCTCTGGCTTCTCTGGCTGTTTCTGGGGGCAGAAATGAAGTGGGATGATGTGGTGGGGAGAACTGGCTCACTGGTTAAATCTGCACCACAGCACAGTCCGGGACAGTACCTGCTCCGAGGTCTCCATCTCCTTAATACAGGGCTCGGCTTCCTTAGGCACAGGGGCTGGCTCTGCTGTGCTCTCTGCTGCAGCCTTGTTGGCAGCCCTTTCTAGAGACGGTGAACTGAGGGGTGAAGGCTGGCATGACATCTTGCCAGCACAGTGAAGGAAGGACTTCACTGGGGTGAGATCCAGGTATACTCTGTCCTGGTCCCCCTCCGCTTTGCTCTCATTCTTGGGTACTTCTTCCTGCAAAAGGAGAATGCTCCCCTGAAATGGGACCATCTGCTGCAGTATAGGAAATATCTCACTGCAAAGCAGTAGTATCTCAGGCAATCTGGAGTATTTTCCATAAAACTTAGAGGAATTAAAAACCCAATCTCTGTGTCGTTCCATACAGGGCTTTTTGGTGTACTGAAAGAAAGGTCCTTCTTGCTCTCCTTCTACAGCACTTTCCAATGGTACCAGCAGCCCCATCCAAGGATCTCACGCTGCTGTACATCTTGCAACCCTTGTCAGATTCTTTCCTTGGATAACAGTCCCATCCCCAGGGTGGTCCGTCTTTCTTGTCCTTACACAGGACTTGTTCTTACAGGCATCAAAAGGAGTTTGGATAGACCAGGCTCCAAACAACCCACCATCAATCACCAAATAATCCATGCTGTTTGCTGATGGAAGCTGTGGGATTTTACCCCAGCTGCCTGAGAATCCATACAGCACCCTGCTGGAAATTTCTCTCCCATTCTTTAGTGCCTCCTCTCCAGCACTCACTTTGCCCCATTGCAAAAGCCTGGATTTCCCCAGGACCAAGGAATCCCTTTTGCTGCTGTTGGAAAACCCTCCCCCTTCACTGCTGGAGACTCCCCCACGGCCAGATGTTTGCTCATGGCACAGCACTGGGTGATGATGCCTCTTACCACAGGCAGGTCTGGCAGATCCACATCGTCGTACAGCTCCTCCTGCTGCACCTTGCCCTTCGGCAGGTTGTCGATATAGGCATTGGGCTCAGAGTACTTCCTCTGCATTAAGCTGTGAACAAGAAGCAGGACATCCCATCAGGGTGTGCTGCATTTTGGGGCACCCAAGCATAGTGGTCCTGGGGCCTGGGCAGGGCTGCATGGTCAGATGCAGAAGATAAGAAGGTAGAGCCATGCAGCAATGTGAGAACTGCTGCTGTCACATTTCCCCTTGGCTCTTCCTCACCCACCCTCAGGCACAGCACTGCAGCAGCACTATAGCCCTGTACCAGTGGCACAGTGAACCACATGGCTGGGTGCCCATGGCCTCACATAGACTCATAGAACGGTTTGGGTTGGACGGGACCTTCAAAGCTCATCTAATCCAACTCCCTGCAACGAGCAGGGTCATCTTCAACTAGATCAGGTCCATGAACCAAGTCCATCCCACCAACCTGCCTTTGCAAGAACCACCTAGGCATGTGCCCTAGACCCATGGTAAGCTGCAGCTCAGGTTAGATGTGCCATGGTGAGACAAGTGCTGTCCTGCCCCTCACCGGGCTTCCAAAGACAGCTACAGAGCTGTGAATTTACCACCCCTTCCCATGTGGGAGGCAGCCAAGCTCCCACAATCAGAGGAACCCTTGCTCCAGTTGCTTTCCCTCTACCAGCATCCCCATTCCCACTGACGTACAAGAAGGAGTTCTTCGCGGCGCTCACGATGCAGGAAACCCTGTCAGCATCCACGTAATCATAGGTGAATTCCTCTGGGTCTGTTTTCGAACCTGACTCCGACAAGAGGAGGCCCAGCCAGTGACCCATTTCCTCCGAGGACTTGGCCTATGGGGACATCAGAGAGGACAAGTTGCAACAGCAGTTTCTCTTCACTCCCAAGGCTAATGCTGCTTAGCCCTGCAAAGGGGAGTATGCTGGGCTTGCAAGGGGAAAGATGAATTGCTGGCTATTTATATTAAACCTAAGCTGCATTGAAAGAAAAAAGAAGTATCCCTGACTGATGTGCAAATTTGGAAGATAAATGAATGCAGCTCTTCGATTAACTCTAGTCAACCTGCGTTTTCTTTCTGACGGTGACCAACTCAGCTGCTTACAAGAGTAAGGGCAGTCTCTGGGGCTGGAGATGCTGGCATGGAGCTGGCTTTGGCAAGGAAAGCATGCGGGATTTATTTTGCACCAGCAGAGCGCAGCAATGGGACTGCCAAACACAGACATGCAAGGAGACCTGAGCACGCAAGGGAGCCTGCGAGTTCCTTGTGGCAGAGCTCAAACCCCTTCTAGGGCTGAGAGGAAAGAGGGGAAGGAAGGAGTTTAAAACAGGATCAGAGAACATCAAAGACAGCCCCTCACTTTAACATGATCAGTATTAAATGAACACCCTGATATTTTGCACAATGAAGAGATAAATATGGTGCCTTGTAGCCAGCTATAGGAAATAGCCGCATGTACTTCTGGTAGTGAGGGATTTCTACCTGAAGCAAGAAGATGCAGCCGTCTTTTGCTTTGATTTAAAGAGAGCAGTAAGCACAAAGAGAAATTCAGGGCAAGTGAATCCCAAACTGGAAAGTATATTTTAAGCTTCCAATCTGTTTTATTTAGCAGGGACTCGAGCCCCTGGGAAGTCAGCCAGACCGTACAAAATACACATTCTTCCATTCACAAAATGTGAACTTTCCCAGCACCTCTTCTTCACACCTGTAATTAGGCAAGATTCCTCAGACACAGACATACCCTGAATCAGAAACTAAACAAAAACACCTTTGAACTTCATGGCAGGCCCTCGAAGTCAGTTGTTTAGCTATAAATATTCCACCCACTGGAAAAATACAGGAAATTGCTCACATTGTCCACCTCCTACTATAATCATGCTGTCGTCAGAGAGAACTAAGATTAGAGATAAACAGTCCTGGGTGCAGGCAAAGGAAAGTAACAGATGGAGATGAATTCACTTGCACTTTCAGAGGCAGATCTGTGATCAGTTTACTTGAGATTCACAACCCATGGCTTTGGGACTCCCTGTTTGCAGAAGGTGAAGCTCTCCATTTCTCCTAACCACAGACTTAAATCCCTAGAGCGGCATTCCTCTCATCTAACATTAGCTATCTGAAATACATCCCATATAACTTAATCATCATACAAGGTTATCCTAAAGTCAGTGGAGAGAGATGGGTATCTCTAGAGGACCCTTCATCCCATCCTAAGATGAGTGCCTAAGATGAAGGCTGAGTGGTCCTCTGGAGGCACCAGCATCAGACACAACCTGGATTGACAGCTAGGTGGGACACCTTCTAGGTGACCACAGGCAGATGAACCTAAGTCCCTCGCTTCAGGTTCTGTTTTCCTGGACTGAGGGTTCCTCTGGAGGACCTCACCAGCATTTAGGCCTCTTGAGACACCCCCACTGACAGCTTAAAGCAGAAATGTCTTGGAGATATACACCCTACCTCCAGAATGACCCGCTCTTCCCCGTTGTGCAGGATGCGGAAGGAGTAGAGATGATCAGGGCTTGGCTCTGGGATAATTTCACAACCTGCCAGGCTCAGGGGCTGCTGAGCCAATTTGCTCCGGTTCTTGTCCTGGTAGAAATGGAGGTGACCATCTTTTATCTGGCACCAACGGGACTTCCACTGGCTGTTCACTAGCACATTCAGGTAACCTGCAAGCAAGCATGGGTTACTTAGGCACATCTTCTACTCCAAGGGGAGAGGGAATCCAAACTCACTGTGTGCATGAGGATGTCTGATGGGTAAGTTCCGAGGTCACCACACAACACAAAGCCACTGACAATGACAAAGAGCAATGGCACAAGCTGTTCTATCCATACAAAACAGGATGAAAAGGGTAAAATCTGTTCAAAACGAGACCTTTGTAATTCAGGTTAGGTTTGGAGCAGCAAATTGGCTTCAGAGGGTTGGACAAAGTTGGTCCCAGATGGTGAATAACAGCTGACTCACACAACTCTCCCCCTGCCAACTCCTACACACTGGGCTAATGCCCAGGGTGAACAGCACAGATGCCTTCTGCATGCACACCTGGTATTACCTGCCCTTCCTATTAGGTCACCCTGCAAGCTAGTGTCCTCCTTGTAAGCCACTCAGTCACCTTAATGTGTAAGAGGTTCCACAACCTATACGGATTTACTGGCACAGACCAAGCAGACTGTGGCCTCTGCCTCGGGACAGCCTGGCACCTGTGGTTGAAGAGGAGGATGCCTGGTGCTCATCCTGCCCTGCACACCGAGATCCATCACCAAGACAAATCCCTGCAGAGGAGCTCATGCTGGCACTTACTTGAAGTCTCCAGGGATCTCTCTGGGCTATCCAGGGAGCTGGATTTCTTCCTCCCAAGGTTCATGAGGTTGCTCAGTTTCAGTCCAGATGTGCCCTTCTTTTTAACTACCAGAAAAGAAAACGAAAGAGAGCATTTGTGTGGCTTTCCTAGCCCACAGACATACACACAGCCTGCTCTCCCTGCTAGTCCAAAGTCCAGGGAGATGATGAGCAAGATGTAATCCCACCACTAATCGCAGTGTGATTTGCTGAAGATACTTCATCTATATTGCTTTAAACTTGGGTTAATTCTGACCAAACACCAGTCACTGCATAAAGGCTGTTTGCACAGGTCTTGCTGTGCAGGTGCCAACCTCCCTTCACTTTCTTATACTACAAAGAATGGAACTAAAAGGAGGGACTTCAGGTGGGGAGGGTGAAAGCTTATGCCCAAAGAGCCTCTTTAGCATTTTCCTACTGAGCATATCAGTCAGTGCATGAATATAGCTGCATAATCATCAGGTAATCACGGTGAGGAATCAACTTGGATATTTTTAGTCCAGATTTTCTTTCCCCCTACTCTAACAAAATGATGAATTCCTAGTGTAAAGGGACTCAGCAGTCAAGTTCCATCCGTTAGGTGACTCCAGTTGAGTCCTCAGCATGGCTTTACCTTCCTCTACCCCTCATATACATACATGGTGCCACCATCCTTCTAATAGAGCATCTCTTCTTTCAATGTACTTACCTGCCCTATCTTACAGAAGGGGAATATAGATGAATTGCCCAAAGCCAGACACCCTAGCATGAAGGTGTAACTCTCCCGTTGGAGACAGCTCAGCATTTCACACTCCAAGTTTCTCTGCAGACATCTCTGAGGGAAGTCACTTAGGTTGCATTTATGCCACCTCAAACTGCCCCAGCGTGACTTGCCCAGAGTCACACAGCATCTCTGTGGTGGGGCAGGCATCATGCCCAGGTTTCTCCAGCCCTATCCTAACTCTGTAACTGCTGAGAAATCCCAACATCTGTCACTGCATTATGGAAAATAATGAACTGGAATCAAAAGGACAGGCAGAGGATTCACACGCAGCTTTCACCCTGCACCAGGTCAGTTTGAGGTGGTGGTGGCAAACATGAAGCCCTCGCACATGCAGGGTCAGTGATCCCCATTCCCCTGCCTTTCCCAGGGTGAGGTTTTACCATCTTTTGTCTCTGCTGTCTCCGGGTGTCCGTCGGTGCTGCTCCCACTCTCGGAGGCTGCAGAGTACCTCTCAGACACCTCCACCTGCCAACAGCACCAGATACAGGCTCCACAGACGAATGTGACCCATCCCTCAATCCAGCACCCGCCACAAGTGCCTTTCCCCCCTCTCCACAGCAGATGCTTTCACACAGACATGTCCCACCTCCCCACTCACTCTGTGCCCTCCCTGTCATTTCTGATCCCATCATCCAGCACACGAACTGCCCTGGCTGGGCTCACCTCTGAGGTGACACAGTGGCACCGCCAGTGGCACCCTATGGTATCCTGTCCCGCAGCCTGGCTGGTGGGGGCATCTTCCAGTCCCCATAGGACGGCATGGGCAGAGGAACTGACCAGGTACACAAACAGGCCCATTTTGGGTGTCCACCAGAGACTTTAGAAGGGTTCTTTCACCTCCCAATGTTTTGGAACAAGTTGCACCCCCTGAAGAGTGTCACCTAAACTGGGACTAAGACTGGCCCAAGCCCTGACATCCAAGGGTCTATTCCCCTTCCAAAGCTCCTGGGGAGTACGGTTGTCCTGCTGGATGAGATAGTGGCTGCTGCCTTGTATGGAAGAGAGCCCATTGCTGAGTCACTTTTGGGGTAAGATTTGGCAACAAAAGGCTGCAAAGAAAAATTATTATAGCTCCAATAACTCTCCTTTTCAGCAGAACGGGGGCCTGGTTACACCTCTATCAGTCTTTGCTCAAATAAAATTACTACACCTACAACTATTATTTATGGCAGGGGGTTGGATCTGGATGATCTTAAGGTCCTCTCTAACCCAAACCATTCTGTGGTTCTATGAATAAAGGAACAGATGGAAAAGTTGAAGTGCTAATTCCCTCTGTAAAGACCAGGTGTACCTTTGGGTAACAGAGCCTCTGTGAATCTGGGATGTACTGGTTGCCTTCGCTGCCTCCTTCACACAGCAGACCACTGGTCTCCTGGATTACCTGTGCAGAAAAGCAAGCCATAGCCTGTGAGAGAGCTGCAGTACCGAGTCAATACTTGTCCCCCACTCAGGACAGGCAGAACCAGCGCAGCCTGGGAGACCCACAGTTTATATTGCTGGCAACCCTGGGGATTTTCCTGGCGTTGCAGCAGGCAGCCAGCAGAAACCAATGGATCCAAGTCAGCGGGCAGAGACTGCCAGCAACGGCAGCCCTGGCGCCTTGCAGCCCAAGGCTGCTTCTTTTGCTGCTGCTGTCTGAGGGAAAGGGCCATATCTCCCCCTGTCCTCAGCCAATTCATACTGGGCACCCACGCCAGACATCCCTCCTCCAGCAGCTGGGCTGGGAGGTCCTTTCACAGCCTCTTGCACACAGAAGGCAGCAGGGGCTGCAGGAAGAAGCTATCCCGGGACATGGAAATAAAGCCTGTGTTTGTATACAGGCTTGCAGGGAGGAAGGGAGCCAGAGCACACAAGGACAAGACTGAGATAAGATATAGTCTCCCAGCAAAGCCAGGGTGGGAGCATGGAAGGCGCCACTGACCCTGAGCCACTGCTCTGCCTGGTCTTTACTCTGCAGCCCCAGCACAATGACGTCTGCATTCATAGGGATGATCTTCAGCTTGTGTTCTTTCTTCCTCACTTGCTTTTCCTTGTGAATGACAGTGCAGCCCAGCAAATTCACATCCAGCTGAGGACTGTGGTCTTTGGAGCTCTTGTAGCACTGGGGAAGGAAGAAGGAGGGCAGGTAAGAGGCTGAGGAGGAGTTTTCCCTCACTCACTGGCAGAACTCAACCCAAGAAGCGGCTCAGTGCAAACACACGAATTAAGTTTGCTGAACACTAGAAAGTCCCATAGATCCTACAAGGCTGCGATGTCTACAAAGGTATTTATAGAGATAAATGCACATCTATGTACATGCATATATAGTCTGAAATACCTCTTGCAGATACTCCTAGAGGGTCAAGTATGTGGTCAGGCAGTGGGATAAACATCCCTTCTCCTTAACCACCTCAAAAAGTTTCCCCCCAAAAGCACCTCTTTGGGAGTTTGGGATTTTGGTTCCAAATGTGACCTTGTGTCCCCCTCAGCAGCCCCGTGCACACATCCCTTCTGAAAATGAAATGGTATGCCCAAATCTCTGGGACATGATTTTTGAAGCACTGCTTCTAGAAGTACTTTTGTTCTGCCAGCTAGTTAGCATGACCTGAGGTGCCATTTCCCTCCCCAGCTCATGAAAATAGGATGTTATAGGCATAGAATAGAGGATCTACTCACCAGCAGCCTGGTGTCCTTGATAACACACAGCTGTTTTGCCCACTGTCCTAGCCACTTCTTCCTCCACAGGAATGCACAGATGCGGGCATCCTTCATCAGCTCAATGGTGGCCTCCGTGGATGGCCATTGGTGGGTTGCAGACTTGCCTTTACTGCTCTCTTCTTCATCGTAAGATTCATAGGAGCTACTAACGGCTTCACCATCTTCTATAACAAAAGCAAAGCTCTATCATTAAATACATTCCTAGGACAACTCTGAACTTACTGCTTGCCTCAGCCATGCTCACACATGCAAAAGCTTCCAGCGCAGGGATGTGTCTTTTGAGGCTCTCCTACAGGAGAATAATGGATAGGATAATAACCATCATGGATCCCTTTTTCTTTCTAGCCCAATACTGATTCCATTGCAATGCTTTGTGCCTCATAGCAAACACTCAAAAGACACTTCTCAGTTGCCCACAAATTCAAGAACATTCCCTTAGACATTTCTGATGTTTGCTGCTCCCCCCACCACCACCAAAGATGCTTTTCCTACTTCCCACTTCTAGCCAAACACTCACAGTTTTTAAGGCAACAGCAGGCTACAATCAGCCCTTGTCCTCTGAATGTCAGAAGTAAAAATGATATTTGCAAGGCCATGCAGCAAGCAATGATCTATTGCATTTGATTTGTCATTCCACTTCCCTCTCTGGTTTAACAGGTCTCTCTCTACTCAACATCTAAAGGGCAGCAAGGGGCTTTGAAGGAATACACTGCTGCAGCAGCAAATAAGACTAATCACATCTTTTATATTCATTCCTAAATGGATTGCTACGTTATTAAGATGTGTTGGGATTTTCAGTACCCAGCTCTAATACACTGCAGGGTGTTGGAGTTTTCAGCTGATAGGAATAGCTCGTTATTGGCACCAGACCCATCAGAAACAATGAAAGTGTTTCCACTGACCACAGGGGAATTTGCAATGCCCTGCTGGGGTTTACAGTATGCCTCTTATTCACAAAATAAGCTCGCATAGCAAGATGGTAAGAACTGGGCAGCATCTTGTTTTGCATTCCTGTCTTACCAAACAGCATGGAGGAATATCGTTAAGTTTCTCTCACCAGAATTTATCTAGGTTTGACTCTCATTAAATCTTACTATCTAGATAAAAGTCACATTATCAGATTGGTGCAAATTAAAAAGAGAAAAAGCAGCCAGAAAAGAGGAAAAAAAAAAGCATTTGGAGCTTCACTGAAGAACATTTCTCAAGTTAGGTTTATTTCTTCTTAAGATAAAGGGAACTGAGATGCAGTAACAAAGCTACAGCCTTACCTCCAGTGAAATCTCACTCTATAACATCCCTCAAGTGATCAAAGCTGCACCAATTAAACAAGCTTAGTAAAAAGAAAATAGCCCCTTTCAAAGTCTCTGAGGGGTACTGACAACACACTACTGGCTCACCATCTCCACACCCTCAGTGTATTGGACTGTCCATCCTTCATGGGAAAACATTACCCCAGTGCACTATCACTATGCAGACCTTGTCCACAAGAACCCTGCACAGAAATTCAGATGGAGTAAACGTGTTGAGGTTTCTCATCCCTAAATATACTAAGAAGCCAAACCTCTGCACTGCTAGGGACCTTCCTTATGCATCAGCAAGGATGCCTAAGGGAACCTCATTGTCTAAACCTCCCTCCTTATCAACATGGGGCAGTTAGCAATATGCCCCCTGGGTGTATCTGCTGCCACCTTTCTCCTAGGGCAACAATACTTTTCTTCTATGCTTTCAGCAGGATCCCTGGCTGCTGTTTTCTGCACCAACCACAACCACAAGTGCCTCATGAAATGAGCTCTTCTTTACTTGGAGAGCTACAACCATTGCTTTCCTCGTGACACCACTATGGCCTCATGACAGAAAGGTGTTTTCCAGACAGTCTAGTTGGCAAACAGGGGCAAACCTTGCTTGGGTAACTTGAGACAACATTGTTGTCACTACTGAGCTTCACTTGATCCCAAGTCATACAGCTCAGGCAGTATGTGCTTCAGTGCAAGCTCTCCATGTTCACCTACTGGCAGTTTCAGCTAAGATCAGTTTTACCCTCTCATTGCCATGATATCAGTGGCAGCCATATTCTTGGTTTATCTTTAATCCACCTCTGCTTTCCTATTTGCCTTCCTATGACCATGAAGCTCCAACCATCTTGTACACCAGAGCTGCCTCTGTCCAAGCAGAGCATCTTCAACATTCACTGAACGCTGCTTATCAATACAGCCAGTGCTATCACCTATCAGCTCCACATCAGTGACCAGAACCAAGGGAATAAAGGCTAGGGATGTTCTCTTCACTGTCATTTGAAGCATGGGGATATACAAAGAAATGCCACCTTGTGTATTGCCAGCACGGGCAGGGAGAGGTGGTTACCCATGGTCATGGGTAATGGGCAAAGCCAGGGGGAGGCACCTGATCATCTTTGTGAAAACTGAGGGGGTTTTGAGGTTTGGTTTTGTTTGTTTGGTTGGTTCTTTGAAAGGCACTTCAGGTTGGGAAAGCATGCCATACCCATCGTTATTGTGGCATAAATAACGCCCTCAGTAACCTGCAACCCTGGCCTGGGTCCAGCCGCAGCAAGCCTACCAAAAAGACCTGCACAGTCAAAGGGAAAGAGAAAGGGAGACAAAGGGAGAAAGACAAAGAAAGAACAAGGTCAGTCCAGCTCAGCCCCATGATTTCCCCTCAGCCGGAGAAGCTGCCCCATCCCTGATGTGGACAGGGGAGCACACTACACAGTGAGACTTCAGACAGATGTTTTCAACCCATCCCCTCAAACAAGGCAATTCCCTTTCAAACAGAACCATTGCAATTCAAATCAGCCAGGGCAGATGAGATGCTTCAGCTGGAACAACGATTGCTCAGCTGGCAGTCACACTGCCCCTTGCTTTTTCATTCCCTTTCTTATCACACCCTCCAATTACGCAAAGGCAGACGAGGACGATAACAGTTTAACGCATCTCAGCCCAGGAGGAAACGGAAGGAGCAGCAGCACTTGCTGTAAAATGAAAGGCAGAGGTGTCCCCAGCAGAGGGGAGGGAATCCTGCTGATGAAAAAGGGACCCCGAGACCCAGCGGACTCATCCTCCTGCTTCGTTTTAATTAGTTCACCCATGGTTTGCTACAGTTCCTTGCAGTCCCACCTCTGATGCTGCACAGATCCTCTATCTCCTCAGCCCATCTGGAGGCTTGCTTTGATGTCCTTTCTTGGCAGTACACCCACTAATTTTAGTGGTGTTCCTATTCTTGTTTGGTTTCACTACGCCCATTTGTTTGGGGACGCATGGGTGTCTTCCAAGGCTCATGTGTAATTCTGTCAGAAACATGACCAGCTGCTCCCTGGAGCTCCAGCCCTTTCCCTACCCAGCTTGTGGGGACAGGGGGTGAGCACAGACAGGTGAGGTTGTAGCATCTTTAGTCACGGTAAACCCATGTATGTCCAGAATGCTCTTTAACAACAGCAGTTACACTAAGGTCTCAAGGCAATTGCTGGCAATGAGCATCACTCCACATAGGACAGACAGAGGGTACTATTTGCCATCTGGTGAGATAACAGAACAGATGCCCAGAGAAGCTGTGGCTGCCCCATCCCTGGCAGTTTTCAAGGCCAAGTTGGATGGGGCTTGGAGCAACCTGCTCTAGTGGAAGGTGTCCCTGCCCATGGCAGGGGTTGGAACTGGATGATCTCTGAAGTCCCTTCCAACCCAAACCATTCTATGATTCTATAAAGGAAGGTGGGGAAAAGAGATGGGGAGCCCAGATTTGTACTTGTTGAACCAACAAGCAGGACCAGCAGGACCAAGACCTGCAGGTTTGTCAGTGTGCCATAGGGTTTGAAGCCTGATCTCAAGGCAAACCAATATACTAGCAGACTCCCAGCACCACTGCCTGACCTCCCTTCTGCACAGCATGCCTTTACCCTCTCTTGAGCCCCTGCATCCTCCTCCTGCCACATATGCTGCTTCACATATTTCCCTGCTCCTCTTTCTCACTCAACCCAAGGCACCCTCTCGAACAGGAGCTTGCCAAACAGCAGAGAAATTCTCAGTGACATGTTGTTGCCTTCCTTCTCACTCAAACCAACTTAAAAACCATCAGCATTATAGCACACCAGGTGTCTTGTGTAGAAGGGACTGGGGCTTGAAGAGGGAACCCAGCAGTTGAGTAGTCACAAGAGGCAAAGGCACCACAAGCCTTGGTGGCGAGGGACTGCCTGGGTTTGCATGTCCCATCTCTGCTCCCTTCGTGGGCTCCTATCTCTTCTTACAGCTGTGATACTGCTTGGTAAAACAGCTATTTATAGCAGCCACAGACTGCTCTTTGGCACCCAGAACTATCTCATTTTGACAGTGCTCCTATGATATGGCTTTCTTCTCTTTTTGCAGGGTTCTCATCTCCTTAGGCATCTGACTGGCCTGGATTTCAGTGGCTGGTGGGTGGATTTGCATCTTAGAGCAGCAGGTTACCAAGGCAAAGCAGAGGTTTAAGCTGTGTTTGTGCTTATCACTCCTTCCAGCCAAGGCTCTGAACGCCACGTGAGTTTATGGGGCTGCCTGGATAACATAACCTGGGTTTCTCTTCATGGATCCATGGCTGTACTCCAGCTAATCCAATCTATGTCTTTACATGCCATGGCTCCTAGCACATTATCCACTTTCCCAACGTGTAGCAGGGAAAAACAAGTCCATTTATCTTACAGTGCAGGCAACTGGAAACTCCCTGCGAGTACAAGGCTGCAGCAACCTGTGCTGCAGGGCTTCATCCTCCTGCGTGGTTCCCTCCCAGGGAGCTTCAAAGCTCTGTCGTGCACACTGGGGCTGGCAAGGACTCATAAGCAGCTCAGATTCAACAGCCAAGGGTTTAAATCCAAAGCTTTTACACTTAATGCTCACTTCTTTGCTTGCCTTGACTCTCCTTGCTCAGCTTGCCCCATGCCACTCATGTCATGGAATGGTTTAGGTTGGGAAGGGACTTTAGAGCTCAGTTCCAACCCCTGCCATGGGCAGGGACACCTTCCACTAGAGCAGCTTGCTTCAAGCCCCTGTGTCCAACCTGGACTTGAACACTGCCAGGGATGGGGCAGCCACAGCTTCTCTGGGCACCCTGTGTGAAGAAAAACGTTACACCCCACTTACTGCAGTCAAGGCTGATGGGCAGAGGTCTGCTTCTGCAGCAGAGCAATACAATCTGTCTCACTTGGTTTTAAATGGATTAGAAAGTGATGACAAGATCAGCTATCAGATCAAAGGAAGGTAATCTCTCACTAAGGGTGTTTGCCAAAAGATGGATGAAGGAATACAGCTTAAAAACATGAGAATCTGGGAACTCGGCCTGTGCGCAGCAGTCTGCTTCCAAAGGGCTTGTGATCCCATAGGGATCCTATAGGGATTGTGGCACTGCTGAGGACATTGCCAGGAGGTGCCGACCCAGCCACAATCAAGTGTGCATGGGGAGCCTGCACACTCTCCCCTCAGGTGAAGAATACCTTTCTAATCAGGTTTACAGGTCGTCAAACTGCCACAAGAGCAGAGCTGAACAAATACCAATTATAAAGACATTTAACAGACCAACAGAGGCATGGATTAGGAGCCCCAAAGGGACAATTAGAGCACCAGGATACAAATGCAAGCCACCACAGCTTCACCGCTCACTCCTGAACAGAAACCTGTGTTTGGCTGCAGTCTGTCTGCCAGAAAACCATCAAGACAAAGAGAACCCACAATGGTTTATGTTTCACAGCAATGTGCTATTAACCCGGATATACTACTTATTTCTACAGTAATCCAGTAGCCTTTTCTTTCCAACTAGCATTAGATCTGTAATATCAAGTGTGACCAGTATCAGAAAACAGGCTTTCCATACAAGCTGTAAGAAATGTCTGTGCTTTCATTTACTCATTCTCAAACCTCAACTCCTCCATGTCCCGCATGAACCCCCCAGAGAGTCATCTGTGATATACCATTTACAGAGACATCGTATGGTTCAGCCTCCTCGTAGTATCCCTCTGGGGATTCAATCTTGGGCACCGGAGGTTGTTTTGTTTCAGGAATCTGCAGAAGACATAAATAAAAGCAGCACGATTTAAGGTAAAAACATCCTTGAGAACAATGGGGCAACCCATTTGCCTTACCGTGAACTGCGACTTGTGCCTGCTGCACCAACCCCCTCTAAGCTGCTCGTTGTAACTGGGGATGATCCTCTCTGCTATGGATTATCTGAACAGGGAACTAGAAGGGTGGGCACTTGGTGCTATCCCAGCTTCACATGGAAAAGTGTAGCCTGAGCAGTCACTGGTCATGTCTCAAGTCTCTGACTGATAACAAATCAACAGCTAAACCCCTCTGCTTCAGGAGCTCTATCAGGAATCTTTAATTGTGCTTTGAGCAAAAAATGAAGGAAATGGATAAACAACACTGATGGAAAATAGGCCTTTGAAAAGAGTCCAAGTGCTGGAAAATCCCTGTGGTGCCTGCCAAACCCCTCCCTAAACACAAGCAAGGGCTGGCAGGAAGAACAGGGCCTTGATCCTTTAGAAATACCAACACATGAGAAAGCAGAAGAAAGGAGGGGGAGCTAAGAAATAAGCTTTTTACTTTTCAAGTAATTCGCATTGCTGCTGAACATAAGACAGCAGAGCTGGAAGATGAACACACAGCTTAAGCTGTTCCCAAAATACGTGGCATCCCGTCTCCCATCATGACCCAACAGTAGTGTCCCTCTGTTCACAGTGAGGTGTCCCCTCTCCTTGCCCAGGTCAGACCAGCTCAGTCATCTGACACTGGTACACTCCTCTGGCTCACAATGCTTCTACTGGCTTCTGTGCAAATCCTGGACAGGACTTCAGTACATGTAGGGCTAAAGCCCCACTCAATCCTCCCAGGAGGACAAGGCAGAAGAACAGGTCTCTCTCTGCAGACAGCAATGTTGAAGGTTATGGATCACACATGGTCCTTCATGCCTTCATGATTGCCCTTGGTGGCCTGCAAAAGAGGGTCCAGCTGGGCACCAGCACTGCAGAGCAATTTAAGGCAAGGTCAGTCCCTTTGCAGGTCATCATCAGATGCAGTTCAAAGCTGCCCACCCTGCCCTGGCTATTTCCACCAACAGGCACTACTACCCAGAAGCAGAAAGAAAGCTTTGAAGGGAAAGATTTTGTGGCCAGCAATTGCCCATGGAGTGGGATGCTGCTGAGCCAGTGGGAGCTAGGTACCAAAATCACACATTTCTGCTCCCACATGGGCGAGCTGCCCGTACCTCTGCCAACCTCACAGACTTCTCAAGTGCCTTGGATGGGAATTCCTTCCTACGTGGGCCTGCCAGATGTGTGAGCAGCCTCTGAGCTTGCTTTCCAGAGCCATACAGGACACACCGCCGGAAAACACTCGCCTCCAAACACTTCAAGGTTTAGGAACTTGTTCTAATGTGTTAAATTAAAGAAAAACAAACCCAGCCACTCCAACGTTCTACTTAATCCCTTCCCTGGCCAGGGAATGTGTTTGCAATAGCCATCTGTGGTGGCCTTCTGCATGTAACCAGCTCACATTGTGTTACAGCCATAAACAAATGCCTACACAAAGAAACGCTGTGGGTTTATTTGACATCATCCCACAAATGTCAGGGAAGGATGGAAGGGGAAGGAGCTGCTCCATTTTGTTTCCTACAGACAATGGAAGCCAACAGGGACTAGGTGGGACTGCACCTCAGCTGCCCCAGAAGCTATTTTTTAATCCTCTCTTTCCCTAAAGGCGTGGAGTTGTTTTGTCTCTATCTTAAGTCCAAAAGTATTCACTGTGTTATTTAACCCAAGGCTGGGCTTGCAGAACATTTGCCTGTTCCATTACAGCACAACAGAGCATGCAAATAAAACCCTCTTGGGCATCTGCATCCGCAGTGTGTGACTTTCTCAGTGGATGGCTGTGGAAAGAGGCAGGGCTGCCAGGGGTAGCACCAGAGGAAAGGTCACCAATGTCTCAGCCACAGCCTGCAGGACCCATTGTTTAAAGGCTGCTTTGGGACAAATCCAAAGGAATTAGTGGGATCCAGGTGGGCCACCCCTGTTGGGTTGCCCATTGACTGTTGGTGTCAGTGAATGTCAGGCACAGTCTGCTGTGCAGAGGTTTATCACCACATTTCTCCTGAGCCTCAAAAGGCAGGTGTAGAGCAGCACCACAGGGTTGCTAACACCACTGCCTTGACATCACTAAACCACAGAAAACTCCAACAGCTAGAACAGGTATATTCTGAGGTTCTCTCCTAACCTGCCCATTGCTGTGTAAGGAATTGTGCTCCCTTTCCATCAAGTTCTCTCCAGCCTCGCTCCTTGAAGTATGTTCAGATACCTTTCCTGCTAACAGCTCACTTAGATGCTCACAGTGAGGAGGTACTTGACTGCTTTATCCAAAGGCAGTCGGCTCCAGTGGCAAAAGCAAGTGGGAGAAGATGGATGGCTTAGGTCCCTTAGCTAAAATTCAAGATTGCTTTTTCCTATTCCCTCACTTAACTTCCTGATTTCCCTATCAAAAGGCTGGGCTTCACCAAGCACCAGCAGAGACGTCTTGGGGACACCCATCTGCTGCTTCTGCCACCCTCCTGTACATCTCCCTGAGACAACCACCTTCCCCTCTGCCTTTGAGATGCCCAAAGCCAAGCAGTGATTCCTGCTCCGGTTGCTGCTCCCAGGCAACTCCAGCTCCGGGGCTGTATCCCAGCTGTCTGTGTGGGCAGAGCCTCCCTGGACTGGAGCAGCTCCCAGCAGGCAGCCGCACTGTGTCCAAGGGTTCATCGGCTGCATCCCATCCTTTTTTTCCCATCTAACAACTCCAGCTGAGCCACACAGCCCCCTGAGCAGAAGGTCTGGGGCCTCACCCTGCATCCTGCTTCCTGGGAAAGCAGCAGATCCTCCTCTACTGTTGATGGATGCACCACCCCGTCATCCTCCATGCCTCCCCTCCTCCTCATGCACACTCCCTGCCCTTCATTCCTTTCACATCCCGAAATCCCAGCTACAGCGATTCCCACGTCAGATCAACTGCTGAGCAGCAACATCCGGGGTCTCGAGGATGACCCGTGTCTCTCTAGGACAGCCATGCTGGCACAGAGACAAAATCCCACTGGAAGCTGATGGTGCGGAGCTGGACCTTGGGCAGATTTAGAGCTGCCCTACAGAAACACCTACAGCGCCAGTGACTCATCCTTGAAGACCTGTGGGCCAGCAGAACGCTCGGCATGGTCACCAATGCACAAACACAAGGCACTTCATCTGGACACAAACCTGATCTTCTCTGCTAAGGGCTCATGGTGCTGCCTGGGGATTGCACCACCATCGCACAGCTAGAGGACTTCTGGTTTGAGTAAGTTCATGTCACCAGCCCAGGCACAGCTGCTTTACAGCTCAGGGGAGATTTCCAAAGCATCATCACCTTTGTTTCTATGAACACCCCCATTCTCTTCCTTCTCTTTGCCATGGGATGTGTGCAGGTTTCCCTGGCAGGGAACACAGCCTGTTTTGCACAGTGCTCCCGCACATGCATGGGAAGCCCAAGGCTCTCACAGCTGCTTTCTCCATCTGTGCATGAGCTTTGGGAACCACAGGGGTTCCTGCATGCCCAGCCACCCTGGAACACAGCCACCCTGCCTGAGCCAACCACATCCTGACCTGCAGTGTTCACAAAGACAAAACATACAGCTGGAAACCCATACAGGGGGGAGTGCATTTGAATATTTCGTTGTTATTTTTTTAACTACTAATAAAATTATTATTTAAAAAGTATAAAAAATAAATAAAAATAGAAAGTATTTTTTATAATTTACTTTATTATAAATAAAAGCTCCTCATGACCATTCCCGTTACTAACACACGTGGGGAGTGCTCTCTCCATTTAGCCACGCTGCACAGTACATAACATAAGTGATGCCTCAGTGGGTTCAGATCCCCAGGCTGAGGGCTGGGCAGTGAAAAGCAAAGGGTTTTCCAAACCTACCTTTGGAGGGGGGAGGTCCGGCAGGCTCTTCTGAGGAGGGGATGAATGCAGTCCCAAGTCTCCATTGGTCAAGGAGTTCCTCCGATCCAAAGCTGCAAGCCAGAAACCCAATTATATTGACAACATGTGGCATTTCCCAGCAGAGCACTTGCTGCTAGGGGCTGTGCAGGAACAGGGAGGTGCTATTTGGGTAAGAAGCAGTGACAATTACAGTGCTGCAGGGCCACTGTGTCATTTCAGGCCTTAGCCAGGAATGTGGCACTAGGAAACCCAGCAGAAGAGCTGGCCTCTCTTTTTAGGGCATGATTTTCTTTCTGGAGCGAAAACTGCGAAGCCCACACCCCTGGCTGAAACTTTAAAGGGTATTGAGAAGCAGAAAGGGCAGACAGTGCACAGTGACTGGAAATCCACATCACTTTAGCCCTCACTAGCTCTGATCCTTGCTGCTGTAAGCAGACAGAACAGCAACTGTGCCCACCTCTGCTGCCTTTCCAGAAAACTGGAGCTAATATCACCCTGCTCCCATTCAAAGGATGCTGCCTAGCTGAGCTGCACAATGGCTCAAAGCCAGCCAAGAACAGTGATTTAATCGCTACTGAAGGAAGAGCTGCTCTTGAAGGAGCCCAGGCCAACCATGCGAAAGGGCATATGGCAGCAGAATAGCTCCAGGCGACCCGTGTCTGCCTCTGAAAAGTCAGATTTTCCACACAGCTGAACCAGCAGTGATTCAGTAGCTGGAGGGTATATTGAGGGCCCCGAAAACTTGTGTTCAGTCCCTTTTCCCCCACCATACAACTCCTGGGTGGCCTCAGACAAGTGCCCAAATCCCATGCCCTGCAAGATAGCTCAAAGCAGCAATGCTCAGGAACAAGTGGGAGCAAGGCACAAATAGCTGTAAAATGAAGGACTTGGAAGGCATTATACTGTGCAGAGAGGAAGTCCCCCTTTGCAGAGCATCTCTTACCAAGTATTTTGAGAGAAATACAGCTGAGGTATTCAGATATTGCAAGTCCAGTAAATTAGTTTAGGATTTAGGGCCCTAATCAGCAGCAAGCTGATGCTCCAGCTCCCTTAGTCACCTGCTGATGCTCCAGCCGCATTCTTGCATACACAGAAACCACCAAGGCATTGAGCAGTGCCTGGCAGTGGTTAGCACTGCACTCAGAAGACATGGGCAGGAACTTTGTTGCATATTTTCTGGGCTTTAAAAATAGAAGCTGGAAGCCACATTACTTTGTTCACGTCTGGGGCTCGGAAGCCACAATGACAGCTCTGCCCTGCCAGGCTGCAGCCAGCTCCTGGCCTGATGGCGCAAGAGCCCAAAACACATCTCTTGCGGCAAACTGTTTCCTTTGGCTGCTCCTGATCATCAGCACTGGGTAACTTCAGTACACCAGGAAGATGTGGAGATCCACGGATCAATAGGCACCAACTCTAAGCAGCTGTGTGCACCCCACAAGTAGGGCTGCTGGATGTCTTGTAAGGTTCAGAGTAAGCTGATAAGGCTATGACTGAGTGATTGTGGGGAGATCCACCTACCAAAATACCCCATTGATTATACTACCAGAGTCATATCTACAGGTTGCTGTTGGAAGTTGTCCTTTTCTATAAAGGACCAAGGAGATGAAACCCTCAAGGCAGGCACCTTCTGTCAACAGCAGCTGCTGAGGCCATTACTGAAGCCCCAATGGGCTACTCTCCAAGAGGGGATTATCTCTGCGCTCACACTTGTCCACACAGAGAACTTTTGAGGGGCCTCTTCAGCAGGCAGAAACACAGGTCAACTCACATCCTCCTGTACTAGGCAGAACCTCTCATGCTCAGCTCCATAGAAGTCATTGCAGCAGCAAAAACCACTGCCAAACCCTTCATAAGTGGTGGCCATTTGTTCTGGACTCTGCAGCAAACCTAGCAATCATCCCACAGAACCACAGTGCCAGGAAAAAGCCGTTGGATTTCTGTACCAGCAGCTCCTCCTCCTCCCATCAACCTTGGAGCACAGGATGGAGACCACAGCTTTGGTCCTTGCCCTGCTGAAAACCTACCCACCTCCGCAGACATGTGCCCATGTACTCCAGCTGAGGAGCTGAGTGGGATATGATGGAGTTTTGATTTCCAGGCTCTGTGCAAGTAGAAAAACCCCTTTAGCCTTCATCCTGTCCTGACAAGACCTATGGGAGATGTTATGGGCTCTTCTGTTCTGAGATTGCAGAGGGCAGCTAATGGTCTGCCCATCATATGAGGACAAGCAACTAACACATGCTTTCTGTATGGAAAGTCCACACAGCACGTGTTGTATAACCCTTTCTTTTCCTGCTACACACATCAGCACCACAAATAACAGGCTGCTTCCTTAGTGGGGTGGGAGAAAAGGAGTATTTTTTCCCCAGACAAGCACTAACACTTCACAGGGGTCTTCAGATAAAGATGTCTCTCTAAAACACAGGATTTGGAGAATTTAGAAGAGAGAAGGAAGAAAAAGAAAAAACAGACAGCCAAAAGTCTGCTAAAATTTGTATCTGTACGAACTGCGACTTATCCGTGGGCTCTGTTCTTTGTATAGGTGAAAGTCTCCTGGTACTTGGGCTAAAAGGACCACACCACCAGGAGCTGTGGATCACTCCTGCTTTTGATCTCCCTGTGCTGACTTCCAGGACATGCCATTTGGCTCACTGAGGAGCCCCATTGACTTGCAGGGTAGAGATTTGCTGTGTTTCTCGAGTAACTGATATCAAGTAATGATGGTGCCTTCATCACTTGCTGCAGTGAATTCGATTCCTGCCATAAAGAAGTCTCTCAAAAGCAGGGTACTGTTCAGCTTAAATCCTTACCAATGAAATTGGATGTAGATACAGTGAGCAGTGAAGTATGTATTGCAGAAATTGCATGTTTTAAGGTTTCAAGGGGGGGACTTTAAGAGCTCAAGTATTATGACTTGGAAAGTGCTTCACCCTGTGCTGCTACAGCACACTTGAGCATGGCTATGGTGGTGAATAAACTCCGCAAGGCACAAGAGTTCCTGTTGGCCTCAGCTGCAAATGTGATCACCACATCCCATCAAAGGCTTTTGGTGAAACAAAGTGCACAGAGCATCAGTCGATAAATCGGTTAAAGGGAGTGACATAATCACTGGGACATCTGTATCACACTCCCCTCACCAGTGAAGTACTAGGCCCCTCCATCTGCTAAACCCAAACCTGCAGGTCCCACCACTGACCAGACAGGCACTGATCTCTCCATCCCATTACAGAGGTGGGATCAGGGCTGCACACCCAGCTGCAGCTATGGCTAAGATCCATACATGTGTCTCACTGACTTCAGCGTTTCCAAGTAACTCAGAAGTTTTACTTGGAATAGGGAGGTCAGTGAAGTGCCAGGTCTCACAGGGAGTGACTGAGTGGGTAGGCTCATGGCCTTGATAGGGAAAAGTCTGAAATAAGAGAACCAACTCTAAAAATAAGTTGTCTGAAATTTGCCTTCATGTTCCAGCACAGTGGATCGGTGCAAGCCTTATTTTATCCACCCAAAGGAGAACTTATATAAGGAGATGTTTCTGTTGCTGCTGAGCAGCTGGAGCTACAGGGAGGCTGTTCAATCCTGTTACACAGCATTGCAGCATCACCCAGAGGGCCCCATCATTGGCGACATTGGGGTTGCACATGTCATCTGGGAGGACATCCTGTTGTCAGGGGTATTGAAGTTCACCTAAATTCAGCTGCAGGTAGTTTAAAAGACAAGACAAAACAAACAAAACCCCACCACAAAACAATAAAACCAAACCAAACACCTCTATAAATGGAGCTATCCCAACTCCTGCAGGACCAGCATGCCAGCAGCACTGATGCATCCTCTTGTCTCATCCATTTGGACTGGAAACTTTGGGTAGGGTCAGCCTCAGACTAGGTGTGTATTAAGGAGATGCGTGTCACTAATAACCTCACTCTGCTGCTATCAGAACCAGCTTTTGCAATGAGCTTCAAGGAACAGGAACATTTTAAGACTATTATGTTCTTTGCTGTGTTACAAATTCAAAACCTGGGAAGTCTGAAGTCAGTATTTTACCTAGGTTTAATCTCCTGGCTTGCACACTGCAGAGCTCTCGCATCCCCAGGAGATGAGGGTGCTCTGCCCATGCAGGTAACGAGGGAACTGGCCTGGTAAGGTTGGGATGACACAGAGCAATACACTAAAGAAGACACATGCTTTCAAGGTCTCAGCGAGGTGAAGCGACTTGCTTTGTGGCCAAAGGAAAGATGAGGGCTTCCTTAAATACCTCAGGCACTGAAGCTTTAAGCCTTAGAAGGCAACGTTTTTATCCCAAAAATAACACCTTCCAAAGTGCTTCTTCCAGGAATAGCCTCACAGTGTTGGCAAGGACCACTATTTCTGAGGGAATGTCATGAAAATGGCAGTCCTTCCACACCATCAACTGCCTCAGCCCTCAGAGCTGACAGAGGGGGCCCCACTGGTAAAGCAAGACTCTAACCATGTGTGCCTTCATCACCACCATTAGTCATGATGCAACCATTAATCTTCATCTCCCTACCTTTATCTTGCTTCTCCTGGTCACCCTGCTGTTTATGGATGGTCACTTTGTTCATATAAATATATTCCTCATCGCCACCTGCAACCAGAGGGAAAAGTGAGCTCTTTACCCACACTCTGCTTCCATGTTGCTAAGCTTCTCCACAAAGACAGATGTGAAAAGTGTCTCTGCTGAATACATTTATGGAGAACATGTTGTTGAGGCAATGTAGGATAAAAACCCCAAGCAATAATAAAAAGCAGAAAAATTAAGTGCTTTATAGTCAGGAAATTCTGTCAGTTAAAGTTTCTACTTAAACATTAAACTTGGCCAAATGGTACATCCTGTGTATCTTATAAAGTGGATTAAATAAACTTAAGTTTTAATAAAGAAAACAGAAAGGATCAGGAATCTTGGGAATCCTTTGCTTGTAAAGCTGGACGCATAACTATAGTAATTTTACATAAACAATTAGAGGTCACTGCAAAAACAACCTCTGTTTAATTTTCTCCTTCTAATTTTCATGTCCCTCTTTCCCACCAGCCTCCAAGAAAGCACTGCTTCAGGACCCTTCAGCAATCCCCATGAGCCCAGTGCCCCGTGCTTCTTGTCTTTACCAGTGGACTTGGTGTAGACCCGCAGGAGGTCAGAGAGGAAGCTCTTCTTCAGGACGGCAGTGCTGCTCAAGCTCTCCTTGTCCAGGATCTGCAGAAAATCTTCCAGTTCTGTGAGCAGCTGCTCAAGAGCTACAACAGCAACAGAGACAACGCTTGGCAAAGCAGTTGGGTGGCATTCAAAGAGGACATACATTAATGCCGTGTTTTCCATGCAGGAATAATCCCTATTTCATATGCAGCTTGAACCATTCTTTTAGTTTTGAAAAGAAAGTGGGCCCCAAAACTCAAAAGCCTCCAACTTCCCTTTGTCTGTTCATACAACAGTAAAATCCTGTATAATTACCTGTTCTTCTTCTTAAAGGACTTTTTGCTCAAGGTGGGAAAGCCTGAAGGGGTTTTGAGTACTGGGGCTGAGACTACACAAAAGCAGCTAGCGAGATCTTGAGTCTCAGCAAACATTCAAACCCCATTTGTATTGGGACCTACCAAACCCACTGCTTTTTCCTTCCTCTTTCCAAGTCTCCTCCTTATTTCTCTTTCTGTAATGATTTGAAAACGTTTATGTGTGCCTCCTAAAAAGAGACAAAAAACCACCTCAAAACCTCCACGTACACAAGTGATAATTCAGTAACTTCTCAAGCCATCTTGCTTGGCTAGTGACAGCAGAGATCATTGTGCCACGTGGAACTGAGGACCCAAGACTGAGCGACATCTCAAGCAACCTTAAGGAAAATCAGCCCTACCAAAGACATCCCTACGTACCCACATCAAGCCACTCCCCAGCACGGGCAGAGGCTAAGCCAGGCTAATAAGTTCATTTTCCTCGTGAGGAGGTGCTGCTCAACGCCACCACCGACAAATCACCCCACTGACAATGCTCACTCTGAAGCAACAGGCGTTTAATTGCTTGCTTTTGTTCACACTGAAGTTTATCACGGGCTAATTAGCAGCAGTGGCAGGAGCCGGTCCCAGGGAGGAAATAACAGAGTATTATGTGGAAAGAGGAAGTGCTGTGCACGAATGACAGCGTGTGGGAAAAGCTCGGAAAACCCAGCCAGGGCTGTTCCTCCCCTTTGGAGGCACCCCTGCTTCCCCACTCCATCGCTCCCTGATCTTAAGGAGCTGCGAGAGAGATGGGTTCGCCCATGGGATGAAGCTTGGGTTGGCCATTGCCAGGCTGCAAACCAGGCTGTGCCTCCTCAGCACGTCACCAAGGAACGTGACATATGGATAACTGAACTGGGGCAATGCTCCACTCCCTTTACTTACAGCATTTCCATGCCATGTGTTCCCATGGTACACCTATGTGTTCACATCAATGAACTAGGACTGTGTTAACAGTTTGGTTCCACAGTGCAAAGCATCTGAAGCATGTGTGGTTTAAGTGCTACCACCTCCAAGGTCACAAAGAACATTTGTTTAAGAGCAGGAGAAAGCCATCACCTTCATACTTCCCTGTCTTTAGCCACCAGATGACCCTTCCTTGGGTGAATACATGTTAGAAGATTGATACAAAAAAGGCTAAAATGACCCTGTAAAGGTTTATGCTGCTAGCCATTGGCTGAAAACCAGGCTACTGCTCTCAAATTGTATTAATTTCACCAGCTTGACTGTAGAACAATAATGACTCCAGATCGATCAATAACGGCTCAAGCGAACCTACTAAGTAGTAGTTCCTCGCACTTCATTTTACACCCCCCTTACACCAAACTAATTCTCATCTGGTCTGATTTAGAACCAGTAGAGAATGGAAAATGCCTGTATCATGCTGCATTAACCTGAATGTTTTTGCTAGCTGCTGTTTTGCTCAGAGAAAGCAAAAGTCACTTCAAGAAACAATGGCTTTTTTCATTAGCTATAAGGAAATTGGTACTACGTGTTGACAACAACATCAGATGGCACTGATAATCATTAAACAATGAACTGGGAGCATTTGGTGTGAAACCCACTCATAACCAGCTTCTCTCAAGCTTCAAGGTCCCTGCTGCTTCTAAGTTTAAGGAAGCTCCACTGGGGTAAATGACAGCCCTGCTGTACTCACTCATCTGCTTCAATGGCTTATTTCAGACAATGTAAATGGTGATCAGTTCCTGCTGGTCAGGTCTGATGGACAGGACATTTGTGTCAGGGATGGTATCAGAAGAATGCAGCTGTTGGGATGTTGGTTGATGAGAAACCCGACATGAGCCATCAGCGTGCACTCGCAGCCCAGAAACCAACCATGTTCTGGGCTGCATCAAAAAGAGTGTGAGCAGCAGGTCAAGGGAGGGGATTCTCCCCCTACACTCCACTCTTGTGGAACCCCTTCTGCAGCCCTGATACAACTGTGGGGCAACAACACAAGAGGGATGAGGAGCTGTTGGAGTGAGTCCAGAGGAGGTCATGGAGATGCTGCAAGGGCTGGAGCAGCTCTGCTCTGGAGCCAGGCTGAGAGAGCTGGGCTGGGTCAGCCTGGAGAAGAGAAGGCTCCTGAAGGGGAGACCTTAGAGCAGCTCCAGTGCCTAAAGGGGCTGCAGGAAGCCTGGAGAGGGGCTTTGGACAAGGGCCTGTAGGGACAGGCCAAGGGGAATGGCTTGAACCGGCCTGAGGGGAGACTGAGATGAGCTCTTAGGCAGAAGCTCTTCCCTGTGAGGGTGCTGAGGCCCTGGCCCAGAGAAGCTGTGGCTGCCCCATCCCTGGCAGTGTTCAAGGCCAGGCTGGATGGGGCTTGGAGCAACCTGCTCTAGTGGAAGGTGTCCCTGCCCATGGCAGGGGGTTGGAACTGGATGAGCTTTAAGGTCCCTTCCAACCCAAACCAGGCTGTGGTTCTATGACTTTAAAGTTTCCATGTATTAAAAAAATAAATGTAATTAGTATCTGAAGCAGGTCAGCTCCAACAAGAGCCCACACGGATGTCACAATATGGGGTTTGCAGGAAAGGGGGTACAATTAAGGGGGTATAATTCCCATTCCCTCCTCCACCCCCACAACTACAGATAATGACTTTAGTCTTTTCCCAAGCATCCACAGCTAACACACACACACAGGGCTCTGCACTTATGAATAGCACAGCCTATACAGTAGATTACATTTTCCAGCCCACCAAAGCTGAATTCAGGCTTCTGTTGACTCAAAGCAACTCATTTAGGATGTGATCCTGGGGCCACAGAGGTCAGCAGAAAGACTCTGTCAGACTTCAATGGATTCAGACTTCAGGGGCTCGAGAGATTCATTTTGCTCTTCTTCAGCAAGAAACAGCATATAAACCATCTGCTTCTATGCAAGTATCTCTTTGATCTCAGCTGGACATTCCCAATCCAAACCCGATACCTGTACAAATAAACTGCCGTTGAAATGAATGTGACCATTCATCCTCTCATATCTGAAGAGCAAGCCAATACTCAGAGCATGATGAATGTGAGAAGTAAGAATCAACATCATGAGGGTCTGTAAGATCCTCTGTGCAAGCAAGTATTGCAGCAGGGCCCAGAATGTCAATATGACTAAAGACAATTGAGAGCTTACATACATCAAACCATCTCAGGATTCTGAACACTGGAAACCTATGATGTTGTGGTGATGATGTACGGAACACGCTCATGGTAAAACCAGTTTGGTAGTTACCCAAAGCAGCCTGAAACAAGTGTGTCTTGTTATCTTAGCAGTTTAGAAATGAGAGCACACAAAGAGATGATTCCTGTAGCGCGGTTTGCAGGGTGATAGTTACAGGTGCAAGGAACATGTTTACAAAATCAAATGGCTATGAGCAGCAGAATGAGAGATCAGAAGTAGACAGAAGCCCAAGTCTCAAGACAGCGCAATACTCAGGGATGCATTTGAGAAGCCTTCCACAGCTACATTGCTATTCTCAACTCTCATAGCACTTCTTTGTGAACCCCCAGTGCAGTGGGACTCCAGTAATCTTTCCAGCACCATCTCAAGTAAATATCTCCATAAGGCTTGCAAAAATTCAGCCTAATTCATGTAAAAGAGGAGATTACCTCTAAGGTTAAGATTGGCCCAGAAGAATTAAGAGACTTCGCCAAGGTCACTGTGAACGCCTCTCCTGAATCCAGCCCTCTCAAGTCCCAGGATATGACGTACTCCATCTCTTCAAAAAGCATGGCTGCAGATATGGGGTACCACAAGATATCGCAGCATACCTTGTATCATGCTGCTCTTCTTCATGGGCAGAGGCAGCAGTCACCAGATAAAACCCATGAAGATTTCACAACACAACATGGGGAGAGCTGTAAAAGCATCATAGTCAATGTAAAACTTAACTTATTTGCACCTGCAGTGAGTGGATATTCATCTCTGAAAGGACTGAACTTTAAAGAGTATAGAGATGCCACATCTTTACTGATGCAATAAGGACTTAGAGGATGGGCTTACAAAGAGAACTACCAGCTCCTCCTGCATGCACTTAAATGCATGGTGAGAGATGTTCTCCCTCCTTTTACAGACACTCCCAGGCATCCCTCTGACCACAGCAGACTCTCTCTGTCTGAAGACAGTGACTTTGGTCACAGCAATAAGCAACGGATTGCTTGAAACACGACTACTCTGTTTCAAGGGCAATTCAGTAGCAGTAGGACGGAACTGAAAAGGGCTTCTTTTGGCAGGAGTTTGTGGCCTTTCTTTGCAGACAGAGGCTCTTGCATTGCAGCAGTGTCTATCCTAGTTCATGGGAAGCTAGAGCCAAAAATGCAGCAGCTTGCAAAGCCCCCATTGAGGAAGCACATTCCTTGTGAAAGAGCTGCCAATTTTGCCTGACATCAAGGTCACTGAAAGGTAAATGACCATTAAATGAGATTATAAAAGCCATTCCTACCAATAACCACTGATCTTTGTCATTGTGCTACAATAACAACCTATGTCTACATCTAATTACTTCATGCCTTGGCCTTATGAGGAAATGGAAAGAGAGGCTCGGAATGAACTTCCATTCAAGTGTTTTAGTAACCACTGGGCAGGATTATATTGGATCATTTAATCTAAATTCAATTATTTATTTTACCCAGGTGGAGGGGCCCCAGCCACCAGACGAGGAACTGTAATAAGATACATACTGAACAGCAAAATCTTTCCTCTGCTGAGAGGTGAAAGATAAGGAGTATCATTTGCTAACAGGAAACTAAGGCATAGAG